CTGTGTCTGCTCCTCAGCCCTGCGCCCCCTAACTCACTCTGGGCCTGGCGGGCGGGAATGCAGGGGTCCGACCTGAGGTTACGGTGGGGCACTATAATGAGCCAGCAACAAGCTGTCTCGGCCTGAGCAGCACAAGAGAGTGGGCATGCCTGGCCAGGGGACTGAGTTCCAGGAAGAGGATGTTGGGGCGGATGCCAAGGTCCCCTACCTCCTGAGAGGCGTGGGCTGTGCTCCCGGAAGGAGGTCCATCTATACACACTGCCAGCCCCAAAGGAGGGCCACACTTGTGCTACCTCTGAGGTGGTACCAAGACCCTGCATTTATGGGGTCCCCCTGTCCTCCCCGTCCCTGTCCCTTGATTTCCCTGAGGAAAGTCAAGGAACTCAAGATAGCTCGTGAAGCCCTGCCCCCTCCCGCCTCTCCCCACCCTGATTCCCAGGGCCCTTGGCTCCAGTGGGCCCCATGCCTGTCTATACCCATGGCTACTTGTGGGGCTGAATCTCCTGTGGCCATATCTCCTCTCCCAGAGACCCCAACACCGCAGGCCTCAGGTACCCTGCATTCCACCCTGGTGCCAGAGCCTCATCGACCGGCTGCAGCTCAGATGTCCTCTCCGGGGGCTTTCAGCAGGAGATGCACTCCCCGGGGACAGCACCGGCCTGTGCGGCCCCAAGCCCTGGTGTGCCACTGATTCCTCCCACAAGGGCCCGGACACTCTCAAGGCCTCCCCAGAGCTCAGGCTGGGGAAGCTGGGATTTCGGCCGGCAGCCCCCCGTGACAGGGTGGGGAGAGAAGGGAGCATTTGGTGCCCTGTGGTACTGGGAGTCCCTGCCCTGCCTCACTCTCTCCAGGCCAGTAGTGTCCTCTGGGGCCTCTCTGCGCCCCACAGCTAGCCCAGGGTCTCTGTCGGGGCCCCTGATCCCCCACACACTGCATGGCTCTCCTGCCTGAACCCTCATCACCTCAGCTTGAACCTAGGTGACTCTGCCCCTGTCTGGCCCCACAGCCTTGCTGTGTCCCCTCTGAGCCCCAGGCTCAGACGCTTCCTGGCATCCCTTCTTTTATTCTTTTAGTTTATTTACTTATTTAATTTTTTGAAACAGGGCCTTGCTGTATTGCCCAGGGCCACCTTGAACTCCTGATCCTCCTGGTCCTGGCCTCTCATGAGGCAGGGGTCCCCTCCCGCCATGGAGATGTTCCACACAGGCCTGAGCAGGCCAGGGGCTGCCACAGCAGGAGCCAGGTCTCCCCTCCCTGGGCGAAGCCAGGACAGGCCCGCGCCCCCCTGCAACTCCACTCCTCCAGGGCCCTGGGGAGATTCTCACCCTGGGCCACCAGCCTCCTGTGGTTTTGAAAGTCCTGCCAGAGGACATTCCAATCCAAGATTGCATCTGACATCTTAGTAGCTGGAAATGGGGGGAGTAGGCCTCGCCGATTTCAGATAAATAAAACGAGGACTCCCAGCCCCTCGGCCAGTCAGAGCTGCAAGTCCCCAGGATGCAGAGAGCCTGGCCTGACTCCGGAATACAGGTCACCCAGCCAGGGGCCATAGGAGGCTGCCAGGGATCAGCAAGGGGAGAGGAACACAAGCTGGAATCCCTGAGCTGCTCCGCACACAGGCGCACCCACACCCCGGCGCACCCACACCCCGTAACTGCACCCGCACCAAGGCCATTGCCTACCTGAGACAGACCCAGGTTAACCATCTGCGAGTCCCAGCCCCAGGCCCTGGACCACAGTGTGGGAGGGCAGGCGTGCGTGCCTGGGCCCTGCTGCCTTATGTGAGGCATTCACCCTGTCTCGGCCTCCTAGAGCACTGTGACAGCCTGGACTTGCTGCTAGAGGTGGCTCTTGGCAGCCAGAGGACTGGGGCTGGCCAGGCTCCCCAGCCTGGAGGACAGAAGCTAGCACCGACCTGCAGTGGTAAGTGGGGCACAGGGCCTGATCTGGGGTGCCGGGCTGGGAAGTACAGATCTGCTCTCTCCAACCTGTCAGAAAATCCCCACAAGTGGAACCCCAGTCACAGGCGCCTCCTGGGAGCCCTCAGGTGCAGGTGATGGGAGGAAGGGGTGCTGACCCCAGGAGAGAGGCGAGGGGCCGCTCGCTGCTGAGGCCATGTCTGGAGGATGGGACAGGCCAGAGGCCAGGGGAGTCTCAGGGCGCTGAGCTGGAGGATGCCTGTGGGAGGCCCTGGAGGAGGCCAGCTGGGTCCAAGCTGCCATCCTAGGGTTCGGGGGCCTTGACAGGATGAGAGGGGAGGCAGAGAAGTCACACGAGGGTCGGCTGGGTACAAGGGGTGGGGGTGGCTCCCAGGGACCTGGGGCCAGAGCTGACTCCTTGCGTGACACTGAGGGTGCAGCTTTGGTGTGCTGGGGAGTGGCCCTGGCTGCTGCCCTGGAGACCAGGGCTCTGCAGCTGGGAGAAAGTGCTGGGGTGTCTGGGAGCCACCAGGTCCTCGCAGGGACAAGGACTAAGGGGTGAAGGGGCTGGCGTGGGGCCCAGGTGCTGCAGTCCATGGGGAGCAGGAGGGAGCAGAGGGTGGCTCTGGCGCCCGGCAAGTCTGCACTCAGGAGCACTGCTCAGGCTCTGTGTTGGGTGCACAGTGTCGCTCTTGTTTGTGGCAGGCTGGACTGGGCAGGGCTCCGCCTCAGGAGACAACACCTGAGGCAGGAGGGAAGGACACCCGAGAGGTGTGGCTGGGGCTTCGTCCCTGTGGGAGGTGGGTTAGCTCCCGGAATCCCTCTGGCAATCATCTCCCCGAGCCAAGGACCCCGCCCCATGCCCAGTAGAGGGGACGCTGTCACGGAGACGACACAGGCATCTCCAGCAGCAACGTCACAGCTACGTGCAGGAGCACAGGGTCCATGTGTGTCTGAGGCTGGGACTGCTCACTCTGCTTTATGGAGAAGAAAGCTGGAGTCGCTGGTCTGGCAGGGGCCGGAGCCCCTTTGTTGAGGACATGAACCCCAAAGCTCAGCAGCCCTGCCGTGCTGTGGGCAGGGAGCTCGCTGGACATCGGGGACCTCAGCAGAGACTCCAGGGTGCTTGGGGATCAGCAGAGGGTGCTGTCTGGAGTCCCTGGGGCTGCACCAGCCCCACCGTGTGGTCAGGGCCCCTCCCAGCGTGGCAGCTGGGTATCTGGGGCTGTTCTAGGATCAGTGGGGGACTGAAGCCACGCAACGTCCTGCTGCCGTCTGCTATGCATCCAGCTGTTCCCCAGCTCCCACTGGAGTGGTATCGCGCCCGTGGTGGCATGTGGGTGAGTGGGTAGTGGCCTCAGGGCAGCCATCAGGGAAAGGCCACCTGCCCACCAAGAGCCAACCCCAGGCTGTCTGGCTTCCAGTGTTTGCTCCCCATGGCCATTTCCACCTCCCAGTTGCTCCCCTAACAGGGGTCCTGTACCAAGGGGCCAGGCCTCAGGACTCTGCTGTCCCGCCAGCCCCAGCTCACTCCCTGGAATCCCCATGGAGAGAAGGAAGGGGGACCTGTGTTATTCGAGGACATGATGACCCCAAAGACCATGCTGTGTGTGACACCCAGAACCAGCAGAAGAAGCAGCAATTCCAACAGAACCCTGCCGGGTGTGGTGGTACACACCTGTAATCCCAACACTCAGGAGGCTGAGGCAGAAGGGTTGCCAAGGTTGAACCTAGCCTGGCAACTTAATGATAACTAAGTGATAACTTAGTGATGGGGCCTCAAAATTTTAAAAAAAGTTTGGGGACGTAGCTCATTGGAAAGGCCCTGGCTTCAATCCCCAGTATCACAAAACAACAAGAACAAAACAGAACCCACAAGGTCAGCGTGAAGGGCTGTTGGCGGGCTGGGATTCCAGCACACTAATGGAGGAGCTGCTGATGGGGTGAGGACAGCCGTGGGGAGGTCTGTGGGGGCCACACAGGAGCTGCCCCCCCACAAGGCCCAGTACTCGGCTCAGACACAGGCAAGGCAGGCATCGCGGGACAAAGGGCTGCATCGGGGCTGGCTGTCGCAGGGCCCCGGCGGGCCGGCCAGGTCTGCAGTGTCTGGCCCTGGGCCCCAGAGCTTCAGTGTGAAGTGCAGGTGTGCAGCTGGTGAGGAGAGCTCTGAATGGAGCAAAGGCTCAGACAAACAGGAAGAGGAGGCTGGAGCCCACTCAGTACCCCCAAGAGAGCGAAAGAAAGCAGCTCTGCCTGCCCACCTCTCCGCTGTGGCTTCCCCGAACACAGCAGGATGCAAGGGAAAGGGCAGAGAGAGAGACGCTCATGGGAGGCCAGCCTTGAAGATCCCAGGAGAAACACAAAGTAAAAGTGCTGAGCAGTGTGGGCGCATCTTGCCAAGCACAGAGTATAAGCACAAGAAAGCCTGATGTGGCCGACAAAGTGCAGACAGGCTGGGCAGCATCGGGCGGGAGCGAGCAAGGCAGCAGAGGGAGGGACCGCGGGGCGAGTGGAGGGCGGGTGCAGGCCGGGCAGGGAGTGGAACTGATGAAGCAATGGACAGGCCTTTCCCTTGCCCCCGTGGGGTTTTTTCTGTAAGATGTTCTGTCCCAGGAATGTAACCATGTGGGCTTCCTGGTGTTCCTGCCTAATGTTCTGTAGGGCGGAGGATTTAGCTCAGTGTTGCCGCCGCCTGCCTGGCAAGCACAGGGTCCCAAGTTCGATCCCTGGTACCAAAAAAAACCAGTTCTGTGACCGAGCTCGAGGATGTACTTGCTCAATGTATCAAAAGTATTCTGTTCAAACAGTTACCTGTCAGTACCTGATGTTTCTACCTAAGTTTTTTCTGCTCTAAAGGTTCCTTTCAAATTCTGTATCTCACTGCAATTCCGCTCAGATTTCGGAGTGGGCAAACTTCTCTGAGCCAGCCGGCTGATACTGGAGTCTTCAGATTGCTGTAGCTGTCGCACTTGGCTGTAACAGTGAGCTTTTCCACTTTGCCACAACATTTTGTTGCCTGACCAGGAATCCAATCGTGCTGGCCCACTGAACCGCCAGTTTGGAGTCTGGCTGCTGGGAGCCCTCTCGGAAGAACAAGACAGCGTGTCTCTGCCCCGCTTGGCAGTTCCTCCTTCATCGAGTGAGGGTGATCTATGACTGTGCTTGCTTTTCCTAACCAAACTCAGGAGAAGAGGTGGACTAAAACCCCTTCAGGACTTCAGGGTAAGGTAAGGCCCCGGGGCCCAGTTCAGACCCAGTCAGGCCGGTCCCAGGGTCCAGGAGAGGCTGATCACCTCTCACTGTCTCAAGTCAGAGACCTCGGTTGGGGACCTCCCTATGGGTGGGCGCAGTGCTTTAACCTCTGCCTGGCTGTGAGCGTGTGAGTGAGCGTGCCTGGCGATGTCCTCAACAACTGATCGGGTCCTCACCTGTGGTTCCGTGGTGGCCTTGAGCAGCATAAGAGAAACTCATCTCCTGTAATGGGAGGGTGACTGGGTGGGGATTCCCCGTGCACCTTTGCCGAAATGCGCCTGAACTCCCTCGAGGGAAGCAGTCAGGAGGACACTGTGTGCTCTCCACTGGGAGGCACCCTGCCTTTGTCTGTTGTGGCACCGTTCAAGGGCACCACATACACCATGGGTAACAACCATAGGAAACCCTCTGACTTGGACTGCATGGTCAAGAATTTCAGGAAGGGATTCAGTGGAGAGTATGGAGTTAAACTAAAGCCTACAAGGTTGTGGACCCTCTGTGGTGAGTGCAGTCTGACTGACAAGCCAGGGCACCCCGACCAGTACCCCTGTATCGATTCTTGGCTAGACCCTACCACTCTGGACCTGATTCTACGTTAGTAGGAAGGGACAAGTCAGGTTTTGTAGCCCAAAGCTGTGGCCAACCCCGAAAAAACCCGATTCATCAGGGTCCACCAGAAGAGGATTCTCTGCCACCCACTGCCTCATCTCAAGCTGCTGCCTGCGTCTCCATGGCGGTTCCTGTTCTTCCTGAGAGCCCGCAGCCTTCAAACTCCCTACCACCAGCCCCCCTGCTAGCCCACCTTCCGACCCACTACCTGCTCAGACAGCCAGTCCACTTCTGCAACCCCAACAGGCCCACTTCCGTCTCCCGCCAGACCTCTTCTTCACCCATCATCCCAGCTCCAACCTCCAGTGCCTCCACCGCCCCACATGGCAATGAGACTGCTTCTCCTGAGACACCTCTCTTCAGGGGTCTACAGTCGGCTCAAGCCCCAGCTATCCAGCTGCTGGTCCGCGAGACCCAACCTCCACCCTGCATCCTGGACAGTGACGCTGTCCAGCCCGGGCCTGCCACCCTCTGCTACCAGCCCTTCACCACAACTGATCTGAACCGGGAATAACACACTCCGCCATACTCCGGGAAGCCCCAGGCCCTCACTGACCTCGTGGAGTCCGTCTTCCAGACCCACCTGCCCACCCAGGATGACTGCGGCCAGTTGCTCTACGGCCTGTTCAACACTGAAGAGAGGCGTAGAATCATCGCTGAGGCCAGAAAGCACCTCCAAGGCCTCCTCCCCATGGGCCAAGACCGAGCAGATTGGGCCAAGCAGATGGATGGTTCCCGAGACCGGGCCACAATGGGACTTTCACACTGCAGCGCGACCAGAGGCCCCGGAAAGATACCTCGGGGCCATCCTGCAAGGGGTCCACACTGCTGCCGAGAAGCCAACTAACATGTCCACGACGGCCTCTGTGCCACAGAAGCCAGACGAGTCCCCCGCTGAGTTCTACGAGGGACCCTGCGAGGCGTTCCCCATCCTCACTCTGTTCGATCCCAAGACTCCTGAAAATCAACACATAGTCAACACTGCTTTTGTAGCCCAATCCATTCCTCACATCTGGTGCAAACTCCAAAAGCTCGAGTTCACCAGCATGAACGCTACCCAGCTGCTTGAGGTCATCACAAAAGTCTTTGCTATCTGAGACCGAGAAGCCCAACGAGAGGCAGAAAAGAAAATAAAACAAAAGGTCTCACTCCTTGCAGATGTGCTCGGCAAACAGATCCTACTTACTGCCTGGGACCATCATGCAGGCTGGGGAAAACAACTACAGACCTCTCCTGCACCCGAACCAATGAGCCTATTGCAAAGAAATCGGACACTGGAAAAATGAATGCCCCAGTGAAAAGCAAAGCACACCAAGCCAAAAGCTTCTGACCTCACCGGCCCCAACCAGCAATCCAAGCCCTGGGGCTCAATCGGCAAGCTCCCTACTGTGCTGGTTCTCATCACCAGCAGGAGCCCAGATGCCTGGCCTGGTTGGACTTGCAGAGACTGAGTCAGATTAGGGAGCACCAGGCTCCCTCACTCTGGTCCTGTGGTTAAAACGACAGTTGGGGGCCAACGTATAACTTTTTCTTGATACAGAGGACTGGCCCTCGGCCTCGGTGCTCTGGTGGCAGCTGTGACTCTCACCAAGGAGGAAAACAAACTGACCTTGGGACAGAGCCTTGAGTAAAAGTCCCCACTCGGTTATGACTGATGAACAATCAAGGACATGAGTGGCTTTCAAATGCCAGAATGGCCCAATATCAGGGGCGACTCTGGAAATCCCAGGGTCAGCCTGCAACAGTGAGGACTTTAAACCCAGCCACCTCTCTGCCTGCTGAGGAGGGCCAGCCAGACCATGACGGTGAAGTTGCTGACAGCTGTTCTCCAGCTGACCTGACCTCACTGAGGAGCCAAAGACTCAACCAGATGCCACCCCATTCACTTAGGGCAGCAGCTTCATGCCTGATGGAGAGCGACTGGCAGGGTGTGTAGTCACTGCCACCGACCAGGTCATCGGGGCAGCCCCTTCCTAGAGGGGTCAGCACAGGGAGCAGAGCTCTGGGGCCTCATCTGAGCCCTCCGATGGGCTCGAGGAAAGATTGTCAACATTTATACTGACTCAAAGTACACCTTTGCCACTGTTCATGCTCACGGGGCAATATACAAAGAGAGAGGACTTCTAACAGCAGGGGAAAAGAGATTAAAAATAAAAGAGAGATGCACCAACTCCTAGAACCAATCTGGGAACCCAGAAAAGTGGCCATTGTACACTGCCAAGGGCACCAAAGAGAACAGAAGTTTACCACAAAAAGAAACCAGCTGGCTGACCACAAAGCTAAAGAAGCCGCCAAACAAACCAGACCCAATGTCCTCAAACCCTTGCAGGGTTTCAGAGATGGTCACATCGGATATCCAGAAACCAGGCCTACAGATGAACAACCTTTCACCACAACAGAACAGGCTCCATCCCTGCATGCTGGGAAACTGCAGGACTGAAAGGATGAAGAGGGGACCTGAGACTGGCCAGAGAGACCGCATGCTGGTGCTGTTCCCACCAACGGGGCCCCGGAGACAGACTGTGGAGCCTGGGCTCAGGGCATGTGGCTTTCGACTCGGAACGACACATCAGCAGAACTGAAGCTGGGTACGAGGGCAGAAGCTTCTCACACAGACGCTAAGGGCTCAGCAAATGAACCTACACCCACTGCCCTGGGTGTCACGAGGACTGGCTACAGCAGAACAGAGCTGCAAGGTGAAGGGGCAGAAGTGCAAAGTTCAGGAAGCTGCTGCTTCCCAACAGCCTCAGCCAGGAGGGCCGTGGAGAGGGCGGGAGCAGAAGCAGGCTGTGGAGTGGGGATGAGATTCGGGGATTGCGCGGCACCATCGTGTGTGGGGGGGTAGCAGCAGGAACTCTAGGACGAACCGCAGGACCCTTGAGAAGGAGCCCTCCTGGCCTCTGGGCCCTGTCTCACCTCAAAGGCACAGTGCAATCCGACATCCAGCGAGATGGAGATGCAGGCAGCATGGTGGTGCTTACACTGAAGCTGAGGAATGGGCCCGTTGGCCAGTGCACAGCGGGAGCCCAGCAGTGTGACGTGGAAGCCCAGAAGACACTCGCAGGGGTGTACTCCAGGCAAGCAGAGCTGGTGGTTCTGGGCCTTGGGGATGAAGCGGCTCAGATCCACACAGCCAGCCTGCCAGGCACCTGAGCTGGGCACTCATTCTCAGCCTCTGTGCTTGGTGTCCTGACTTGGCAGGCTCAGGTCAGGGCTGTGTGTTCACCTCACCGACAAAAGAACGGCCCGAGAATGAAGGAAAAATCAGACAACTCAAACAAAACTGAATCCGAACCTGGAAGGAAGCTCGAAGGCTAAGAGGCAGCTTGGCCTACCCTGGGAGGATGAGGGGTCCCAGACCCGGAGCCCACCGGTCCCTCCCACACCAGCCCAGGCAGGGCTGCAGCACCCCAAGAATCCAGCCGTGATGCCAGCATTTCTGGGGACATTGCCCCAGAAGCGACTGGGGACACTGAGACGCAGAACAGATAATCCAAGAGGAAGTAAAGCGCACAAGAAACAGTGAATCCAGGGAGATGTCTTGTTACATTGAAATGTACGTTAGGAATTGAGAGTTTTTGTTTGTTTGAGACAGGATCTCCCTGAATTGCCCAGGCCAGCAGTGAACGTGCCTGGCCTTGCAGTCCTCCTGCCTCAGCCTCCTGAGTAGCTGGGATTACAGATGTGCACTATTTCTCCTAGCACACGTTAAGGATTCTCTATTTTGAAAGGAAATAATGGGTTAAATATGACTGATAAAATATGAGGGAAATACACAGTAGTGATACAAAAAAGAACATTCCAACTGTGGGAGTTGGGGAAAAAATAACTTGAAAAATGTAGCAAAACCAACCAAGAGTGCAGACCAGGTCCTGGCTTGAATTATCCCAATTCCCAGACAAAGCTGTCTGACGAGGCGGGCAACTGTGTGCTCTTAAAAAACTTTAAGAACTCGGAGACCAAAAGGATGAGAACCAAGAGTGGAAATAAACAGGAAAGGACGCCGCAGGCCCACGTTGGTGAAGGAAAGTGGCCACCACCCCGCAAGGCAGCCTCAAAGCCTCAGATCCTGGGCCCGAGCCCAGAGACACTGCAGCTGGTGCCAGGGAAGGGAGGCTGTGCAGCCCGCGTGTGGGACACTGGGCCCTGGGAGGAGGATGTGCGGGGCTGCATGTGCCTCCAGGCCCTCGGCGCGGGCAGCCCTGAGCAGGCCCATAGATGCCTTCAGCACAGGCCCCATGTGGGGTGGAGGGAGCTGCAGGAGGCACAGCACCAGCCCACTCTGGCCCCAGTGGAAAGGGCAGCAAGGCCCAGAACCACAGGGAAAGCCAGGCTCAGAGGCCCAGGCAGGCACCCGGGCAGGAAACGCAGCTCCTGGTGGCTGCGCAAGCCTGGCCGGGACTCCCTTTGACCCCAGCCCCCATGACCCTGGACAGAGGCCGGCAGGCTGGGCCGGGCCACACCCAGGCCGGGCTGACACTCATCACGCCTGCCTCATGCTGCCTGCTCCCCAGGCTATTATGCCCTCCTGAGCCCCCGCCCAGCTATGGCCCTCGGAGCCTGGCAGGGACAGCCAGGCCTCAGGTGGCGACCATCTACCCTGCCCGGCCTGGGAAGGAATGCGCTGGTTACTCGTTAACATGAGGGCTGTAAACAGCGATGGTGCGACTGTCTGGACTAAAGGCCTCCTTCCTCCCCGAAGTGGAGCAGCTCTTCATGCCCCACATCCTCTGCCCCACAGGCCAGGCATCAAGCAGACTCGACCTTGTCATGTGGACCAGCTGGTGGCTCTGGGCCCTGGTGGCCACGTGTGCTGGGCAGACGTTCCGCGAGCAGGCAGAGACCATCATGCGAGCCATGCCTGTCATCGACGGGTGAGTGGTGTGGGACCGGAGGGCGCTCTGCCAGGACCAGGATGTGCTCTAGCCTTTTGCTGGTCACAGGTGTTCGGGGTCTTGCATGGCGACGTCTTCGCAGTGAGGTGTCTGTGGGGTGGGCGGGGAGTGGCGTGGCCAAGCCCAGGCTTGGGGCAGGGGATCCAGACCCCAGTCCCCACCCTCAGAACTTCGAGGCCAAGCTTGCTCCCTGACCACTCCAGGCGAGGGCGGCGTCCCACGTGCAGGTGGGCATCTCTCTGGCTCTGTCCCTTCTCTCGGGGTCTGCAGTGCCCACCTGACTCCCACCCCCTCCGGCTGCCCCAGGATGCTTAGCTGCTTCTCCCAGCCCCTACCTGCCCCAGCTGTCAGCTGCAACCCTTGTGGACGCACTCTGGACACCCAGCCATTGGCCCTTTTCTTCCTGCCTGCAGTGGGGACCCCAGCCCTCCCCGTTTGTACAACTATGGCCCTCGTACCCCACCTTAGCTGCTGGAAGTCAGGGCTCTGCGCACGCCAGACTCTGGGTGGGCAGGGGCACTGAGGGCACCCGTGTGCTGGGCACACAGGCGCCACTTAGCAGGTACCACTGGGCATTTTGGAGAAGAGCCCCTGTGAGCAATGCAGGGAGCGGTCACCTCTCCGCCTGGCTCCAGGGACCAGCAGCAGCCAGTCTGGGGCCAGTGGCTCCCCTTCCCCGTTATCCCTCCCCTCCCGGCCTCCTCCCACCTCGCCCCTGCCTGGCCCCTGCCTGGCCCCAGCTTTGCCGCCTCCAGCTGGCCATGAGGGTCAGGCTCCTCCTCGGCCACTCCCTGGCCTCCCCAGATCCCCTCTGTGTGCAGAAGGGGACCTGTACACCAGCACCAGCAGAAGAGTCCCCCTTCAGGGCAGGGAGGCCGGGAGTGGCCCCTTCACTTCCAGGTGGACCTGGGGCACCTGGGCTCAGAGAGGGAGACCCGAGTCCAGGCACTGGGAGTTGTGCAGAGTGGATGAGTTGTAAGAGGGCCCAAAAAGAAACAGGAATGAGGAGGGATGTGGGGAGTTGGGATTGTCCAGCGGCAGAAAGCTAGGCAAGGCCGTGGGCTGGTCAGTCTGATCTCAGGTGAGATCCAAACAAGCAGCCCCAACAACACACAAGCCCTCTTATGCAAGGGACGCATGGCTGCTGTCTCTCGTGGTTTACCGTGGCTGCACCAGCTCCAGGCATCACGTTATTACACTAGTGAGCAGGCAGGAGGAAGGGACGAGGGGTATGCAAATAGCCACCTAGCAAGGAGAGTTTCTGGAACCGCAGGACAGAACTTAGTCACAAGTCCACGCCCAGCTACAGAGGGGCCAGGAAGTTTTTTATTCCAAGTGACCAGATGTCCTGCTAAACATGAGGGCTTATTACCAAGGAGAAGAAGAGAATGGTTAACATGGGCCATCAGCAGTGTCCTACGAGTGACCGGCCTCTCCTGCCCCGCTGGGGCCATCACGCAGCGGCACACAGAAGGGGGTGGGTCTGGCAGCTCAGAGTGGCCCTGCCAGTGGGCAGAGGCTTCACCCTGGCATTTGGTCCCCAGCAGGGAGGGCTGGGGGAGAAGGGGGAGAGAACAGTGTGGCTTCTCCCCCTCCCCAGGGCCCCACCTGTCCCCTCAGGCACAGGACTGAAGTTCCTTCCCAGAGCCCTCCCCAGCCCCACCTTGCAGATCAAAGAGGGGCCCTGGGTGAGGCACAATCACACCTTGGTGCTCCGCCCATCTGTTCCCCCATTCACCCCACCCACCCTTCCTTTGTCCTGAGTGCTTCCCGACAGTCTGCGAAGGGCAGGGGGCAGAGCCCGGCCCTCACCATGTAAATCCCACAGTTCCTGGAAGGTGACCCCTGTGGCAGGTTTCTTGGTGCCCAGAGGGGGCCCAGAACACCAGCTGAGATGGGGCTGAAGCCTGTGCCCCTTGGCAGAGGAGAGGCAGGGACTGTGCTGCCCAGGCAGGAACAAGCTTCCTGGAGGAGCCACGAGGTCCACCTGCGTCAGCCCCCAGTGGACCCTGGACAGGCATCAGCATGGACGGGCAGCCCTGACATAGTCACAGCTGACATCTGGAGGACAAGGCTGCCTGTGTGACTGCCACGCATGCCATGCTGTCTCATGCTCAGTGTGCGTAAGCACCTCGATGTCAGCCCGTGGAGGAAGCTGCTTGGTGACGTGTATCTCAGGACAGCTAGCCCCCCACATCAGTGCTACTGTTACCCTGTTCACCCCTCTGCACAAGGTGCCACGGAAGGGCAACGGAGGCACAGAGCAGAGGCAGCTGGAATCAGAGCGAGGCACAGATGGAGTGGCTGAGCCCAGGCACACAGCCCCCCAGCACCAGACAGTGCTGACAGTGTGTTGCCTGGGGCTCGGTGTCTTCAGCCTCCCTGTGTGCGCACTGCCAGCCTGAGCCTGCATTTCTAAGGAGCTCATGGTGACACCTGGCCTCTGCTCTGGGGGTCTGGGGCCTGCCGGGCAGCTGGAGGTAGCCCTCACGGAGCCCACGTGGCCACCAGGTCCTTTAGGGGCAGAGAAGGAGTCTCAGGAAGCTGGGTGCAGGGCTCTTCCCTTCGGATGAGTGGCAGCTCCGGGGTACTGCGCCCAGTACCGTGCCCAGCATCCCCAGCTCCTTTAAGGGTGGGGAGGGGCCCTGCAGGGGTCACTGTGAGCTCCGAATGCTGCGCCCATCCACATGGTCTGGCTGGCTTCCTCCAGCCCTGGTGACTGTGAGGGGAGCAGTGGCCCCCAGGAGGAAGTCCTGGCTGCCCTAGCTGGGGTTATAGGCCAGGGGTGGGGCACAGGGGGTGCTCCCAATGCGCAGGTGTGTCCGGTGGACAGGACAGCCTGCACCCCCACACTGGGTACCTGTGCTCCCAGGCACAACGACCTGCCCTGGCAGCTGCTGACCAAGTTCAACAACCAGCTGCAGGAGAAGAGGGCCAACCTGAGCACTCTGGCGGGCACGCACACCAACATCCCCAAGCTGAGGGCTGGCTTTGTGGGCGGCCAGGTAGTTCTGCCCCTTTGGGCGCCACCTATCCCCCAAGGCCCAAGACTGGAGCTCTGTCTGGGTCACAGGGTTACCCTAGGCCTGGCCCTCAGCTCCCCCCTCCCCTTCCCCAGTTCTGGTCTGCGTACGTGCCCTGTGACACCCAGGACAAAGACGCCGTGAAGAGGACGCTGGAGCAGATCGATGTCATCCACCGCATGTGCCAGGCGTACCCTGAGACCTTCATGTGTGTCACCAGCAGTGAAGGTGGGGCCCTGGCCGAGCTGGGCAGCGGTGACAGTGTGGCATGGTAGGGACCCTGGGTGCCATCCCCTCCTCCCCTGCAGGCATCGAGCAGGCCTTCCGGGAGGGTAAGGTGGCCAGCCTGGTGGGCGTGGAGGGCGGCCACTCCATCGACAGCAGCCTGGGCGTCCTGCGGGCGCTGTACCAGCTGGGGATGCGCTACCTGACCCTCACCCACAGCTGCAACACACCCTGGTAAGGTGCCTGCGCAGTGCTAGGCCGAGCTCGGGACCCGCACCCCCACACCTGCCCCGGGCACCTTCCTCATCGGGGTGAGTCCGCCCCTCCGTGCTCAATGTCCGCTCTTTGTTGTGCAGGGCTGACAACTGGCTGGTGGACACAGGGCACGACGAGGCTGAGAGCCAGGGGCTGTCAGAGTTTGGGAAGGTGAGGGGTCGGGGACCCCAGGAGGAAAGTGGGAACTGGCTCTCGCCTCTCAGACTTGGCTTCCTTACCAGCAAAGCAGGGCTGCTGTGCCCGCCCTGGGGGTGCTCACGGACCCACTGGTGTCCCATACCGGGCCCCGAGTGCCCCAGTGGCCACCTGCCCTGGCCCGGCTGTCCCACGGCTTGGCTCAGCCCTATCCCCGCCTGTAGAAAGTGGTGAGGGAGATGAACCGCCTGGGCATCATGATCGACCTGGCCCACACGTCAGTGGCCACCATGAGGGCCGCCCTGGAGCTGTCCTCAGCGCCCGTCATCTTCAGCCACTCATCTGCCTACCAGCTGTGCCCGCACAAGCGCAACGTGCCCAACGATGTGCTCCAGCTAGTGGTGAGGGCGGGCACGGGGGCTGCGGTGCTGCCTGTCGGTCCCGGCCAGTGCTCAGTGCCCCTTTCCCCCGGGCAGAAAGACACGGGCAGCCTGGTGATGGTGAACTTCTACACTGACTATGTGAGCTGCTCATCACAGGCCAAACTGACTGAGGTGGCCGGTAAGCAGGGGCAGCCAGGGGGTACGGGCTGGGCCTGGCCAGGGCCCTCACGAGCTGTGCCCCCCCAGACCACCTGGACCACATCAGGAAGGTGGCCGGGGCCCAAGCCGTGGGCTTCGGTGGGGACTATGACGGTGTGAGCAGGTAAGGGTGCGGCCAGTGGGTCCGGAGCCAGGGAGGGAAGGGCACCCGGGGACCTGGCCTCTGCTCTGGAGCAGCGGGGCCCACAGAGCCTTGCCTTGGCCCGCCAGGCTACCCGCAGGGCTGGAAGATGTCTCCAAGTACCCAGACCTCGTGGCCGAGCTGCTGCAGAGGGGCTGGACAGAGGAGGAGGTCAAGGGTGCACTGGCGAAAAACCTGCTGAGGGTCTTCAAGGCGGTGGAGAAGGTGAGGGGGGGCCGCCCACGCCCCGCCCTGCCCCTGGGCACCAGCTCACCCTCGGTCCACTGTCCACCCGTGCCCAGGTAAGCAACCTCACGGCCACCCCCGAGGAGGAGCCCATTGCTCTGAACAAGCTGAAGGGCTCCTGCAGGACGCAGTATGGTTACTCAGCGGCCCCCAGCCTCTCCCACAGCCCAGGCGCCCTCCTGGCCTCCCTGGCTCCCTTGCTCCTTGGCCTGCATCTTATGTGATGCCCAGATGCCAGCACCCACCAGGACTCAAGGAGTGCAGAGAGGGATCTGCCGGGCCAGGAGCCAAGACCCTGGGAGCCTGCACCCTGGTACAGCTGCAGCTCCCGAGGAGGGGCCTGGAGCCTGGACACACAGCAGAGCCCAATAAAGCCTTGGTCCCTTTCCTCCCGTGCTGTCATCAGCGTGTTGGCCCTGCGGGCAGGCTTAGGCAAGAGGGCCCTGGGGGACACTGGGCTGGGGACCAGGGGGCAGCCCAGGACCTCAACAAGGGGCGCTACACAGACACTGTGGAGGGACTCAGGAAACAGCCGCTCCAGTGGCTGTGCCCACACGCTCGGCGGCCTCATGTGGTGAGTGGGAGTGGGAGACTCCAGGCCCCAACCCCTCACACATGGAGCAGGTCCTTCAGACCCAGGGGACAGATGGCATCACCTTGCTGCCCCCAGTGCTCTCCATCAGGGCACAGGCTCAGTGCCTTCCACGGAGCTGAGGGCATCTTGAGGTGGCTCATGGGGATCAGTTCACTGCATTGTGCATCCAGGTGGGAGCTGCTGAGCCCACGACACCTGGACACATGGGGGGGCCTGCTCTGCCAGTGCTGCCCCACCTGGCCTGTGGACATTGGTGAGGGTCAGGGAGGCACCCAGCTGTGCATCCATCCCTGACCTGAAGACTGGATCCAGTGATCCCCGCCCAGGGCTGGGTCATGTGATGCATCTGCACGGAGTGGGGCAGCACTGTCCCGCCCAGGGCCTTCGCAGGGCCCAGGAAGAGGTGTGGTTTTCTCCATCCCCTCAGGATGTGCCTGGCATGGATTCAGATGGTCAAGATCAGCCAGAGCCTTCATACTGAGCAGCTGGTGGTGCTTGGGGCTGGCAGGGGAAAACTTACATACAGGGTCCTGCGGGCTGAGGCAGGACACCTAGTTTTGCTAACTGGGAAGGGTTTTTGCACAGAAGGGCTTCGATGCTATGCATCACACTGTGGCATGAATGCGTGGCTCTTGGTTGTGCAGAGGGCACACAGTGGTGCGTGTCTGGCAGCTGTACTCCCTGCTGAGGGCCCACGCCTTGGATGTGCCCTTGGGCTTTCCACACCATTCCCACTGAGCACAATGAGGGCCGCACCGGGCTGGGCAGGGACAAGAGGGGCCAGAGCCCTGAAGGGTGGGCAGTGATGCTGTGCTGAGACCGGGTACCAGGTGCTAAACTGGACAGGCCATGTTGGCTGAACACAATGTGAGCAAGGCCGATGCTAGTTGAAAAAGTGATCGATCACACGACTGCAATGCACCCTTGCTGCCTGCACTGAGCCTCCAACTCCTCGCCTGGGGATAAGGGAGGAGGTACCTGGGTCTCACCTGTGGCTCCCCTGCCCAGCCAAGGCCACCAAAGCAAAACTTGAGAGAGTTTTCAAGGATGGACTTATTTACTTCCAACAGCACTTTAGGATGAGGGTGATCACGCCGCCCTCTGATGATCCCCACACCCCACCCAGCCAGCACCCCACACAACACCGCATGGGGTCTGAAAGGGCCACAGCCAGATAGCAACTGGACCCCAACACCCAGGCCCCACCACCCCAGTTTGCAGGTCCAGACAGCAAGAACCAAACATGGTGTGTTTGGGAAGAGCCCACATGTTTGTGCCACGTGGGTGGACCCCATACCCCGCAGGCCACCTGCTTTCTACTTTGGCAAAAAAACCCAAAAACCCTGGGAGCTTCAAGAACATGAAGTGAACTTTAGGAAACAGGAAAAAAAAACCCCAAAGCAGCAGCCCGTGCCCAAAGCCCTCTCCGTCTGCCCAGCTGCCCCTTACATAGCAGGCCGTCCTCACAGAGCCCTGGAGGTTTCCAAGCTGAGGAGTGGGCGGGTGGCAGCCCAGGTCACCTGTCATTTAGTGGCAGGACAGACATGGTGGCATCACAGAAGGAGAGGCATCAGGAAAGGAGGTGGTGCCACCACAGGAGCCCACACCTCAGTCAGTGATGTGGGCAACACAGAGCTCGGCCCAGTGTTCCACGGTACCTCCAGAAGGGCCACGCGAGGGAGAGGGGCCCAGGCAACGGCACTGTCTTCAGGGACTGAGGCGCAAGGGCAGGAGGCTAAGCAGGGCCAGCAGCTGGCAGCTGTGGCTGGGCCTAGGCTGGATGGACAGGGGAAGGGCAGGGGCCCCTCCCACAAAGGCCCTGGGGCGGTGTTGGTGGCACTCGATGTCCCTGACACACAGGTCCACTCTCCTCTCCTGCAGGGCAGTGGGGGTGTCGGGGAGCTGCCTGTCAAGTGGGGTGGCCAGGATCCCTCCAGCCGCAGGGAGCGGCAGGCCAGCAGTCACAACCCCAGCAGGGGACACGGGGGAGCCCAGGGTCACAGACATTACCCACACACACCTGTGCCAAATCAACTCCAGGACACAGCCCCACTATTCAACCCAGGACAAGCAGGATCAGCCCAAGGCTGCCAGGCCTGGTGGTGAGAGGAGCAGAAGGTGAGAGTGGCAGGGTGGGGACAGACGCCTCTGAGATGTCACAGTATGGTGGGCAGCTAGTTCCGCAAGGCAGCCAACCTAGGAGGCAACGCAAGACTCAGATGGGCAGGGCAGGGATTCGGAAGCACTGCACCCCATCCGAAGTGAGCCAGAGTCCCGCCCCAGTGCCACTGTTATGCCCCGGGTCTCCACAGCACAAGACTGTCCTGCAATAGCACTAATGACAGATGCCAGTACCGGGAGCAGCAAAGAGCCCTCCCCCAACTGAGCTGCACGAGGACAGACCGCAGCCCCCCACAGCTCAGGACCCCACCTGCGCGACAGCTGGTCCTCCTGGCTGCGTACAGAGCTCTCGCCCACAGCCGAGGCGCCCTCGGGCAGCTGGCTGAGCTGGTCCAGCACCTCAAGCCCATTCTCCTCGGCAATCTGCATGATGAGGCTGTCCACCTGCTCCTGGGGTGTGGTCAGTGTGGTGGCCGAGCTCATGGAGTCCTCCATCACCTGAGGGGATGTCAGGGCAGTGGGGCTGGGCCACAAGGACTCACCCCACCCCACCCCACCCCACCCGTGCGGTGCCTCTGCTCAGGATGCCTTTTCTGTACCCTTGTGCCCCACAGGGAGGCCTCCGTGCCTGCACCTTGGGGCATCTTCTGCTCCATCCTGTGCTTCTGATTACCTGGGCCTCCTCCGGCAGAGGCTGAGTGCCCACCCTCTCTCCCAGCCCCGCCAGAGATGCACTCAGAGGGCCCTGGGCGGCCCTGGGGAGCAAGCTGCCCCTCCTGATGCACTGCCAACCGCAGGCCATGTGGCACATACCGACGTGTGTACATCCAGGTTCTGCACCTGCTGCTCGAACCTGTCCATCACTGCAGACACCTTCTGCAGGTCCATGGAGCTCAGGGCCTTGTCCAGTGCTTTGGTCACCTGGGCCATGTTCTTCGTCACCTGGTCCAGAGAGGGGAGGGGAGGGGCACAGGGTCACCCACAGGCCCAGGAGGTGCCAACTCAGGAAACGCTACAGGCTGAACCACATGCACAGGAGACCCAGTGATAGCACAGGGGGCTCCCAAGGGCCCCTGCTACGGAACCAAAGGGTCAGACGTGACCTCTGTGGCTCATGGAAGCTGTGTGGCCCTCACCTGGGAAGGCCTTCCCGAGCCTGCCTGTGTCTGCCTGTGCCAGCATGGCTCTCGCAGACTCGGGTTCCCTTGGCCCCAGGACTGCCCCTTCCAGTCACCAGAAGCCCTGAACTCACCCCCTTCATGGTCACGGCTGTCTGCACCTTGGAGGCCACCGCATCCACGCGGGATGCCATGCGCAGCCAAGTGACACCCTCATTCTTCTTGCGGATGGCATTCTCTGCATATACCCGGGCACACTCCACGTTCTTCTGCTGCAGGGCCTAAGAACCAAGGGGCACTCGTGGGTCCCTGGGTGGTCACGGCCCCCTGTTCTGGGGGGGCCCTGCAGTCATCCCCAGGATGGGGAGGTCCAGGCCCGCACAGGAACGGGCATCTGAGGACAGAGGGTGGCAGTGGGCAGCCTGCAGGGGCTCCAAGCCCCCAGAGAGCAGCATGGGCAGCACTCAGGGTCTGGAGGCCCAGCCGCAGGCAGGAAAGGCACAGAGCACGGAGATTCAGGCTACAGTCAGCTGCCCGTGTCCTTTTGGTCTGGGAGCTCGGAGTTTGGATGAGGAGTTCTCAAACCACACCACAAGGCTCCTTCACCAAGGACCATTTTTTTTCTCTCTCTTTTTTGGTACCGGGGATCGAACTCGGGCCCTTGCACTTGCACGGCAGGCGGCGAAACCACTGAGCTGAATCCCCAGCCCAACAAGGACCACTTTAAGAGCCACACAGACTTGGCTCAGTCTCCAAAGCAGCCACCGCTCTCTCCTCCTCTGGCCTCTCCCAGCAGAGGCCCCATGAGTCTCCAGTCTGGACTCCCTGGAGGGCAGCCTGCACCTCTGCCAGACTCCAGTGCCCCAGGCCCAGCTCTGCAGGAGAGCGGGGAGGAACAGTAGGACCATGGTGGAGAGCTGGACCCCATTCCCAACAACTCAGGATGAAGTAAGCTCAGGGTGTGAGAAAGGAATATAAACGGAGGACAGAGAAAACCAACAGGCTAAAGATGGAGCCATCTTGCTCCTGCGTGCCTGCTCGATTCAAATCATGACACAAAAGAGGAAAGACGTCAAAACAAAACAGAAAAGAAAACTAAGGGTAAAAACAGCATTCCTGGACCCAGGGAGGCCACGCACCTTCTTCACCTTGGCCTGCTCAGCTTTGGAGTCCTTCTCTGCCTTCTTGGCGAGCTTCTCCAGCTGCTTCGCTGTGAACTGGAAGAACCCCCGTGTCACATACACAGGATCTGGGGAGCCCTCTCAGGCCCTGCCTGTGTGTGTCCTGAGGGCACCCTGGGCTGCAAGGTGGTCACCGCGTGAGGAAGGAGACGCCTCATCTCTGGGAGAACAGGGCCACGACAGGCTTTCTAAAATCCTGTCCTCCCCATGAACAACCCAATCCCAACCATCCCCTAGAGCCAAGGTGACAGCACCACAATGATCCCACAGCTGCTCACAGAAGGGCTTCCAGCTCAGGAGAGACTAGAGAGAACCTGCTCCAGGGCAGCCCCCAAACAACAGTACAGAGCTCCAGGTAGTATTCCTCGAAGTAGTCTCTTCACAGAAGACTGCACATGCATCTCCCCAAGGCCTAATTGCTCCACCAACACCAACAGGAAGGGACATAAGCATTCCCAAAGCACCTCTGGCCACCCCAGTCTGAAGCCAGAGATGGGCCTGGCCACCAGCATGTCACAGGCTCACAACCTTGTGGGCCCTGACATACGGTCTCCCACAGTCACAGCTCTAGTGAGGCCATCTGCCCACAGAAAAAGCATCTTACTGAGCCTGGGGTACCATGAGAATATTTCAGAGCTGTGTCCTACAGCTTAAGCCCCTCGCTCCCACTCAGCATCTCAGAACCAGCAATGAAGAAGCTGATCCTGGATGACAACTGTGGGAAGCTCTAAAGGAACGTGACAGGACCAGCACTGGGCCACTACGCAGCTACAGACAGCACACCAACAGCATACTTCCAACATGACTGCAACCCGGGATGTTAGAGCAGCCCGCAATCCTAGCTCTCTGAGAGGCAGGGGCAGGACGATCATAAGTTCAAGCTTTGCCTGGACAACTGAGACTCTGTCTCAAAGTAAAAGAAGGGGATGTAGCTCAGGGTGAAGGCCCTGGGTTCAATCCCCTGTACCACCACAAAAAGAAAAGACTTTAACAGATTTGAGGGAGTTTTAAATGCTTTGCAGACCATCCAGGCATGCGCATAGACCTGAGCTGTACTTCTTGAAGGTAACACTCTTTCATGGAGCAACCTGAGCCATCTGCTTCTACTCGGTGGAACACAAGAGCCAACATGTCATTCGGCCACTCCATGATCCTGCCTGGGTCAGCAATCTGCACCCTGTGCGGCGGTCACCCAATGGTTACAGTCTGCCCTCGACTTTGTTTCTGGGAATCTGCATGTTTCTGGGGATTTGTTCCATTTATTTTCATTTGTTAACCAGCAGGGCAGGGCTGGGATGAACAGTCCTTGGGCACATACCTTCAGCTGGAACAGCGTATCTGCAAAGACAGAGGAAATGGTCTGAGGGCTTTAAGAACGTGACAAGTGGTGCCTCTAGCGAGAGACAGACTTGAAGGTCCCACAGACACTGGAAGGCAGCATGGAACACAGCTGTGGATGGCGTTTACCCGGGCTGCTGCCAGGCCTGGTCCCTTATCAGCCACAGGGTTCAAGCCAACACAGACCCTCCCCAAACCTTTTCCTCACTGGGAACACGGGATGGCACAGCCACCCACAAAGGATGAGACGGGGAACACACAAGGGTTTCGCACAGCCCTCTCTCCCACACGGTAAGAACCTGCAGTGGTGATTTACAATTAATGCAGCTTCACCAAAGACCCTGGAATTCTTCCCAGCTTAATGTTTAGCACCTGACAGTCTTCTCTTTCATATTCTCTATCTTCCCAAAGATAAATTGAAAGAGCAAGGTGACAATCCTTTGGCCATCAGAGAGCTGGCTTGGTGGCAGCTGCCACTTCTAAGCCACCGCATCAGGCTCAGAGCACCTTCCCTATCCACTGCTTGACTGCATCAAGTAATGCACCATTGACTGAACTTGCTACTTGTTCACCAAAACTCAGGGCCAGGTGGATGAGACTGAGCTTGGTCTACTCAGTTTCCAACCCTGCTTCCAAGAAGGTTCACCCCAGCAGTCCAGATGCAAACCAAGTGTCAGAGATGCAACCAAGGCTCCCAGGTGGCACCTGGGTTTCAGACGAGCTCAGCAGCCACCAACCCGTCATGCCTCAGTGCAGGTGCTGGTCAAGGCCAATGTCAGCGGGAACTCTGTCACCAGGCGTGGGGTGCTGCCCAGGCATGGCCCACCCACCTGACCAGACCTGCCTCCACCCTCAGTGCTCTCATCTAGACCTTGGCGGGATCAAAGGAGCCTGACTGGCCTTAAGAAAAGTCCCCTAAAAGAGTCAAGTGAGCTGTGGGGAACCAAACCAGGCTTTGGGGGGGCCAGTTAAGTTAGGCGCTGCCTATTCAATCTGCACAGAGCTCCTACACATTTCCTTTACAACAATGGCATGGTTCACAGCTTTGTACATTTCAAAAGGTATTTTTTTAAAATAAAAAGGTCAGGGCCGGGGATTTAGCTCAGTGGTTTCACTGCCTGCTGCGCAAGCACAAGGACCCGAGTTCGATCCCCAGTACCAAAAAAATAAAAATAAATAAATAAAATAAAATAAAAAGGTCTATCACACAAACTCATAAAAACATTTTTGCAACTGGAAGTACCTTCATCTTGCCATTGATTCTTCTAGTTCTCTGTTTTGTTTTTAAGACAAGGTCTTGCAATGTACTCCAGGCTGGCCTTGGACTCCAGATCCTCCTCCCTCAGCCTCCCCGGTGCTGGTATTACAGGTGTGTTCCCACAGCTAGCTCTTCTAGTTCTTTAGGATCCGTGAGCTCAGGGCACCCGGAAGTGGAAGAGGACTAAGAAGTAGATTGCCTCCTGTCTCCGTATCCATCTCAAAGAGCTACTGTCAGGCAAACTTTGGGCAGTAAGAACCTACAGCTTTTGGTTGAGTCACTGCTATTTCTCTGGGTGGTGTGCAGAGGTCAGAGGGTGCAACTGTCACCTTTTCTGGTACCCTCTGACCCCACACTCCAGGGCCCCACAGGCCAAAGAGGATATCGCTATTCATTCACAGTATGGAACTAGCAGGAAGGAAAGCATGGAGGGCCAGGGACAGAGGAGGGGGCTGGGGTCCAGGACGGCATTAGGAGTGCAGGCCCCGGGGATCGGGATCGGAGTCGAGGCTCGCGGGATCAGAATCGGGTGGGGATCGGCTGTCGAGGCCCAGGTGCCGGGAGTCGGTCGGGATCAGGGGTCTGGGGTCTACGGATCACCACCCGCGGCCCCAGCTGGGCGGCGGCCCTTACCGTCCATGTCCGGTCCGGGGCGCACCCCTCGGGGCAGCGCAGCGACTCTCTCGCTCCGACCAGAGGGACCCGGCTGCTATTTCCGGGGTTGCCGCCACTTCCGGTAGCGCGCCCTGCTCTCGCGCGAGAACCGCATTTGCCCTAGGTTGGACGCTCCGGGTCTCGAGGGGCGTGGGGTTGCCGTGGTGACCGGCGCCGGCGTCGCAACGAGGGTGGGCTTTGTGAGTTAGCCTGGTCGCGGACGGACGGCGCCCGCGGGGTGGTGGGCTCCCCTATGGGACTTTCCAAAAGCAAGCCCGGTGACAGGAGAGGCAACGGCGCCGCCGCCCGAAGAGCCACTGCCCTTGTTCCCCGGACTCCCCGGCAGCGGAGAGTGGGCGCCGGCCCCCGACTCAGTAAGCAGCGGGTCTGATTCGTTACCCGTGTATTGCAGGTGAGGAGCAGGAGCAAAAGAAGGCTTCCTCCTATTCGTTTGCAAAGTCTAAGGACAAGTTGATGGAGAAGCAGTCCCAGGAGTCCAGACAGGCAGACGGAGAGGCCGGGAAGCCCTCGGACACCCTCCTCCGGGCGACGGCGACAGCTGCACACGGACAGCCCTCTGCTTCGTTGGAAGGGACGTGACCTCAGGAGGCCTGCACCGTCGTCGAGGCACTCGGGGATGGGGTGATGAGGGTCCCTTCCTAAGGCCCTGATGAGACTGAGCTGGTGGCGGACACCTGTAATCCCAGCACTCTAGGAGGCGGAGGCAGGAGGATGGCGAGTTGGAGCTCAGCCTGGGCAGCTTAGACAAACCGTGTCTCAAAATAAACAATAAAACCGGGCTGGGGACATAGCTTAGTTCTAAGGCCCTGGGTTCAAGCTTCACTACCCAGCCCCCGCAAAAGACAGGGAAAAGCCCAAGTACATATTATCCTGTGGGTTGGGTACTGTTAAATATTTAAAAGGGAGGTGTGGTGGGATCTGTGCCTTGGAAAGGTCTTTCTGGCCCCCAAACTGGGGTTAGTAGGGGAAGCAAAGGGCTCAGGGAGAACCCTGTCCCAGGCCGTGGCTGTAACCAGGTGGGAACCTGGAGACAGTGTCGACAGGAATTCTAGAAGGATCGGGAGGTGGGAGAGGCAGAAGCTGCTCTCTGCTGAGATGTGGGCAGAACATGGCCTGATTGGGGGTCCGGCGTGGAAGAGTGACAGGAGGAGTACTGGCCTGAAGGGACAGGATCAGCCCAGACTGAGACCCATGTGGCATCAGCAAGGGCTGCAGCAGGAGGCAGTTTGAAATTCAGGTGCTGAGCTTGGGTGAGAGGCCCAGCTTGACTCAGTCAAGGGCTGCAGGAAGGGTTAGCAATGGGAGAGCAATGGGAAATGCTACCCAACTCTCTGGATGCGTCCACCCGCAGTTACAGAAAATCCAGCTAGGTAGGCCTGGGAGTTTAGCTCAGTGCTACTGTGCCTGCCTTGTGAGCACAAGGTTCTGAGTTCAATCCTGGTACCAAAAAAAAGAAAAGAAAAGCCAAGCCAAGCCAGGGCCGGGGATTTAGCTCAGTGGTTTCGCCGCCTGCTGCACAAGCGCAAGGTCCCGAGTTCAATCCCCGGTACCAAAAAAAAAAAAAGAAAAGCCAGCTAGGGCAACTTTCACTGAGGGTTAAGGGCTCAAAGGAAGGGTCAGAAACAGGCATCCAGAGCAGTTGCTCAGCAACACAGCCATGACATCAAGGCCTTTGTCATCCTCAGTGTCAGGACATCTTCCTTTATAACCCCTGGGGAGCCCGAGGGCTCTGGGTGTCACGTGCAGACTCTGAGAGCCTTCTCCCTGCTGCCTGTTGGCCAGGCCACCCTTCCTGGGCCCACCCAGCCTCTTAGGGTGGGCTCAGCTCTGCAAGTTCCTGAGGGACCAGTGGAGCCAGGAGGTGGGGAGGGGACAGGACCTCTGCCAGCGGAGAACTGTCAGTTGGAAGGGCACCAGCAGTGTCTGTCACGCAGTGTCCCTCAAGGGTTGGAAGGCAGACATGAAGGGAAAGCAGAAAGCCAGACACAGAGGCGCACACCTGTGATCTCAGGACTTGGGAGACTGAGGCAAGAGGATTACAAGTTTGAGTCTCACCTGAAGAACTTAGTGAGACTCTGTCTCAAAATAAAAAATAAGCCAGGTGAAGTGGCGCATGCAGCACTTAGGCTGAGGCAGAAGGATCACCAGTTCTCAGCCAGCCTGGGCTGCTGAGAACAGCAGTGAGGACCCTGTGAGGATGCGGTTTCAAGACAGATGGTGAAGGCTGAGGTTCCTTCAACAATGGAACGTCCTCAACAGGAACAAGGAACAAGCCCCTGCCACATGCTGCATTGTGGAGCAACCCCAAACTCCACGCCCAGGGAAAGGAGCCAGGACCACAACTAATGACTCCCTGTGTGTGAAATGTCCTGAAAGGGAGAACAGTAGAAAGAAGTGGTCGGAGCTCGGGATTTAGCTCAGTGGTTCCGCCACTTGCCTCGAAAACACAAGGTCCTGAATTTGATCCCAGTACCAAAAAAAAGGAAGATAGACTAATATTGATTGAAGCTGCATGGTGCAGATATAGATATCGTAATATCCTTTTTTCACGTGTATTTGAGTATTTCTGTAATAAGTTTGTTCTGGAGGTGGAATATGCTAAGTTACAAGAGGATCTTGAAAAATAAACTGAGATAGAGAAGGGGAGGGAGAAGCAAATGATTTAAGATGTGTATGGACGTGTCCCAAACTCCCATGATGAATGTAAGTGTACACTGCAAACAAACACTAATAAAGTTTTTAAAAGATGAAACAAACTAAGAGATATTCTGTCAGCTATTTATTTATTTATTCTGGTTTTGTTGTTGTTGTTTATTTTTTGTTTTCTTGAGACAGGACCTCGCTATGTAGTTCAGGCTGGCCTCAGACTCCAGGTAATGTTCCTGCCTCAGCCTTCTAAGTGCAGGGACTCAGTGTGCACTACCACACCCAGCTACCTGTCAGCTATTTTAAAATACCATGCTGGGGCCAGGTGTGGTGGTGCATCCTTAGGATCCTAGCTACTCATGAGCTGTGGCAGGAGGATCAAAAGTTTGAGGCCTGGGCTGGGGATTTAGCTCAGTGGTTTCGACGCCTGCTGCGCACGCGCAAGGTCCCCAGTTCAATCTCCGGTACCAAAAAAAAAAGTTCGAGGCCAGCTTGGGCAACTTCACGAGAGGCTGTCTCAAAAATAACTAAATAAAAAGGGCTGGGGGTGTATCCCAGTGGCAGAGAGCTTGGTTGGGACAGTGAGGCCCTGGATTCAACCCAGCACTGAGGAAAACGCCTGACTCCAGAGGTCTCAGCTGTGCCCTTCCGTGCCTTAGCTTAACTAGATGACAGAGGAGGAGGTGGACCTCGGTACTAGAGCTCAGGATGGGGCGGGAACAGGGTCTGCTGAGGCAGCGAGAGGCCCTGGATCCTTTTCCACCCGTGCACACATTGGCCACATCGGTTCCCCAGTGTCCAGGCTGCCCTGTGGTCAGCATGGTGTGGCTGCAGGGAAGTGAGCAGAGGAGCATGGATTGTTGTGAACTCCTTCAATTTTCTGTCAATGTACACATATTTTAATAATTTTAAAAGCCTCAAAAATTATAATAAATAAAATGTAGTTTCAGCTGGGTATGGTGATGAATGCCTGTAATCCCTGCACTCAGGAGGTTGAAGGAAGAGAATCGTTATGAGTTCAAGGCCAGCCTGAGCTGAACTACGTAGCAATACCCTGTCTCAAAAAAACCCTGATAATAATAATAATAATAATAATAATAATAATAATAATAATAAATCTGGTTTTAATGGGAGAAAAGATCAACTGGTAGTGTTGATCCTCTATATCAGGCCTAATGGTGCACACCTGTGGTGTTAGCTTCTCAGGAGGCTGGGGCAGGGAGGATCTCGAGTTCCAGCTTAGCCTGGGTAACTTAGTAACATCCTCATCTCAAAACAATAAAAAGGGCTGGGGATGTAGCTCAGTGGTGCTTGGATAGCACGCATGAGGCCCTGAGTTCAATTCCCAGTACTGAAAAAACAAACAAGAAAAAAAAAAAATCAATGAAATAGAAAAAATGGAGAAAAAGATGTGCCTGTGTGTAATAGGTATACGATAAAGCTAGCACCAAAAACAAGTGGGAAAGGGAAGGGGATTACATGATTAATACTGTTAGGAAGATTGTCTAACACTTCACAGCCTCATGTCATGCACTGAGATGACTTCCAGATGGACACAGTGAGAAGATAAAGAGGAAGGTGTAAACCTTAATCTGATTTCCCCATGTGGCACACCTTCCTCAGCCTGAGAAAGCAATCCCAAAGAAATACTGCAGGGGCCGGGGATTTGGCTCAGTGGTTTCACAAGCGCAAGGACCCGAGTTCGATCCCCAGTACCGAAAAAGAAAAAAAAGAAATACTGCAGGACCTGACTACATCAATAGTTAAAACTTAGGGTGGGCGAGGTGGCTTGTACCTGTAATCCACACTTGGGGGGCTGAGGCAGGAGGGTCTCCGTGAGTTTGAGGCCAGCCTAGGTACATCAGGAGTTCAAGGCCAGTCTGACTGAATTACATAGTGAAATACTGTCTCCAAAACAAAAAAAAGTTAAAACCTCTCCCAACCCCCTGTGAACAAATTAAAAATGATCAAAAATATTTGTAACATATACAAGGGGCCAAAGAGTGACATGAAACAGATCCGCTGCTCTGAGACTTTTCGGAAGACCAGGTCTCTGGCAGGCAGAGGACAAGCTCCTGCCCACAGCCCACAGGTAAACGGGACTTCCGTCCTTGGCCCCAGCAGAATCGAATTCTGCCTACCCCTGGGGTAGCTGGCAAAGGACCCCAGCCATATCTGGGAGCTCAGCCCCAGTCTCGCCACACCCAGACTCTGTTCCATGGAAACTGAGGTATTAAACATGGTGTGGACTCAGCCGCTCATTTGTGTTTGTGGCCATTTGTGGTGCAGTAATGGAAAATGAAACCAGCACAGAGTGCTTGAGTGCAGCTCAATGGTAGGCTGCTTGCCCAGTAGACTGGAGGCCTTGGATTCAGCCCAGTAGCCAAGTGTGGTAGTGCACATCTGTAATCCCAGCACTACGGGAGGCTGAGGCTGGAGGATCACAAGTTTGACTCAAATCTGGACATCTTAGTGACTTAGCATAGACCCGTCCCCAAATAAAAAATGTAAGGACTGTGGTGTAGCTCGGTGACAAGGCCCTAAGTTCAACCCCCAGTGATACTGTGGGATGGATGTGACAGTTTCCAGGCTCTTGTGTAGATGAGCAAAGAAGTGCAAGGGCGGGCCGGGGATTTAGCCCAGTGGTTCCGTCGCCTGCCTCGCAAGTGCAAGGACCCAAGTTCGATCCCTGGTACCAAAAAAAAAAAAAAAAAAAAAGAAGTGCAAGGGCACATCCAACGGTGAAAGAAAAACAGCTACATTTATTGCTGATCACAGGAAGAAGTGCTCAGGGGAGGTCTGTGTTGAGAAAAATGGAACAAACAAAAATGGTGCTGGGGTGACAGGAAAGTAAAAAGCATGCCCAGGTAAATCAGGCTTTCAGCTGTTTTCTAAGGAGTGCATCCCAGCCTGGTGCCTCTCCATGGTCTCTAGATAAGGCTGACAGGAATGACTGACAGGGTGCTGGCTTCCCGAGTTCACTCTGATGAAGTCACAAGCAGCAGTGGAAGGAGGACTGGCCCTGGGATGCTGCCCAAACTCAAGTGCGGGGTGGGGAGTGGACTCCCAACCTCCATTGTGCTGCCTGTGCTGCTCGTACGGAAAACACAAAACGAAACAAACAGTAGTACAGATGGTATATATTAGGAACCCTAAAAAATACACATTTCTTTTTTTTTTTTTTTTGGTAGCTGGGATCAAACTCGGGACCTTGTGCTTTCGAGGCAGGTGGCAGAACCACTGAGCTAAATCCCTGGCCCCAAAAAACCACATTTCTAATTGTTTGGAGGCCAGCTGTGGTGGTGCACCCCTGAAATCCCAGCACTGGAAGGATGAAGGGGAAGATCACTGCGAGTTCAAGGATAGCCTGAACTAGAGTGAGACGCTGTCTCAAAAAATGAGAGGGCTGGGGATTTAGCTCAGTTGTGCCACTGCCTGCCTTGCAAAACAATGAAAAGGATTTAAACACTTGAAATAATCTACACTCTACACATTGAAGGGGGCTGGCTGCATGAAGGGTGGGGCCCCTGGACAGAGGAGAAGCCAGCTGTGCGCAGATCCCGGGCACAGCCCACCGTGGTGCTGGGTGGAAAACACCCTTCTACACAGTGTGAGTGCAGGCACTTGGGAGGATGAGAATCATGGCTGTGCATTTTAAATTTTGTATTAGTAATGTTTGGATTACACAATGATTACATTCATCATGGGGAACTGTTACGTTTACATGAGCATGTGTGATCTTTTAAGTCAATATCCATTATTTTATTATGTATTTTTTTGAGACAGGATCTAAATTGCCCAGATTGGTTTCAAAGTTGTGATTCTCCTGCCTCAGCCTCCTGAGCAGCTGGGTTTGGAGGTATGTGTCACTGTGTCTGGATATTTTTCATTAACTTAGTTATTTTTTTGGTGCTAGGGATAGACCCCAGGGCCTGGTGCATGCTAAGCACACCCTACCACTGAATATCTACTAAATTTCTGAATATCCGAATTAAAAACATTCATAACCGTTTAAAGGCTTACCATATAAGATGATTTATAATCAGTGTAAAAACAAATCTGCCAATTTAGTGTAAATACAGAATATGGTGAAACGTGATTTTTGGCTTCATATAGAGACACAAAAGGACAGCCCGGGTGCCCAGCACAGGCCACACACATCTGTGCTACACGGTCAAGGCTGAAGGCTGTGTCCCTATGCCTTCCTCTCCCATCCTGATGGCTGGTCCTGGGCAGTGCCTTAGCTCCTTGGGCCTCAGTTTCCATGAAATGTTGCTCCTAGGGATCTACTCACTACACCCTGTGCCATCGTGGTCTACGGTTAATGGAGAGCTCAGTACGGCCGGCATAGAACTTACCCTCAGTGAAGCCATCAGGGCTGGGCTCGGCTCAGGCAGAGCCAGTGCTGGGTCTTGCCCTGGTACAAGAATAAATAAATAAACACCACTACTGTCATCACCCGGGACAGTTCATCTTACCACGTAGCCAGCCCTCAAGGGCTCAAGCAGGCAAAGCGTCCTGCACAACTGTTTGGCCAGTGTAACTGTTTTTGAGAATTTTTTCTTAGTTTTTCCAGACAGGGTCTCCCTAAGTAGCCCAGGCTGGCCTCCAACTCATGATCTCCTGCCTCAGCCTCCCAGGTGCTGTGCTTACAGATGGGTGCCCCCACACCTGGCTATAATCGTGTTTTTACAAAGCACGTGGCCAGCTGTTCTGCTCAGAGGCCTCTGCGGTGCTGACAGAGGCCAGGGCATGCCCTCCTGCCCCCGCCTTGGCACCATGGTGTCGCCCAACCCGCTGCTGCTCTCCACTTCTCATAACCCAGAAAATACACGGAAACGGCGGCATCAGAAGGTCCATCTCTAGAGCTCGCAGTAAAGCATACAGTAGAGTCCTATGTGGGGAGACTGGGCCAGAGAGCATCCTGGGAACCTGGGCATGGGGCTCTGAACTGCCCTGGCAGAACTGCTGTCCCGCCCATCACCCCGCAGCTGGCTGGTGGCACATGAACATCTCATAGCGGGTGTCCGGCATCCACAAGCTGCGGACCACTGGGGCTGTGCAGCACCTCTCCTGCTAATATGGCCTGGTTCCTCTCCTCTGGCCCACATGGCTGCATTGTGGAGGACATGGCCCCACCACCCACTAAATGCCTGGGTTTTTTCTTCCCTCTAGAGAAACCTGATGTGAAGCAGAAATCGACCAAGAAGAAAGGTGTCATCCCACAGATCATCGTCACTCGGGCTTCCAGCGAGACCCTGACCAGCTGCAGTTCCCTGGGGAGCGAGGAGCAGAGGACCATTCAGGAGCAGGCTGACTGGGGTTCCTACTCACGACACAGGAGCCCCAGCATGGCCGCCGCCTTCAACCCCCAGGCCAAGGAATAAATGAGCTCAGGGAGCTGTGCGGACAGACTCTTGCTCTGCCCTGTGGGGAGCCCGTCATGGTGACTGCAGCTGTGCTCTAGTCCCACAGCCCTAGTGACTTGGTGGAGAGCAGGAGGGGCTGGCTCAGGGTGCACTGGATGTACCACGGGAGTGAGCTGGCACATCCCCGTATCTGTCTGAAGTGGCTGGCTATTCAGAGCTGGGCACACAGGTGGCTGACTGGCCTTCAGAGGGAGTGAATGCCGTGCCCCAAACTCGGGGACAGGTAGTCTGAAGACTGAGCTACGGCGTGATGGCTCAGGGCAGAGTGGTGGAAAGTCACTGCACATTGGAGAGGGCTCCTAGCTGACTGTGAGCTGACCCAGAGGACTGAGGCCCAAGAGGGCCAGGTGTGCTGGTGCACACCCATAATCCAGCACTCTGGGAGGCTGTAGCAGGAGGATTGCAAGTTCCAGCCCAGCCTGAGGAATTTAGTGGCTTTGTGAGATTCTACCTCAAAATAAGAAATAAAAATAAAAGGGCTGGGGATGTAGCTCAGTGTGCAAGCCCTAGGCTTAATCTCTAGTGTTGCAAAAGAAAACAAGAAAGGCCTAGAATAGTGTAGACCGCATCGGGGGAGGGCAGCCAGGCCACTGAAGCTTCGGCAGCAGCCTTGCCACTGCTGTCCTCTTTCTGGCTCCATGGACAAGAAGTCTCTGGGGTGGAGGGCCAGTTGGGATCCAGTGTGACACTATGGGACAGCCTCACCGCAACCTTCAGGCCAGGTGCTACAGAAGTCCTGCAGGCCTATCCAGTATACGTGTGCACACACAGAGTCTGTCTGTCTAGCACACACACACATGCACGCAGTCCTATCTACTACATACACTGTCCTAGATAGTACCTTCACATAGTCCTGGCTAGTATATACACACACACGCAGTCCTCCCTACTACATAGTGTCCTAGATAGTACATTCATACATAAACCACAGTCCTATCCAGTACACACTCAGACCTATCCAGTACACACTCAGTCCTACCTAGTACACAGTGCACACACACAGTCCATTGTAGTACATACACATAGTCCTATCTAGTAAATACACACAGTCCTACATAGTACATACTCACAGTTGTACTTTGTACACACATAATCCTTCCTAGTACATACCTATCTACCCAGTATATATGCACACGCAGGCTATTTATTTATAAATACACATACACACATTTTATCTAGTACATACACACAGCCTATGTAGTACATACACACACAGTCCTAAGTAGTATAAATACACACACCATCCTACCTAGTACATATACACACACAGTCCTATTTAGGAATATACACAGTCTAGTGTGTATTTACATACAGACAGACTTACCTAGTACATACACACAGAGTTCTATTTAGTATATAACAGTCTAAACTAGTACATATACACATGTAGTACTATGTTGTACATATGTACCCAGCTGTCCCTAGTACACACACAGAGTCCTATGTTGTACCTAGTACATACACAGTTCTACCTAATACACACATATATACACGTAGGGCTATTTAGTACATACATTCATGCATGGAGATCTATCTACTACACACACAGAGGCCTATCTAGTACATAGATATACCCATACATATACATATGTATGTAGTACATACACATACCCAGTCCTATCTAGTACATGCAATCCTATTTAGTACATGCACACAGCATGCAATCCTACCTAATCATAGATAATGTGCTCAGACCTATGTAGTTCATACATACATACAGTTCTAATACTACATGCATAAACCCATACATGTACATTACACTGTATATGTAGTACATACATAACATGCATATAGTTGTCTCATATTTAGTACATACAAACTTGTTATTTATTGATATCTATATAGTCCTATCTGGCACATACATAAAACAACCCTATCTAGTACACACATGCAAGCCACTCTAGTAATAAATGCATACACGTAGGAAATCATACACATATACATGCCTACATATAGTGATACATACATGCATACCTATTTAGTACATGCATGCATGCATGTAGGCCTATCTAGTACATTCATACAATCCTCTATGTATGTATACACATATACAACCTAATGAATGGAGTGTAGGGCTGGGGATTTAGCTCAGTGGCACCATGCCTGCCTCGAAAGTGTAAGGTCCTGAGTTTGATCCCTGGTACCAAAAAAAACCCCAAAATAAAAGAATGTAGTGTAGCATGAAAATATATTGTTTAAAGACTTTTGCATACAAGTTTTAAACTCCCAAGGGCAAGGTGCAAGGAATCTGGCAGAAGGTTAATTATTACTTTTTATTTTACTTTATATTTTATTTTTGCTTTTTTGAGACACAGTCTCACTTTGTAGTGCAGGCTGGTCTTGAATTCACTATGTATCCCAGGCTGGCCTTGAACTCATGGCAATCCTCCTGCCTCAGCCTCCCGAGTGCTGGGATTACAGGTATGCACCATCAGAAGCCTAATTTTTAAATTATTTATTTTTTTGGACACAGGGTCACACTGCATAGTCCAGGCTGGCCTCAAACATAATCTTCCTGCTTCAGCCTCCCAAGTCCTGGGATTAGAGGCATATGGCACCACGCCCTTGTCTAAATATTTTAGATGTTGCTTTGCTACTGAAAACCTGCTTTGCACTCACCTGAGCAAATGGAGCCCAGCTGGGTCTGTGTTCTGGACACCTAGGAGCAGGAATAGCCCAGCTTTCCAACCCTCACCTCAACCCTCTGCACGTCCCATCACATACCACCTGCGAAATGAGTGCAGCCCCTGGGACCCTCGGGCTCCTGAGTGCTCTCCAGCAGCCTGTACCCTAGTTCCCTCCCATCAGTGCTCCCAAGCTGGCTCCAGAGCCAAGCAGCTTCCCAACCTGTCGAGGCCAATGTGAGAGTGGAGGGGAGCACGGGACGTGCAAGCGTCGAGTCACAGCCCCCTGAGCGCCCCCACGAGGCCCCAGCCCAGCTCTGCCTGGAGATGGGGGAGGCTGGCCTCACACAGGACTCTCCTCCGCAGGAGGCTGCTTCCAGGTCCCCAGCGGCTGCCACAGCATAGCTCTCATTTGCAGCTGTCTGGTGCAGGACTTTGAAGCACTGGGACTACTGCTGTCCTGATGGAATAGACCTTGCCACTTAAACAACCTTGGAAGCTACAAGCTGTGAGCAGCCAAAACAGCTTCTAGCGGGTCAAAAGCAATCCGAGAGTAGTCTAGGTCTGGCTGCGGGCAGTCCTTTGAGCATTGCTACCTCTGCTGGATTTCAACAGTGAAGTCAAAATAGGAGACATGACGCCCCACATCTTGTAAACCTCCACCTCTACTTTCTTTTCCAGGCCAGAATCTCAGTGGTCCTGGCGGATCCTAGGAGTTCCGGCGCCGGGAGAGTCCTTGGTAACCGTTGTTAAGAGCCAGGTGACCGGAAGTAGATCGTGCGCGTGCGCACACGGAGGGCGAAGGGACGGCGCTCAGCATGGCGGACCCGGACCCAGAGTCGGAGCAGATCCGCCTGAAGTGTATCCGTAAGGAGGGCTTCTTCATTGTGCCTCCGGAACACAGGGTGCGACAGGGTGCCACTCGCGAAGCGCTTCCCGCCTCGCCACCCGCAGGCCGGATCGACAGGGCCGGGAATCTGCGTCGCGCTGAGGCACCCAGGCTTCCAGCACTGGCGGGAACGATAGTCCCAGAATTCCTTGCGGCCTGCGGGGAAGCCGGCGGCGGGGCGGGGGGCACGCGGGGCGGGGCGGGGCGGGGGGCGCGCGGGGCGGGGCCTGTGAGTTCCGAGCCTAGGCTTTGCAAAAGCAGCTCTATTGGGGAGGAATTTGCCTGTGAGAAGAGTAGGAGGAACCCTAATCTCAGCTACTCTGGAGGGTGAAGCAGGAGAGTTATTGAGAGACCTTGTCTAAAAAAAGAAAAAGGGCTAGCTGGGCGTGGTGGCGCATGCCTGTAATCCCAGCACTTGGGAGGCTGAGGCAGGAGGATCTCCACGAGTTCGAAACCACCTGAGCTACGTAACGAGTTCGAGGACAGACTAATAGACCCTGCCTCAAAAAAAACATAAATAAATAAAGATATAACGCAGTGAAGATGTAACTCAGTGCGAAACTCTTGTCCAGAGTGCTCAAGGGCGGTTCAATCTGTAGTGTGGGGGAGCTGCCTGTGATCTCTGGAGGTCACAGGTGCCCCTTGTAATCACGCCCTATGGCCACATGCCCCTGGTAGCATTACCTAACATAAAGAAAGAAGGAACCATGGATGTTGAAGACCATCTTTGGCGGTGTTGGCCTCTGACAGCACACCCGTGGAGCATGGGAGGGAGTGGATAGGCCCCTTCGGAGTTTCATTCGGCGTGGGCCCCGCTTCCTACTCCTATTACCAGAAAAGCCTGGTGCAGCTGCCTTTCTCTTTGGTGACCAGTACACAAGCCTGCCTCTCCGTACCAGTTATGGGTGAAATACCCACCTTGCTTGTCCCGTCAGCTTCCTGCCCACACAGCTGCACCTGTCTTTCAGCTGGGACGATGCCGGAGTGTGAAGGAGTTTGAGAAGCTGAACCGCATTGGCGAGGGCACCTATGGCATTGTGTGTGAGTGGCCCAAGTAGGGGACTGGAGCCACAGCTGGGTTTGGGATGGGTGGTGGGTGTGTTGTTGCCATGGCAGCCGCACTGGGCTGGAAGGGCTCTGTTCTTGTCCAAACCAGGCCCAAGGCTGGCTGGGGAGCTTTCATTGCTGGTGTAACTCCATGAGCTTCACACCCTGTCTGGATAACGGAGAGTGTCAGTCACCCCAGTGTGTCAGCATAGAGGGGCAGAGCTGTCAAAGTGATACTGTGTAGAGCTTCCTGAAGCAGCTGGACTCATAGTAGCTCCAGGGATGAGTCATTCTGCCAGGTGCTTGGAAGCTGCGCACACTGACAAAACTCTTTGTGGAGCCATCTTTGCACAAATAAGGATTGTTTTTTCCTGGCTATAGTAAGCAAAGCCGAGGCTAAGGAGGAGAATGTGCAGGAGGGGCTGAGGCTGATTTCAGTACACAGATCAAAGCTGGGTGCCCTCTGCCCAGCTCAAGCAAGAGGGAGCTCTGGGAGTGCCTGTCTTGAGCTGGGAATTTGCATGTGCAGAGTGAGGACTAATGTCACTAGGCATTGGGTCATCAGGAGAAGGGGACCCTGGGGAGCTCAGGGGCCTTGGACAGGGTCTGGGGTAGGACTATCCAAGATGGGCTCCCATTCTAGATCGGGCCCGGGACACCCAGACAGATGAGACTGTTGCCCTGAAGAAGGTGCGGATGGACAAGGAGAAGGATGGTGAGCGGAAGTAGGGGTGTGGGCCATTCTGGCTGGACTTCAGCACAGATGTGGCATTGTGCACATTATCCAAGGTTTTCTCAGTACTGAACCTCCCCAGGGCGCCTGCGCAGGGGTAGAAGGGTACCTTTCACCCCATCCATGCCTCAGCTCCCCAGCCTTGCCCCCCACGAAGGCCTCTGGGTTCTGTCTGTCCCTGCTCTCCCACTGTCATCATGACTACACCCTTCCATCCCAGCTCAGCTGTCTCCCTGGTGCCAAGCCCCAGGCCTGCCCTGCATCCTCCGGGGTGCACTGTCACTCACAAACAGTGCTGGGCCCAGAGAGATGCTGTTTGCAGAGAGGGTTAGGAGTGTGCTGGGGATGGTGGTGGCCTCGTGTAGGGTGTGTGTGGAGCCAGGGAGCTGCGGCCAGTGATGCTTACCGGGCTGGCTTGTGGTAGGCATCCCCATCAGCAGCCTGCGGGAGATCACGCTGCTCCTGCGCCTACGCCACCCCAACATCGTGGAGCTGAAGGAGGTGGTGGTGGGGAACCACCTGGAGAGGTACGCATCCCAACCTAGTCCCCGGGTGTCCAGCAGGCCTGGCCCTGTGCACTAGGAGACAAGGGAGGTGGTTTGGCTTTGTCCTAACCTTCTCCTTACAGCATCTTCCTGGTGATGGGTTACTGTGAGCAGGACCTGGCCAGCCTCCTGGAAAACATGCCCACTCCTTTCTCTGAGGCCCAGGTGTGTGGGCTTCACGTGTGTGGCGCAGCCTGTGGAGCTGCTCAAGAACATGGAACTGCCCGTGGGGCACGCATGGGGTGTGGGGAACCTGGGCTCTCTCTGCACGGCAGGTAAGTCCCTGGAAGGAGGGGGCAGCAGCACCTCCCAGCTGTGCTAGGCTCCTGAGGCTACCTTGGGGACTGTTGGGCCTGGTGGCCAGTACCAATGTGGGACAGCTGGGCTCCAGCATAGGTTCGTACAACCAACACCTTGACCCTCACACAGGTCAAGTGCATTGTGCTGCAGGTGCTCCGGGGACTCCAGTACCTGCACAGGAACTTCATCATCCACAGGTGGGTGGGGCCGCAGCAGAGGATGGAGTCCTCAGAGGATTGTGTCCAAGGCGTGGCCTGGGCTGGGCAGTCTTATAGTGGGCGTGGCCTGGGGGGTCTGGTATCCTAGGCCTTGAGGGTCTGCACCAGTACGCCTTCCAAGTGCCAGAGGACAGCTGTGGACACGCAGCAGTCCTCTGCCTGCGGGGAGGGGTCCAGGATCAGGTGAGCCTGGGAAGCCCCTGGGTACCTCTCCTGCTCTGACGGAAAGCTGGGCCCTATAGACGCTGCCTGCAGAGCCTCGTCCAGGCCTGCTCGTCCAGGCCTGGACACATGTAAGTCTGAGGTCTCGGCTGTGGGTGGGACTGAGCAAGACCAGAAGCCGAGTCCCCTCATGTGTGCCTCTCCACTGCCAGCCCTCTGAAACGCTGACATACCCGGGATCATGTGCGCCATGGCGACAGTCTAATCTAGTATCCCGTGGGCCTGCCTCCTGGGAGCACCAGCCTTTTCTTCCTGTTACAGGGACCTGAAGGTCTCCAATCTGCTCATGACTGACAAGGGCTGTGTGAAGACAGGTGGGTGCCGGGCACCGGAGCCCCGTGTGTGTGTGTGTGGAGGAGGTGGGAGTGTCAGCCCTTGTAAGTGCCCCGGAGTCCGGGGCTGGCCCAGCCCTGGCCCCGGCCATCAGCCTTGCCCCCTCTGCCTCTGCTGCAGCGGACTTTGGCCTGGCCCGGGCCTCTGGGGTCCCAATGAAGCCAGTGACTCCCAAGGTGGTCACCCTCTGGTGAGTCCTTTGGGACTGTGGTGGCTCTGGGGTGGACGTCATGGATCTGCAGGAGCCAGTCTGTGTGCCAGGGCAAGGGTGCCAGGCTCTGTGGCCTCGGGGGCTGCCTCACATATGAGGCGTCACCTTGGCCTTACGCAGCCAGAGCACCAGGGAAGGGAGGGGTGGTGGCTTTCAGGAGTTACATTTCCGGCAGGCAGAACGGGGTGGTGGTTAGGGACAGGACACCAATGGCCATGTGGCCTCTGCTAAGTGTCACTCAGCCCCATGGGAGACCAGGCAGACAGTCTCAGGTCTGTGCGGAGGACATGGCAGTTTATAGCCACAGGAGCCCACTGCCCACGGCGCACTCTGCCTGCAGCACCATACCCAGTGTTGCCTGGGAGTGATGACCCCGTTGCTGAGACTGCCTTGGCCCTCAGGGTAGCTGTGCCCTGTGGAAGCTAGGCTCGGGCCTGGGCGCAGAGGTAACTGCAGAGCTGAGGTGGTGCTTGTGTGCAGGTACCGTGCCCCTGAGCTGCTGCTGGGAACTACGACCCAGACCACCAGCATCGACATGTGGTGAGAGGGCTGCTGCCCTGGGCACGTGGGGCAGGGGCAGGGGGCTTGGGCCTGACCCCAGGTCCTAGAGGACACGTGAGGAAGGCACACCACTGCTCCTTGGCCTCTGGCGCTCAGCTCTGTGGGAAGCAGGTCTGCCCTCGTGGCAGTCATATGCCTGCCCACCATGGCACCCTCTGACTAGTGTCAGCATGGTACTCAGTCAATCCACACCCCTTACCTGCAGGGCCGTGGGCTGCATCCTGGCTGAGCTGTTGGCCCACAAGCCCCTGCTCCCTGGCACATCTGAGATCCACCAGGTTGACCTGATTGTGCAGCTGCTGGGGACGCCCAGCGAGAACATCTGGCCGGTTTGTGCCCCTACCTAACCCTGGCCTGCCCATCCTGTCCCTGTCCTTTCTGGGGTTCCAGCTTTCCCTCCCTGCAGGGCTTTTCCAAACTGCCACTGGTCAGCCAGTACAGCCTGAGGAAGCAGCCATACAACAACCTCAAGCACAAGTTCCCATGGCTCTCGGAGGCTGGGCTGCGTCTGCTGAATTTCCTCTTCATGTATGATCCCAAGAAAAGGTGTGGACACCTCCTGCAGCACCCTACCCACCTTGTTACCTGGGTGTGCGGTTTAAGAGCTCAGGGGGACCCTGTTGCTCAGGCTGCTGTGGCCCTGCACCAGTGAGGGTGCTGCCCCATGCAGAATGGAGACACCTTTGACCCAGTCCTGTGCTCATCTTGTAGTGCCAGGGACAGACCCCAGGGCCTCTGCAGTGGTCACACACTCTGCCGTGAGCCAGACCAGGCTCCTTTAAAGACGGCTGCCCAGAGCACAGGCTGCGCTACTTTTAGGCGCCCTGCCAGACACTCCCACAGGATCACCCTGGGCTCCCATGGGCTTCTGGCCCTCAAGCCGTTCACTGCCTCCCCTTCTGTTGCTGGGGGTTTGGCCCAGGGGCTGCTGAGCTGGCCTGAGTTCATGGCAGACAGGCCCCACTAAGGCCAAAGATCCCATTGGCGGGCTGCTTTTCTCCAGGGCAACAGCGGGGGACTGCTTGGAGAGCTCTTATTTCAAGGAGAAGCCCCTGCGTGAGTTCCTCACTCCCTCAGGGGCAGAATGCTGGGGCTGGGTGGCAGCCCTGGGTGCCTGTGTAGACCTGGGGGAGGGGGGAGCTGATACAGGGCTGGGTATCCGGGGCAGCCAGGCTGGGCTTCGGTGCACGGGGGTTCAGACCTGGAGTGCACCCCCAGCCCAGCACTGAGCTGCCTTCTTCTGCAGCCTGCGAGCCAGAACTCATGCCCACCTTCCCTCACCACCGAAATAAGCGGGCTGCTCCAGGCGTGGCAGAGGGCCAGAGCAAAAGGTGCAAGCCCTGATGGTGGCCACATGCAGACTCCAGACCAGAGGTGTCCTGGGGATCCGGCTCTCTCCATGAACCACCTGCAGCTCTCCTGCCCAGCACCTGGCAGGGTGTGAGCCATGGGTGATGGGAGGGCTAGGCTGTTGCAGTGCCACCCAAGCCTGTTAAAGCTGCTGCATGGAACCCAGGGAGAATCCTGGCTCTAGGCTGTGCCCTGGCCTGGGATCACTGTGGTCTTTGGGGCCAGCTAGGGCACAAACAGGCTCTGATGACCCCCAGGTGGGGATGGTGGGAGGAGGACACTGCTGAAATGCTAGGGAGAAGTGGTGGGCTCCCACCCTGGGGCTGGAGAGATAAAAGGCTTTCAAACAGATGTTGTTGCATCATCTTTTAATGTACTGAAGAGCTCTGACTCGTGTGACAAGAACAGTGTCCCCAGGGTGCTGGGCAGGGGTGGGACAGGGATGCTGGGGGAGGCTCAGAGAGGGAGGTAGAGGTTGGGACACAGGGCAGTGGGTACTGTATCTACCCTCACAGGGCAGACCTGGCCCACCCCACCCTGTGGTCACTGGTTCTGGGGCCCTAACGAGAGGCAGAGTGACTCCCTCTGGGGCCAGCTGTGCCCGCCCGTGGATCCACCACAGGCACCGTCAGGGCAGCTGGGGTGCTAGTGGCTGAGAATCATCACCTCCGCTGGGCAGGAGGGTGATAACCTCCCAAGCCCTCCTGGCTGTGACACTCAGGGGAGAGGCCTGGTCCTCAGCCAGGTCAGCCACGCACCTGACAGAGCCTCAGGGCAGGCCTGTGTAGGAACCCCAAACACGAACTGCAGGAAGCAGGAACTGCGGGGCGCTGATGGACCTCCAAGGGGCAGGTCCTTCCTGGGGGCAGGTTTGGGCACCATGACACAGACAGGCTGACTCTTCTGTCGGCATGTGAGGCTGGGCACTGAGGACAGGGATGCATGAGAAGTCCCTGCAGCCCAGCTCAGCCTCTGCTAGCAGGTTTAGGGTCCCTTTCCAACACACAGGGCCAAACTGCCCAGCACAGGATGGGGCAGCCAGGGACCCCAGCCGCCCCTAGAGAAGCACCATGGAAACTGTCGCCTGGAACCATTGGCCAATCAAACCTAGGGTTGGGCCCCAGGGCTGCTGTAGAGCAGGGTATCCACCCGAGCACGCTGCAGCCACAGGCGCCTCTGGGTATCACTGAGCAGCGCCCGCAGTGAGTGCCCCTGGCGGCAGGCAGGCAGCACAGCGCAGTGGGCAGCATGCAGCTGGTGGCAGGTGTCACAACACAGGGCCGGTAGGGCACCGGGCGCCAGGCAGCTGTGTGCCTGGTAGCCCAGGGGCTCAGGGACAGGGCTGTAGGCCGAGGCTGGTGCCCCCTCCACCCGCCTGTGCCTGGGGCTGGCCCGTCCTGGGCTCCTAGGGGCTTCGGGAGCGGCCAGGTCCCCAGGCTGGCTCAGCTCGTGGCGCAGTGAGAGGAAGGAGAAGGCAGAGGGCTCGGGCTGTAGCTCCTCCTCCAGAGCCCCATAGGGTGGGCTGCTGGCCCGGGGCAGCTCCTCAGCCGGGGGCTCCCAGGTGTGGCCCCCGCTGCCCCAGAGTTTGGCACTCTGTTCCCAGAGCGGTGGCAGGTAGGCCAGCTCCATGGGGGGCGAGTCAGGGCCAGGTGACGCTTCCCCATACAGGCTGACCTCCTCCGAGGCCTCGTCTTCCTGCAGGTCCCGGTACAGGTCCAGGGGCGACCCGTAGGAGGCAGGGCGGCCCCTCGGGGGCAGGGGCGGCGGCTCTTCCTCCTGGGCCAGGCGCTGCTGCAGCCAGGCCACACAGGAGGCCACGTCCCTGCTGGCCCGCCTCGCCCGCAGCAGCTCCTCAGCTGGCAGCACACTGGTGCCCAGCTGGGTCAGCACCTCCCCCAAGATCTCACACTCCAGCCGAAGCGCGAAGCAGCCCAGGGCCACCTGGACCAGCTGGCAGGCAGGGGGCAGGCTGGCGACCATCAGGCGGTGGTTGTCCCTGCGCACGTAGCCCATCTTCTGGAAGCTCTGGATGAGGAGCTCCTCGGAGAGCACGCCCTTCAGCACATGCACGTAGCCCCCGGAGAAGGTCTGCAGAGGGGCCCTGGTCAGCAGCTGGCCTGCCGGCATCCGGCTCGCCAGCTTGAGGTGCTGGTGCCTGCCCCAGGCTGCTCTGACAGTGTGGGGCAGGCTGGACGGCAGGGCTTTCAAGATTTAACTAGGAGTACGGTAAGCCCCCAACTCACGGACATTCTCGCTGTGAGCTTTTCCAGGTGTACTCACTTCGTGGATTACGAAAGAATCCAACTTAAGAACGTTCTCCCAGAACAGAACTCATTCATAAGTCAAGAACAAACATACGGCGCTGGCTCACAGCGCAGGACAAGTAAAGAACGATGCACTGGGTTTTGTCCTCAGGGCCCACCGGCCTCCCCATGAAGACCTGCACCCTATTGGTTCCCATGTATCTGCTGCACTTGTTTTTCGATTTCTGTTTGTGTGTGTGCATGTGAGTGACTGGGCCTTTGCTCTGAGCTATATCCCCAACTCTTTCGATTTTTTGAGAGGTCTCAATAAGTCACTAAGTTGCCTAGGGTAGGCTAGAACTTGTGATCCTCCTGTCTCAGCCTCCCAGAGTGCTGGGATTATAGAACCAGCAGCTTTTTTTGGAGGGAGGGGATTTGAGATAGATAGTTCAGGCTATGTAGTTCAGCCTGGCCCTGAACTCACAATGATCCCCCTGCCTCAGCCTCCCAAGCGCTGGGATCACAGGCATGCGCCAACCACGCCCAGCAGAGGAAATAGATTCTTAAACACTCTTACACTGTGGTCTTTCCCCAAAACAGTCCTGAGGAGCTTTTCCCTGCCAGGACAGGCTTTGTGGTACATTTTATCTTGCTGTATAGTATTCCACTGTGTGGCTGAACCAATTTTTTAAGTCTCCAGAGGTTCTAATGTACAGCTGGTGAGAGTGTGGGAATAACAGATGGGAAAGTGCTTTCTAGACTACAAAGCCTGTGAAGACTGGAGAGCGTCAGGACCAGGATCCCAACTCTCAGACTGCCTGGAGCATTTCTATAGTCCTCGAGAGGATGACAACCTCCAGGCATTGGGCACCAGCTGCAGCATTTCCTCCCTAGAAAAGCTTATGAACTGGTCCACTATGCCCCTTTGTTACAGGAAATGGTTCAGCGAGATTAGGCAACGTGCTCAAAGTCACACAGCTAGAAGTCCTGCCCCTGCCAATGTGAGTGCCCAGGGCCTGCCTGCCTGTTCCGTTCTGGTCCTCGTGCACCCTACACTGGGGTGTAAGATGAATGAAAGCCTCCGAACCTGGACCAGCCGGCAGGTGTCCCCACGGGGTAGGTGACTTCCGAGCGCCCCGGGGAGAGGCTGCCGCTGCCATGGCAACGGGCAGAGGCATGTCTCGCCCACGTGCACACTGACGTCATCGCCTTCCCACGCCTCGGAACGAGCTCAGGGCAGGCAGTGCCCTGCCCTCCCAGGGCAATCCCCCTTCCCGGCGCGAGCCCCACCCCCGGCTCTCCTTCTAGCTTCAGCGCCCTCCTTTACCCAGGGGCTCGGCCCACAGCCTGGAGGGGTCAGGATGACCATGGATCCTCGATCCCCGTGGGGCCACCCTCGGGTTTCTACGGCCACTAAGGAGGCCAGGGTCCCCAGCAGGCGGTGCCCACGCTGGCCTGCGCCCACAGCGACCCCCGGGCGGCGCGCACCTTGATGGTGGTGAACTCCTTCCGCCAGGGCAGCAGGTACAGGTGCACGGCCGCCAGCTCCAGCAGCTCGAAGGCGCGCGCCAGGCCGCGCAGCGCGGGCGCCAAGTCGGCGCGGCCCCAGAGCCCGTCGGTGAGCAGCGCCAGCGCGTCGTCCTGCAGCGCGCCGTGCAGGTCGAAATCTTCCACCAGGATCTGCCAGAGCACGGCGCGCAGCGAGGGGTCCCCGCACACGCCCGCACGTCCGCGCCGCAGCTCGCGCTCTAGGCACAGGCGGTAGTCTTCGGACAGCGAACTGCTGCCCATCCTGGAGCGGCGGCGGGTCAGCGCGCGCCCCTAGCCCCGCGCCCAGGCCCACCGGAGCACACTGCGGCCCGCACGCGGCGGCGCTACCTGACCGCGCCCCGGTCCCCCCGAGCTGCCGCCGCCGCTGCTCACCGCGATCTTCCAAGGCGGCGCGCTTCCGCCGCGAGCCGCTCGGCGCCAGACCGCGGCCGCGACGTCGGGGCGGGGCTCGGCTCGGGACCGCCCCTGTGGTGTGGGCGTGGCCTAGCGGGAGCGGGGCAGGGCTTGGCTCAGGTTTGGCCCCGCCCCGCCGGATCCCGGCAAGAGCTCCTCTCTGGGTTCCTATAACCGCGTCGCCCGTCCGCTCGGCGGGCCGATCTGTCAATGCTGCGGGTACCCAGCGGGCCCTCGGTCAACGTCCGGGGGAGAGCACGCGGAGCGCTCGGGCCAACCATCCGAGCACGCTGGCTCCGCGTGCCAGAGCCGGGCCTCCGGGGCGGGGCTTTCGCCTTGACTGGCGGGGATTGACCCGAGGCGTGAATGGAGGCGAAGCCTCAGCCCTTTCACCTTACCCCTTCCTTTTTGCAGTATTCCCTGATCTCTTCGTTCATTTTTAAATTTTTGAGGTGGGATCTTGCTAAGTTGCCCAGCATGGTGTCGAGCTCGCCGTCCTTCTGCCTCAGCCTTTCAAATAGGTGCGATTACATGCATGTGCCACTCACGGCAGCCTCCTGCGTGCTGCCACAGGCCTGTGATCCCAGGTACTCAGGAGGATCGTGAGTTCGACAACACCTGGACAACTTGGAGAGGCCTTATTTCGAAATAAAAAATAAAGGCTAAGGATGTAGCTCAGCGCTTCCTGGATTTAATTCCCACTACCAGAAAAATATTTAAAAAGCAACCTCGGGCTGGACATGTAGTTCAGAGGTAGATTGCTTGCCTGGCCTACGGAAGACCCTGGGTTCGCGGCCCTGGGTTCCATTCACAGAGCACTGCATAGTATAAAATGGAAGGCATAAAACAACCCCCAACCAACCGAGGCTAGGTGGGCGCCCCCTGTGGGCAGGTTGCAGAGGACCAAGATATTGATCACGCCCAAGGCAGGCTGTGAGAGTTAACCCTACGGTGGGCTTGTTTATAGACGTGAGGCCGGCCGAAGCCTAGGTCAGAGTAACTCGCACCCAAATTCCGTTCCCACAACTAAAACCTTCAGACAAAGACAGTGTTCCAATTACAATCATATATTTTGTCTATTCTGTTCCTAATTCAAGAATGCTTTGTCTTGTCCTTTATGAGCCTTGTTTACATTAATTTCCATAGAAACCACACTTTGCCTTTACCCCCATTGATCGCCAATAAAAGTCAGTAGAAGTCAGTGCCTGGGGCTGGCCAGGGGCCTTGTTGGTTGCACCATCCTGCCCCACCCCCCTTTCTTTCTTTTTTTTGGTACCAGGGATCAAACTCAGGACCTTGCACTGAGCTAACTCCCCAGCCCCTCGCTTTCTCTTTCTTAGTTCTGTCTCTTAGTGTGTTCTTTTTCTGAGGCCCGCATCGCACACTAGGCAGGTGGGTATTGGAATCTAACTGCAGGGGTGTTTGGCACCAGGTCAATCCCAAGTGTCTGACCCGGAGCTGCAAAGCCAACCCCTCCCAGGTTTTGTTTGAGCCCCAGGATCTCAGGTCATTTTCTTTCCCTGGCTTTGGTCTCTTCTGCTCTGCTCAGCCCCTCCCCTAGTCCCACGGGTGGAGGAGCGGTGGCCCTTGGCCTTGGGGTCCAGGCTTCAGTAGGCATCTTCTGCAAGACCACACCCCCTTCTTGGTAGCCCCTGCTCCTCACCTCTCCAGGCCAAGACCAAAGCCAGGCACGTTCCCTCAAGACCTGCCTGATTTCTCTCCGAATTTTTACCTGGTTGTTTTCAGATATTTCAAAGGAAACTTTCTAAATATTGTAACCATGTAGGCAGATCTCCCTGAGGGAGGTGCTGGCTACCACTAACACAAGCTGTCCCCATGAACCTGCCCAGATGAAGATACAAGAAAAAGTAAAGGACTTTCAAATACACTTGCGCAGTGAGTTGAGTGGCTGGTTGCACCTGGATAGCTACTGGGGACAGGTGCGGTCTCCTTTGTCTTCCTGGCCCTCGGTGGATGCTGTCACCCCTCTGGACTGACAGGGAAGACTTGGGAGGTCAGAGGCCCCATCCATACACACCTGAGGCCAGGACTGGCGGCTGGAGGGTGCCCGGTCCACCCCGTAACTCTCTCCCCACTACGTACTCAGCATTGTTCAGCTTTCCCAAAATTTCCCCAGTCCATGAATATGAAGTTGTATCTTGTTACTGTTTTAACTTGCATTTCTTGATTATTGTGAATTTGAGACAGGGTCTTTCTTTGTATTGCAGGCTGGCCTTGAACTCATGACATAGCACAGGCTGGCCTCAAACTTTTGGCAATTCTCCTCCCTCAGCCTCCCAAGTACTGGGGATTACAGGTGTGCCACAAGCTCAATTGTTGTGATTTTGAACCTCTCATACTCGTTTTTCTTTTTCTCTTTTGCAGCACTGAGGGTTGAACCCAGGACCTTTGAGTACATTCCTAGCCTTTTTTAAAATTTTGAGACAGGGTCTCGCTAAGTCTCTAACTTGCCCAGCCAGGTCTGGACTTGGGATCTTCCTGTCCTGGCCTCCCAGTACACTGGGATCACAGGTGTGAGCCACATACATGGCCCTGGTTAATGCTTTGTTTTCTCCTCTAGATCCACAGCCTGTCTGTAGCCATTGCAGTGTTTTTTCTTTGCCATTGCAATTTTCGTAATTGGGACTCCTGCATTTTGTTGTTGACTTGCAGGATTTCCAATGGGAACAGTCTGTTCCTCATTTCTGTTCTGTGGGTTGCTACAGCTGAGGAAGGCTGAGGGCTGAGTCATGCACAAGACAGCGCCTGAAGACAGCAGCCTCACTCTGCGCAAGGGTGACGGTGTCAGGGCTCACGAGATATGCAGCTCATCCCCCCTATTCTGTGGAGCAGTGCACAGGGATGTCACTGCCCCAGGAGGCTTGGTGGCATGCTGGGATGAGTGTCCAGGCCTGGGGACTGCTTGCCCCCAGGTACATGCACTAGGGACAGGTATGAGCCTCTTGGGCCCAGCAGAGCAGAGGAGCCAATGGGCAGTGAATGACAAGCTGGGAAAAGTGTGACAGAGCACGCAGCAGGCGGTGGGTGCCAGCCTCCCCCTGGAACGCTGGGTGAGATGTTGATGGGCACCTGGCCTGTCCCCTCCAACCCCCGGGAAGTTCCTGCCAGAAGCTGCTCTAGGACTCTGGCTGCCCTGCCCCAGCCATCCAGCACCTGCCCTTGGGGTCCCATGCTTCCTGCTGGGCTCCCCCAGCTCTGGTAGTGCCTGGGGAGGCATCCTGCTGTTTCCTATAGGGGGAGCAGCTGTCACCCACAGAAGGTACAGTGCACTGTCCCTTAGACCAGCCACTGCCACCTCTAAGGCCCTTTCTCCACAGATTCCGACCACCACCCCACTGCTACCTCTTGAGTCCTTAGTGCCTGGCCACCTGCCTCCGTGTAGTGGCCTGAGCTTCCAGGGCCTTTCCTTTCTTGCCTCCCTGCTCTGAAGGCCTCTCTGCCTGGCCTCTCTCTGCTATCCCTGCACTGTGTGCCTCCCCACATGCAGAAGTGCTGCCACCGCAGGGCACTGGACTGTGTCCTCCCACATGGGATGCACGGCCACCTCAAGGCCCTAGTGTGCACAGGCAGAAGTAGGGCCATGGGAGAGGCTCAGATGCCACAGGCCACTTGAATGCACGTCCAGGGCTGGAACACACAGCTGTTGTGGGGCATCCCTGCATGTGTGTGGGACAAGCTATCATCACGGGCATCAGTGTCCCTGTGGGAAGCACAGTCGTGGCACATTGTTCCTGTGTCCACGTGGCGTGATGATCCGAGAGGCCCCCAGGTGGCGCTCTGGGTGAAGTTGGGCTGTCCTAGACAGCAAAGTCCATGCCAGCCTGGCCAGAGCAGCCCTGTGACCCTGCTCCAAGGCAGAGGGTCTGGGTAGCTGTGTGCCTGCGCCCGGGCCATTGGGTGTGGACGGAGGAGCCACACGAAAGCAAACTGCAGTGACCTCTTTATTTTGGGCCCAGTTGGCGGCCACATGAACTCACGCCAACCTGGGCTGGGCAGGACAGGGTGGGAGTTGGCTGGGGCCCAGAAGGTTCACTGACCACTGCCACTGTGAGCCAGGGTGGGGGTCCTGGCAGGGAGGGGTGCAGCGAGCAGGGCAGCCACTGCCCAGTGAATAAACAGCAGGATCTGTGCCCAGGCTCAGGCAGGGGAGGCTGGCTCTCACTCTCAACTCTGGTCCCTCTGTGCAATGCCCCTGTGGGTGGGCAACTCCAGGCTTCCTTCCCAGGGCCTCAGAGGCCAGCATGGGACAGCAGGGTACAGGGAGCTGACGTGCCCATCCTGCTGCAGAAAGAGGCCACCCTGAGCCGTGGGGGCAGCTGTGGACCAGGAAAGAGGCCAGGGCCAAGGGTCCACTACAGCTGGCTGCCCTTGGTGCCCGGCAACCGAGTGCAGAGCACCATGGAGGCCAAGGGGTCATCTTCAGCGGGCAATGAGCTGTCCCTATGGTCCAGCCTCTACTTGCCCAGGGCCCCCTGTGGCAGCAGCTCCACGTAGTTCAAGGCACTCTGCAGTGACGTCAGGCAGTAACCTTCCTCTCCAATCAGGTATCTAACAGAGGCAAGGGGGTAGCAGGTGTCACATGAAGGGGATAGAACTCCCCGCGCTGTGCTCCCACAGGCTAGGACTTGGGCTGAGGGAGCCACAGCTAGGGTTGTAGAGAGGCTGCTCCCCACCACCTGTCCTCATCCTTAGGTGGGAGGGCTGAGGAGTGGCCCTGGAACATGACTGGCCTTGGGGGACAGCCCCTCGGCTCCTGTCTAGGGTCCTGGGGACATGGTGGGGTCAGTGTCCCACATGCAGCCCGTCATCCGCCGACCACTGGCTTAGATCAGGGGTGAGGTACCTGCTGGACATAGCCGCCCATGCTCAGATCCTCCTGTGGGGATCCCCGCCCCTCCCCCCCGACTGGGGGTTCCTACCCCTCATGGGTGAATTCCTCCAGGGCTGCGCATTCTGATACCAGCTGGGGAAGGCCGCTCCTCAGTACCACAAAGGACAAGATGGGCAGCAAGTCATCCGCACCACTGCCGGGCAGGGGCACCATGGCCGGTGGGCTCTGGGGCCAGAGCAGCAACAGACTCCCCAAACCCATGGCCCCTGGGGCCAGCCTGGGCTGGCTGGCTGCTGTCCCAGCACTGTCCCACCCACTGGTGGTGCAGTACACCAGCAGGAGAGCCCATGCATGTAGCAGGGCCAAGTCTGCAAGTGTGGTGCTCTCCTGCTCCTCTGGTCCTGGGACCTCTCCGGCTTCTTGGTGCCCCTTCTCCCCAGGGGTTGCCCCGAGACTGGGGTCACTCAGTTCAAAACCAGACCCCCAGACTCGCCTCAGGAGGGTCCATGTGCACTGAGGGCCCCAGAAGGCCACAAGGCACTCAGCCCAGGAGAGCAAGAGTCCAAGGGGCAGTGAGGTTCAAGGCCAGGGCTTGAGGCCGGCCCCCACCCACTGACAAGGGGCCAGGGCAGGGCGGGTGTCAGATCCCTCCACTTGCAATGACAGGTATCTCCATGGCCAGCCCTGGTCCACAGCTGAGGTCAGGGGGGTTCAGGGTAGGATGAAGCATTGCAAAACTCAGGTGGGGACAGCTCTCCTTCTCTAGGATGTGGCAGACACCCCCAGCTGGGAGTCAGTGCAGGAGCACCCCCAACCTGGTCTCCCTGGAGGTGTGCAAACGGTGGTCCAACTGGGGGCTTCTGGGAGTTGCTGCCTTAGTTTGACCAGATCAGCCAGGGGTCCCAATCCTCAAGAAGCCTTAGCCTACCCAGAGGGCTGGGATGTGGTCTCGGGTGGGAGCCTGCCTTCTCTGAGCCCACGTCCTCCACCTTCCCGGCAGGACCAGCTCTGGACACACCTGGAGAAGCTGGCCGGGGCTCCTGGGCCAGGCACAGGGGAGGGCTGTCCTCCCCTACCCTGACCTCTGTGAGCAGGACAGCCTCAGCCCCAGGGTGCCGGGGGCCGCACTGAAGACTCACATGGCAGCTGCAGGGGTTTGGGGTCTGGCCTCAGGCGTGGGCTCCTGGGCACGGCAGTAGTCTTCAGCACAGACACAGATGACCCGCAGGGTCCTCACTGTGGCAAAGAAGTGGCAGTGTGGGGCATTCTCTTCCAGGACTGTCCCACCCCCTGGGAGAGCCAGCACCATATTAGGGGTACCCCCAGTGGGGCTGTGACCCAGAGGAGAAGGCATCTGTTGTGTCTGGCCATACCCCTGCAGCCCCCACAACCTCCCGTACCGATGCAGCCCAGCTTCTTCTGCGGGCAGCTCTCCAGGACCAGCAGCCCCAGCTCCTGGGCCGCGCTGCAGTAGGGGTAGCTGGCACCCCCCTTGGCCTCCGGTTCCTGGGGGAGGAGCTTGGTGGGGATACCCAGGGCTGTGGGGGGTGCGTTCCGGTAGAGCTCCATGCTCCTGCTCAGGGCGGCCTCCCGAGCATGGTGCACGCTCCTAGGACAGAGAGGTCAGGCTCGGCCACTCCAGGACCCCACCCTGGAGACCGAGGCTGGGCTTTGGCTGGGACCTGGGGCTCAGCCTGGGTAAACTGGCAGTGAGGACCCCAGTTGTGGAGGGTGGGTACGGGCCATCCACAAACCAGAACCCCAGGGGACCGCCTCAGTGAACAGGAAGAGAGCAGGTGATGCACAGTATCCAGATGGGCCTGAGATGGCCACAGGCAGGGCCAGGCACAGGCTCAGCAGCCAGGCACGGGCTGTACCTGTACAGGGCCAGCAGCAGAGGCCACAGTGGGGAGAAGAAGGGCTCCTCGAGGCAGGCCAGGCAACGGTCTTTGCAGGCAGCTGTGTTCAGGCTCTCAAAGGCCAGGAGGGTCAGCGAGAGCAGCCTGTCTGCCAGGAGCAGAGTGGGGACTTCCTCAGGGCCCTCCTGGCTAAGCCCAAAGACAGCCTCCGCCCATTCTGTCTGTGCCGCTTGGGGCCAGAGCCCAGCTCCCCACTCTTCCAAGGAGTCTGAGGAAGGAGGACAGCTCCTTCCTGGAAAGACCTGCGCCAGGTCTGCAGGAGCCCAAGGGACTCAAATCACAGGAAGCGGGGTGGGGGCTGCCGTATCAGCACAGTGAGAACCCAAGACTGTGGCTCCCGGCTGTTGGGCCCAAAGCTGGCATCCCTAGAAGGCCCTCACAAGCCACCTGCAACCTGACCCCCAAGGTGGGAAGGCTAGGGAGTGGGCCAAAGACAGCAGGGTGAACGGTGCCGGAGTCTCTTGCTGAGGAATCATGAGCCCTACCCAGTGGCACAGCCATGACCACCTGCTGACCATGGCCTTGACCACAGGCCCTTGTCAACCACCAGAGTGGAATTTGCTGGGACCAACAAGCAAGGCATGGGCAGGACATGCTTCCCTGGCCCCATATGGCCCAGCTAGGGGATGGCTGGAGACAGAGGGAGGGCCCGGGCTGCCAGCAGAGTGCCTGGCCATGGGCAGAGCAGCGCCCACAGCTCACCGATGGCATTGTGAATGTCCTTCACTGTGCTCTTCAGACACTCCAGCAAGGGCTCCCTCTGTGTCACCTGTGGCCCGGAGCCCCAGCTCCACCTCTCTGATGTAGCCAGGAACTGCTCCAGGTCCTCGAAGGAGCTGTCCTTGTCCGGCAGGTAGGACAAAGTATCTACCAAGGGTGAGGGGGGCCTGGCTGGGCTGCCATCTGTCCCTCTCTCCAGGGTCCCGGGGAGAAGTAGGGGGGTGTCAAGGGGTCCATCCTGGGGCTGTGGGGCCACATTGGGCTCTGGGGGTGACAACATGCAGTACAGGCTCTGGGAGGAGCGGAGGCGCCGGCTCCCAGGAGCCAGCAGCCTGTCAGCATCCGAGGGCAGGGAGCAGCATCCTGGGGCAGACATAGCACCAATAGCGCCATGGCTCACAACGGGATACAGTGCCTTGTACACTGCACACTGCAGTTTCTTCAGCAGCTGCGAGATCGGGTGGTCAGGAAGGCTGCAAGGAGAGGAGTCGCACCTAGCCATGAGGAGGACACGCACCCTTCCCCACCCCGTCCCTCTAGCCACAGTGGTCACCATCCGAGCTGCACAGAGCTGCAGTGTACTTGCTGGCCTCTGGCCTAAGGGCTGAGGAACCTGACCCGTCTGAGGCTCATGCCCTTATGTTACGAAAGAGTCCACCAAAGAGACCTCCACACTGTTTCTTGGTGAATATCCCAGACAAGGTATGACTGGACCTGTCTGGGAGGCTGAGGAAGTCAGTGAAAAGCTCTCGTGTGCAAAGGGTGGCTGAAGCGCAGCTGGAGTTCCACTGTGGGAGCCCCTCACCCCTGGCCTGTCAGCCCAACGGCTACCTCCCCAGCCCTCCCAACTAGTTTCCTTGGGGGTACCTGAGCAGGTGTGAGACCAGGCTGGTCACCAGAGATAGGTCCCCTGGGCTCCTCTTGAGTTTGGCCCTCCAGTGCTTCGGCCAATCCTGCAGGACAGGGGGCCTTGGAGGAAGCACAGTGGGTCCCCACGATGGGATGCCCTCACCCTCCCCAGGGTGTAGGAGGACCCAGTGCCAAGAGGCCCATGGGACCCTGGCTCCCATGCCTGCCTGCTCGGCCCAGCAGCACTCACATGGTCTTGCTCGTACTCAAGGATGGCTGCATAGAGGGCCCTCTGTTCTCGCTCCTCGGGGGTCAAGGCGACCTGACTACAGAACTTCCTGGCGAAGAAGGACAGGCTGGGACCCCAGGGCTGGACCTGTGGGCACAGGAGCCCCACCAGGCCTCCCTACTTGGCTCAAGGTAGGAAGGAACTGCACCTGTTGGCGGCCTCCTGGAGCCGCAGCCGGCGTTCCTCCATCTTCCGCTGCAGCTGGGGTGGCAGAGTCAAGGAGCCAGCCTGGTTGACCTGGGCTGCCCCACCCCTTCCCCAACCGGCATCTGCTCACACCCCAGCACCCTCCACATCCCCAGGGATCCCAATGGCTGATACGGCTGCTACTGACTCCGAAGGAGCCATCCGGTGAATGGCAAGGCCAGAGGAACAGGGGATAAGGGCCAGGCTGTTCCCAGGCAGGGCATCAGAAGACACATCTTAGAGGACCTGAGGAGGGGAGCAGTCACCATGCTGGGTGGAGGACAAGTGGCAGCAGCGGGCCCAGGGAGCCCACGCCCACCCTGCTCCCCACAGCCTTCTCCCCCCGACCCTTGGCCTCTTCCCGTCAGGCCACCAGGGATGGTCAGAAAGGATGCCGTCTCCTCGCGGGCTCTGGCGATCACCAGGTTCTCCATCATCTGCCGCTGCAGAGACAGGGTCTAGGAGGGAAGGCAGGAGTGGGGCAGCTCCTCGCCACCACTTGGGCCTTTCCTGGACAACCTGGGCCCTCCCGGGCTCCACTCACCAGCGACGTCTTCTGTGTGGCCTGGCTGGGGTCCAGACGGGCCATCCGGGCCTCGTAGGTGGCCTTCAGTTTCTGGTTCTGCAGGGAGGCCTCCTCCAGTGGTGTCAGTTCCCTGGAAATGGTGACAAGCTGCCTCCCAGACCAAGAAGCCCGGGAGAGTGCGGTGACCCCAGCCTCTCCTTCACGCCCCTCCTGACCTTGCTCTGAGACCGGGGAGGAAGAGGTGGTGGTGACAGAGCAGGAAGGAAATGCAGAGGGGTCTGGGGCACTACCTGCCCTTCTAATCTGCCACAAACACTGGCCTCAGCAATGCCAGGACTTCTGATTTCTCAAGAGAAGCTAGACCTCTGGACTTTAGAAAAATCAACATGAACCTCATCAAAGGCATGGGACAAGCCAAACAGGGAAACTGGTTTGCAACCACAAAATGGAGAACTCTGCCTGCTCTATGGGGTATGGGGTCCTGAAATGACCACCCCCTCCAGGGGGCCCGGCTCTGCCCCGATGCTGCAGACACAGGCACAAGGTACCTGGGCACCCCTGGCAGCGGGCAGGAGGGGCTGGCCCTAAGTCACCCCAGAGGGCCCGCTGGCTTTCTACCTGAGTCAGTACCTCATTACTTCCAGAAAATTGTCTGCCATTACGTTTTCAAATAATGTGTCTCTCTCATTTTATTTTTGTAGAACTCCAAAAAATGTATGTTAGAACTTTCATCTCTTGTGCTTTCTGTTTCTGTGATACCTGCTGCATAAAACCTGACTGTAATCCCAACTTACTTGTTATGGAAATCTCGGAAAGAAATACACAGAGACACAGAATTTGGATAAAATAATAAAATTTCTTCTTGTGAGTGGATGGGAATGCCAGAAACCGGTCTGGTCAGTATCTGCACCCCTTTGTTCAGCATTTCCCTTTTCATATCCTTCTTAGCCAGTATCTCATCCCTAGTGGTCTTTGATGTATAAATACAATTCCAGTTCCTATTTACAAGTCACAGACACAAGATAGGCCATATACATTGTAAATCCACCCTGGCATGGTAACTTTGTTAGGTTAATGAAGTTACTGCTTAGTCAGATAATCCTCACCTTAAACAAGGAGTTACAGGAAAAGCAAATCTTAAAAGAACACATTACTTATTTTGTTTCCACAACTACCTTAATATTCAATCTATTAAGTTATATAAAACTTTTCCATATCATACTCATTTTCTCTTCAGCTGGATCTACGCTGCTGCTGTAAACTTGTCCACTCATTTTGGTGCATATGTGTGTATTTCCACTGGAAAATATCTTTTGTTTCCAACTAGCTTTTAAAAAATCACTTCAGTGTTATACTTTTTTGCTTCTTTTGTTTTGTTTTTGATTTGTTTTTTGGTACCGGGGATTGAACTCGGGACCTTGTGCTTGCGAGGCAGGCGGTGGAACCACTGAGCTAAATCCCCGGCCCCTACTTTTTTGCTTCTTTCATCTCTGAGTGGTTCTTTATTTAGTGGCCTGATTTTACAGTTTCTTACTCCCTGCAATTGATTTCAAACTTGCTTGTTTTTTCTCTAAATACAGAGAACACTGTCAAGGCCTGAAAGTTCCACCACAGGCTTTGCAGTTCAGTTTCTGCTATCATTCTCTCATGGTTTCTCATTTCCTTTTGTGCGTGGCAACTCTGCGCATCACTAATTTTATGAAAGATGAAGGTTCTTTCTTCCTAAAAGGATTTGTATCTGCTTCTGCCAGGCAAACGGGTATTTTCATTCTGCAGGTACTGAAAACCGAATTTGGCACCTTGAGCATGCTAGGCAAGCTCTATCCCTGAGCTACACCCTTCTCTAAACCCAAGTAAAGGCTCTGCACACCTCCCATCTTGCCATCTTACTTCTTAGAGTTTTGGGACTCGACTGCCTGAAGCTTCTGGAAGATCTCAGGCGGCACGAAAGGAGAGAGCTTCCCTCCTTCATCGGAGCACACTCTGCGGTGTCGGCCAATAGGTGGCGCCGTAGCAGCCATGGGTACCGCTGGCTTCTGGCGTGTCTTCCCTGCAAGCCATATCCACAGCCAGGCTCAGCCAGGTGGGGGCTGTCCCACCAAGCAGACAAAGACTGGGGGTACCCAGGACAGCCCCCTCCTTTGGGCACTTACCGAGCTTGGCAGCTGTTGACCGGGCCCGCTCCAGACACTGCTCCGCCAGCTTCAGCATCTTTGAAGTGTCAGGGGCCACTATTTCCCAGGCTTCTGGGGCAGAGACAAGAAGACCAGTTACGGTCAGCCTCACCCTGAGTCAGGTCCTTGCTGAGATGAAGGCGAAGATGTGGAGAAGCTCACCGCACTCATCTCTGATCATCCACCTTGGGCTCTCAACCACACACAAGCATGTGCTTGGCTAACCCAGTTCAGATTGACCCCTCACTGCTCATTGGGCCTGGGTGTCCAAATGCTGCACCTGGGTGGCGACCTTCACTCCTCACAGGCCACTGTGAGATCCCAGGATGAGCCCCAGGACTCACCTGACTCACCTCCTGCCCGTGCAAGTGCCCACAGCCCTTGTGTCTTCCTGCGGGCATGGCAGCGAGCACCCCTCCTCTTCTGCACTGCCCCTTTACTCCATGGGACCACTGCTAATCTTTATACCCCACTAACCCCAGCTCCTAGGTCACTATCCTGCTCCCCCTCAGAAGAAACCCCTTATAGACTCCATTTTCTCCTCATTCTACACCCAGCTCCCTGAAACTGTCCTTATGCTTTCCTCCCTTGCCAGACATGGTGGGCCACTTGGGCGTGTCTATCCTCTGGGATGTCTCCTTCCCTTGGGGTTCCTCCTGCCATGCCCTCCTCTCAATGCTTTGATCTTGAGAGCCAGAATTCTGAGTACACTTGGGCCCTGGGGAGCTGGGTAATCACTAGCTTTTCCTGACTGTGCTCCTATGTCCAGTGAGCCACTTGTCCCTCAGACTTAATATGTCCACGGTGACTGTCCACTTCTCTCCTCACATGGTGGCTCCTGCCCATTATCTGAACACACCCTCTGGTCTTTGGCTCCCATCAGCCCCAAGCAAGGCTGGTTCACCCTAAACCTTTGACTCCTCCCACCTGGCACTGGTGCAGGCCCCACTGTCCACCCTGCACAGCAACCCAAGCCTCTCTCACAAAGCTCAGAGCTTACACAAACGTCCTTTCACCCACCCAAGGTATACAGTCTCGCCCACATCCATGTGCTAGAACTGCCCCTACCTTTCTGCAGTTCATTCCTCCCTTCCCTGGGCTAGTATCTTGGCCCACTCTAGTCCCTTAATGTCAAACTGTGGTATCTCATGCTCATGGGCACCTTCTGCTAGTGACCAGGTTGGAAGGACACAGGAGACCCCCAGGCTTGGGACCCACTGGGGGAGGGCAGTGGCAAAGTTGTCGCACCTTTAGTTGATTCCACTTCCTCCAGTAGCACCTGGGAGATGTAGTGAACGCTCCTCAGGTATTCTGTGTATGCCTCCTGTGTCCGGGGAAGAAAAATGCTGGAGCTCAGGCCAGCAGAGGTGAATGGTTGCATCAAACCTGCCCAGTGCTCCTGTGGGAGCAGGAGCAGTGGTGTCTGATCATTTTTCAGTAACATACAGGGGGGTAGGTAGTAGGGGCAGAGACAGTAGCCACAGTGTCCAGACTTGAAGGAAGAGATGTCAGAGCACTTCCTCCTACAACTTCCGCACAGGGCAGGGAGAGCCAGAGACCATATGGGTTTCAATTTCTCTTCTCATTGCCTTTCTCAGATTCATTTAGTGGGCCAAGGGGAAACAGCCTTCACTGACTGTCCTTTTTCACTCTGTGCAACAAGTTTCCTTCCTGTGCAATTCAAGGACCATTCATTCCATGACGTAAGAAAAGTACTTTCTGGCCGGGGATTTAGCTCAGTGGCAACGTGCCTGTCTCCTAAGCACAAGGTCCTGAGTTTGATCCCCGGTACAGCAAAGAAAAAAAAGAAAGAAAGAAAAGTACTTCCTGAGAGGACAGGGAGAGAATGAGGTTGCAAATATCAGGCTCATTTTCTGGTTTAGGTTAAGAGAAATCCCTCTGCCAAATCCCCAAGTTAAGGATTCGCTGTGCACATAGGAGCCTGTAACCCTGAACGCTGCATTCCTATGGTGTGACAGCTCTGTCGAGGCTCTAGCAGAGCTAGGACATCGGAACTACAGCAGGTATGTTCACTTTCTTTTAGCCCAGTTGTCAAGTCTGCACCTCGGCGAAAAGCTCAGTATGAGTTTCAGGCAGGATTTCTGACTTGTGGGGGCACCTGCTGCCCTAAAAAACCAACTAGGAGGACTGGATGCTTTTCCTAGAGCAGCAGACTCTTCCTCCGCGGGCAGTAGCTCCACCGGCGTTTCTACCTGCCCTGGGCTGCCGCTCGCCCTCCCCGCGGCTGTTGCACCCTCCCGCCTGCGTTTCCTCACAAGCGACCTTAGGAGCGACAGTCGGCCTTTTGGGATGCTTCCCCATTGGGCAGAAGTCTGCCCGGGACCCCGGCGCGCGCGCACACCGTCCTGCCTGTCACGCGTCTCGAGGCTGCCTCGGAGCCGCCTCGAGCCCCTCCACAGACAACAACCTCGGCTCCCACGCTCTGACTCAGTGACCAGACGAGGAAGTGAGGCCAGGAGTGGCTCCTAGTCCAGAGTCCAGCGTCACCCACGGGGCCCTTCCAGCCCTCCCACGCCCCGCCACGCTCACCCGCGGCCGGTTGCCGGTGTCCAGCTCTATGGCCCGGTTGGCCAGCTTCATAGCGCTCTGCAGCGGCTTCGCCGCGCCGTCCCCGGCTGCAGCTGCCATGGTGACAGAGGGGCGGGGCGGAGCGGAACGCAATGTGCGCGGGAGCGGGGATCACCCGAGCCGCTGACATAGGGACACGGACGCACTTCCGGTGGGTGTACTTCCGGCGGACGCACGCCCGTGGAGACCTGGGTCTGGGAGGTAGAAGCTGCAGGTCGTGGGAGGCGGGGCTCGGGTCTTGCCGGTGGCTGGGGGCGGGCCCTCTCCGCGTCTGGGCTGGGAGACTGGCTAGGGGAGCCTCCCTCGAAGTGGGTTGGCGTCGGCCTCCCAGTCTCTCAGCCTTGGCCCAGTATGGGCGGAGAGGACCAGGGAGCTTCTCCCTCGCTGCCTTGTGGCGAGTTCCAAGTGATCTGAATCCCGGCCTCACGGGACGGGCCGCGGGCCCTGTCAACCTCGGCCTGGAAAAGGTGCGTTCCCCGCCTCGCTGTCCCTTCGCGGCGCGCGGAGCGGTGCCGAACCGCGGGGTCTAGTCCATGTGGGCGCGCAGTCGACGGGGGCCGAGCGGGGCCGAGCGGAACTGAGCGGACACAGCTGAGAGGGACCGAGCGGAACGGAGCGTAACCTAGCGGGGAGATGCGAAGGGGCCGAGAGGAACGGAACAAGCGTCGGACGAGCGGGGCCGAGTGGGGCCGAACTGGGCCGAACGGGGCCGAGTGGGGCCGAACGGAGCCGAGCGGGCTGAGTCGAACACAGTCGAGCGGGGCCGAGCGGGCTGAGTCGAACACAGCCGGGCGGGGCCGAGCCGTACCGAGCAGCCCTGCGCCGCCTCTTGGGTTGGCCGACGCCATGAAGCGGGACCGGCTCGGCCGCTTCCTGTCTCCGGGGCCGGCCCGGCAGCGCGGGGGCGCGGGCGGCGGTCGCGCGCGGGGTCGTCTCGCCCGTGGCGAAGGCGCGGAGACCTTGACGGCGGCGCGGCTCGGCTGGAGCTCGGCGCGGGCCTGCGGGGACCCGGTCGAGGACGGCGCGGACGAGGCAGGTGGGTCCGGCCGGCACCCTGCGAGCCCGCGTCCTCGGCGCCCCGGTCCGCGCGGCTGGTCCGCTCCGAGCTGGACCGAGTCCCTCTGGCTTTTGGGCGCAGCCTTGGCCAGACGCCGGTCCTCTTGTGTCCCGAGTGGAAGCCAGACAGGTCTGGGCTCCGTCCTCTGTGAGTGTGCCCTTGCGATCGCTGTCCGGTCTCCCTGGACCTGTTTCTTGTGGGTTAAAACAAGTCCGAAAGGAGTGTGGAGAGCTGCGCACGCTGTGTGTAAGCAGACCAGCGCAGTGCACTTCGCGTTTGTGTAACGCTTTTGCCGTTTACGAACTTTCTCCTGCGCGCAAATGTTTAGTTCTTCTGGAGGCAGGAGAGGAGGTGGCATCGGCGCAGTGGTCAGACGGGACACCAAGGGTGGGCAGCACAGCAGGACGGCGGAGCGCTTCATTTCTGGCCTCACCAGGATGAGCAGAAATGGAGGCCACCGTCGTGGAGACACTTAATATTTCTTTGGAAGGTTTCTTGGTCCACTGGCCCTCCAAAGCCTGAATGTTGTGCTGAACCCAGCCCCCAAACCCTGACTTTGAGGGCACCAGGAAGGCACGGGAGGGCGCTTCTCCAGATGAGGCTGGCTGGGGAGCACAGGCCTCGATGCAGGCACAAATTGCCTCAGAACTTGTCTGAGTGTCCTGTGCTCAGTAACCAGCCTCACTTACTGACTGTTGACATTTACTTTGCCCAGGAACAGGCCGGGCTCTTGCCATGGGGCACTGTCGTCTCTGCCATGGGAAGTTTTCCTCACGGAGTCTCCGAAGCATCTCTGACAGGGCGTCTGGGGACAGCCCAGAGAAACCTTCCCCAGGAGACCGTGTCTTCATCAGGGACTTCCAGCACTTGCTGGGTGTGGCTGTGCACCAGGACTCATCCTTGTCCCAGTTTGTCTGCAAGAGCTGCCATGCCCAGTTCTACCAGTGCCACAGCCTGCTCAGGTCCTTCTTGCAGAGGGTCAACGTGTGCCCGACAGGCCAGCGGAAGTCTTGTACAAAGTAGGCCCTTGTTGGATCATTCAGGGGACACTCAGCACCCTATGTGCTGGATGTTGCTCTAAGGCCAGGGTGTCCTATGGTAGGGAGCCTCAGGGTGGGTGGACAGGCTCTTGCTACTCCACAGAAGCCAGTGTCAGCATCTGTGGGACTGCTGGGAGATGAGCATGGAGGTGCTGAGGGTGGCAAGGTTTACTTTGGGTCCTGAGGCCCAGAGGCAGCCTTAGGGAAGGAGACAGGGCTCTTGGTAGAGGGTTCCCAGCAGAGACAGCTAGGGAGGCTTGAGATCTCTAGAGGCCCATAAACAAGGAGCTCTGCAGGCCTTGGACTCCTCCTCACAGCTGTACTGATCGTTTGCAGGGTCGGTGCTCAGCCCCCCACAGTGGCGGAGGAGGGAGTGTGTCTGGGTGAGTCTGGTACTGGTATGGGAGCTCTGGGAGGGCGGTGGGTCAGCCAGCCCTGGGACTGACTTCCCTGGTGACTCTCCTCAGTGGATCTGATCACCTCGACTCCCCGGTGCCTGCATGGCTTAGTGGGGTGGGTGCACGGACATGCGGCCAGCTGTGGGGCCCTGCCCAGCCTTCAGAGAACACTGTCCTCCGAGTACTGCGGCATCATCCAGGCGGTGTGGGCCTGCGATCAGGGCCACGACTACACCATGGACACCGATTCCAGCTGCAGAGCCCTCTTACTGGACAATGCATTGGCAGTCAAATGGCCATGGGACAAGGAGATGGCACCACGGCTCATCCAGAACCTGGGGTCTGACCCTGCTGGGGCTGCACCCCAGCTGTCCCAAGGCAGAGGAACCACGGCTGGGGCTGAGACCAAGATGCTGCCCAATGTGGATGCAGCCCCATCTTCAGATGGCAGCTCTGTGGGGCCCAGGCCAGGCCCCCCACCTCGGCCAAGCCTCCCTCAAAATGAGGCCCCAGGTAGGAGGCACCTTTGGCCTGTGGTAGACTAGGATCCCATAGTAGGGCGCGGTCTTCAACAGACAAAGACTTGTCTCCACTGTCCAGGGGATCAGCTGCAGTGTGATGATCATGGGGGCTCAGTGCTCCCTCAGCTTGCAGATGCTCAGAACACTTGAGGGCAGGATGGGGCCACCAGCAGGCCTTCTCCGAAACAAGCAGGACCTTGCTTCAGTTTGTGGAAAGACATGAACCTCTAAGGGTGTTCTGTGGATAGAAGGGACTGAGGAGAAAGAAGAATGGGGCCCTTGTCTGTTGGATGTGGGGGACGAGAATGAGGTTGCTGCTTTGGGCCAGCTGCAGGTCCTGCCCTGGGCATCAGCCAGCTGCCTGATGACCCTGGTGTGGGCCAGGGTAGAAGCTGCTTTGACTGGCTGAGGAGGGGAGACAGGGCTGGACCCCACCTGCATATTGTGGGGTGGGTGCAGCTGCTCATGGATGTCATGTTAGAAGGCCCAGGCCTGGCCTCCTGCCTCCATTGACCTTCCGTGTGCATCTGTCCTTGTCCCTACAGGTGCTCAGCTGGCCCCTGTGTGCAGGTTCACAGTGGGACCTGCACAAGTATAGCTCCCCAGGGCTTTAGCTAAACAGAGGTGCACAGATGAGATTCCCCAGCTCCAGGAAGGACCTCAGAGGATGCAGTCATGATGATTACTTACTTAACTTTGTCAGTTGTGTGCATGAGATATTTTTGTAACGATCACCTTAAAAATTTCTCAAAATATTCATGTTCACATCAGCTCCTCCAGAACGATGACCTGAGTCATCATTGGATGACCGTCTCAGGGTTCCTCCTGTGCAGTGCCACTTGTGCCTCTGGACACGTTGGTGGCACAGTGGGTTGGATGCCATGCAGGAGCTTTTGTGGGGGTTGGGCCAAGACGGGGTAGATTTTGAGGCCAAGGACTGACCCCAGGCCCTCCTGTAAGGCAGGCTGTGTTGTCAGACTGGGCCTGCCTTGGTGGCAAGGCACTTGTGTGCTCTTTTTGGTAACAGGAGTCTGTTCTTTGTTTCCCAGGGCAATTGGGTGAGAAGCAGGTTCCATCTTCAACTTCGGATGATCGGGTAAAAGACGAGTTCAGTGACCTTTCTGAGGGGTGAGAGAAGAGTGGGTTTAAATAGCCTAATGTTTCTCTTCAAAAACCAGACTCAGCCATCCTCAAGACTGCTAGCTGTGCCCAGGTCACCATACTGGCCTCTGAGGTTGGGAGGAAAGGCAGCTCCTTGGTCCTGACTGGGGCTTCCTGGGTCCCGAAGGTGCCCCTCTGGTGCCGCAGCAGGGGAGTGCACAGCTCGGCCCATCCCAGCCCGAGCCCCAGGGTTGGGTCCTCCGTGGCCACCTTCTAGACTCCTCTTTGAAGGCCTTGTGTTTGTGTTAATTGCAGATATCTTTAGGATGAGGACAATCGTTTCTGGCCCTTGGTGGTGGTGATGTTGGGACTTGAAGCAGACCTCACTCAGAAGGGAAGGGCAGCATCAGTGTGTGTTGGCTCTGGAACAAGAGCCATCAGGGCTGGCATTTGCCACCTTCTGTCTGCCCTGTGGCCTTGGCAGGATGCAGATGCACCCTTACTAGCTTGGGGGACCAGGGGTGGCTGCCAGCAGCCTGGAGTCTTCCTCTGTCCGGGCAGGTGGTGGCCTGTTGGGGCCACTGTGGGCCTACCAGCTAGCTCTGCTTGCTGCCCAGCAGGGACCAAATAGCAATTCCTGTTTTAGGGTGAAAGGTCAAAGATTTTTTTTTTTTTTTGCTTAAGTTCTTTTATTGGTACATTTTAGGTATACAATACGTTTACATTTATCATTGGGTGCTTGTACCTGTACATCATGTATCTTGGTTCTTATTTTTTGCCCCTTTCCCTGTGCCTCCTTCACCCCCTCCACCCTTCCCTATTTACAAAGACTTTATTTCTATTTTTTCCTTTTCTCATAATTTTTCCTTTCCCCTTCCCCTCCCACTTCCCCTACCCCTTTGGACCTTTTCTTCCTAGTTTAAATTATCAATTACCTGTTTTAATCATTTTAATCCTTATTTACACTTTCAGTTTCTCACACTAGAGAAACTATTCAGTATTTAACGCATATGTCCTATTTATTTCATGTAAGAGTATGGCCTCAATAAGGCACAGATTTTTTTCTTCACTTGAACATTGAAATGGCTGGCCCCGTCAGCCTTATAGATGCTTGGTTCCTCTTGAGGCGATGACGTCAAAGTCCCACCTGCCTGGAAGCCCACTTCCTCTGTCTTCACTCCCACCTGGCCCCAGAGAAAGCTCTCTTGGGTGTGGATCCTGGCTCTAGGAGAATGTGCCTAGACGGGGAGGTTATCCGCTCGTTTAGTTTCAGTGACTGGTTTGCACTTTTGTTAGGAAGTAGGATTGGAGATTCGGTTCTGGTTGGGTATGTTGCCCATTTCAGGGCAACCACCTCTGCTAAAAGTTCTCTCATCTTTCCTAGAGACTTCCTGAGTGAAGATGAAAATGGCAAGAAGCAAAATGCACAGTCTTCGGACGAGTCCTTTGAGCCTTACCCAGAAAAGAAGTAAGGATGCTGCTCTGCCTGTCACAGCCACGTGGGCTCTGGTGGGGCATCAGAGGAAAGCCTCAGGGTGGTCCTGCGGCGGTGGAACTCTGTGTGCCCAGGCCTGCTGGCACAGTTCACTTGCTGTTGCTGCCTTGGCATGACCACCCGAGCCTAGTGAGTGAGCAAGCTTCTGAGAGCCGGAAGGCCAGGTGGCAGAGCCACATGGAGCCTGTGGCGGGCGGAGTGGCCTCGGCTGCCGCACGGCCCTCCTGGCGCTCGGAGCTTGCACCTGGCCGCTGTGAGCTGCCATGCGGCTGTGCTGACAAGACTGGCCTTCTCCCAGGCCAACGGCCCCGCCAGCGCCGCTCCCGGCTCCTCGTGTCGCCCGCCCTGACCGCTCTCCCCAGGGTGTACTCTCGACTCCAGCTCACACCAAGGTCTAAGGGCAGCTGGCTATGGGCGCCTTCCTCATTACTTATGTGACTTTGCCTTGACCTTCTTTTCAGAGATTACCGCTCTTACCAGTCAGATACAGGGTCCTGCAAAGAGGGTTAGTTTTCACTTGTGCTCCTCCTCTCTCAGCTTTGTGCCAGGAGGGCCCACGGTACATGACAGCTAGTTGATGACTTTGGTCATCACATGCCCCTGAGCATTTCATGATCCAGAGAAATTCAGAGAGCGAGTGGCTCTGGGTACTACACTGTCTACCACAAAAATCCTGCAGTTGAGATTGAGAAGTGAGCCTGGCTTCCTCTACTCGTTCGTGGAGAGAGAGAGAGAGAGGAGGAGGAGGAGGCACAGGGAGAGATGAACCCAGGATCAAGCCAGAAGCGCTCTAGCTGGCCTTGGAGTGGACAGGAAGCTAGCAGGGGGTCAAGCAGGCCCATCAGGTACTCCCAGCTGAGGCCTGTTCCCAGGACAGGGCTGGGTGTGGGTCGGGGCTGCTGTGAGTAGGTGACCAGTGCAGGCTGAGTCTGTGTCTCTCCCGTGTGCTCCCAGCAGTCAGAAGCGGCTGAGATGGCAGTGCTGGCATCCAAAGCTGGGATAGGAAGGGCAGTTGGGCCCCCTTTCCAGGGACAGGCTAGAGGGTGATCTGCTGAGCCCCTGGTGCGGAGGAGGATGGTGTACTCTGCTGCACTGCTCACGGGTCCCTGTGGGGCCTCAGAAGCACAGACAGACATGTGCTTGCTTTTTTTTTTCTTTATTGAACCCAGTAAGCGCTGAGCTATATATTCATCCTCTTTTATTTTTTGTTTTGGTACCAGGGATCGAACTCGGGACCTTGCACTTTCGAGGCAGGCAGCGGAACCACTGACCTAAATCTCCAGCCCCTTTCCTCTTTTAAAATCTATTTTGACACAAGGTCTTACTAAGTTTCTTAGGCCGGGCTGGAACTTGTAATCCTCCTGCCTCAGCCACCTAAGTAGTCATTACAGATGCATGCTTTGGACTGGGACCCATGAGCTTTAAGAGGCTTCTCGTGAGAGGGTTATTTTAGTGGCAACGGCACCCTGCAGGAGTAGGACCAGGAGTTGTGGATACAGGCCTCTGTTTACTGTGACATGCACTGACCTGGAGGCCCCTTGGTCCCTCGGTACTATAGCAAGTCCCAGCTGGGAACTTGGAAGGACAAGGCCCTGAGTAACACCCCGCCCTGTGTTCTTCTCAGTTCTCTTTCTCCAGCTCCAGACAGAGTCTCGGCAGACAGGGAGCCTCTGTGATGTGCTGGTCTGACCACCGTGGTGCCAGCCAGAGGTGAACACCTGGGCCTGCACCTTGAGGGAGCAGGACAGCCAGGCAGGGAGTGGTGAGTGCCACTGTTAAACAGCACAGGGACTTCAGGCTCCCTGGAGCCTCTTGTTCAAGAAGTACATGGTCTGGTATGGAGGAGTTGGCCAGTCCCTGAGAAGAGGACAGGCCAGAAGGGGACAGTGGGCACTTACCAGACAGGGAGAGGAAGAGCAGCCTGCATGTCACCCAAAAGATTGTTCTTAGTATACTTTGAGGAGGAAGACAGTTCCTTAAAATATTTGTTTTAAACTACTTTAACCATCTTTAAATGTATAAACGTTCACAGCGTTACTGTTATCACTGTAGACATTTCATTACCCCAGTGACTCTGTACCCATTAATCCACAGTTTCTCCTACTCCTCAGGCCCTGGCAGCCACTGATCTAGGTATCCGTTGTAGGCGGAATGGATATAAGTGGAATCCCACAGCATTTGCCCTTTCACAGCTGGCTTCTTGGCACAGTGCATTAGAGTTCATCAGTATTGTAGCATGTATCAGAATTTCATTCTTTTTCTGGCTGACTACTGCTCCATTGCATGGATATGTGTACCATGTTTGGTTGATCCATTCTTTTTTTTTTTTTTTTTGGTACTGGGGATCCAACTCAGGACCTTGCACTTGTGAGGCAGGGACTGGAACCATTGAGCTAAATCCCCGGCCCTGGTTGACCCATTCTTTTGTGGTTTGGGATTGCATCTGTCTTTGGCTCTTGTGAACTTGATAGTACAGTGGGTGGTGTACATGCACAAGTCCCATTTTTACACTTGGCGTGTGTACTTCAACATGGAATTGTGAGCTGAGCCTGGACTCCCAGCTGGGAGCAACTCAGGAGGCAGAGGCAGAGGCAGGAAGAGGGCACGTTCCAGGCTAGCCTGGGAAACTTGTTTCAAAATAAAAGGCGCTGGGGATGTAGCTGAGAGACAGGGCGCCCTTCGATTCGATCTCCAATACCACCAAACAACAAAATGAAGCTTGCTAACTCTTCAAAGTAGGTATCAGATGGCCATGGCCAGTCATCACCAGGCAGTGTTGGTAGAGATGTCAAACCCTTTTGCGCTGTTGGTGGCAAAGCAGAATGGTGCATCCCCATGGGAAACAGAACTGGTTTTCCAGAAAGTGAAACATAAAATTACTACGTAATCTATGACCCTTTTTTGGAAACAGGGCCTCTATGTTTCCCAGGCCGGCCTCCAGCTGTGATGCGCTTGCCTCACATTACAGGCGTGGACCACCATGCCCTGCTGTGCTGTTGTGAGTCAGGTTTCATGAAGTTGCCCCAGCTGCTGTGGACCTCTCAATCCTCTTGAGTAGCTGGCCTATAGGCACACACTGTGCCCAGCTGGAGTCATTTTTCTGTTTTCCAGGTAGCAAACCCTTACCAGATACATGGTTTACAGTATTTTCTCCTATAGATTCTTTTCATTATTTTGGTAGTGTTGATGCGTGTCTTAGTTACTTTTTTTGTTGCTGAGACAAAATACCCAACACCCATAAATTAAGGGAGGAAAGGTTTATTTAGCTCAGTTTGTAGAGGTTTCAGTTCATAATTGGCTGGCTCCAAGGCAGAGTGGCATGGCAGACAGGCATCACAGAGAAGAAACAGTTCATGGTGGGCAGAAGGCAGCAAAGCAATCAAGCAGGGGACCTTAGCTTCTTTCTGCTCCTTTTATACTCTTATCTAGGCTTCTGGGATTAAGGTGGTGCCATACCAATTAGTAGGCTGATTTAGTAATAACACCTTTAATCCCAGCATCACATACTCCAGATTCAGCCACCTGGGAAAAGCTGCACTTATGACCCCATGGGGCTTTGGGAGACATCTAGAGATAGCCATAACAACACACCAACTCTGATAAATTTCAGTGTGCTTATTATTTTTTTTCTTTTGTTTCCTTTAAGTTCGATGCCATATTTAAGGAATTACTGCCAAATCCAGTGTCATGAAGATTTGTCCCTTGTTTTCTTACAAGAATTTTAGAGATTTAGCTTTTAGGTTTAGGTCAGGTTCCATTCACTTAATTTTTGTGTATCTGTTAGGTGGTGGCCCAGCTCAGGTCTTTTGCGAGTGAATGTCATCTGCCCAGATCCATCCTAAGAGGTTTTGCTCGCCGCTGTGTGGTCTTGGAGCCCTTGCTGAGATTCAGTAGACTGTATGAGTGTTTTTGGTTTTATTTTCATCGGATTGGTCTGTGTGACTTTGTCTGTACCTAATACCAGCCACACAGTTTTGACTAGCATACCTTTGGAGTAAGTTTGAGAAACAGTTTGGGTTCTCCAATTTAGGCTTTGGTCTTCATGTATCTCTCAGGCTGACCTTGAACTTGCAGTCTTCTTGCTTCAGCCTCCCAAATGCTGGCATTATAGGCATGTGCATTTTGGTGGTGCTGGGGACTCAGACAGGAGCACTTTACCACTGAACTGTCCCCAGGGCGCCCCCCCCACCTTCCCGCCCGAGACAGGGTCTTGCTATGTAGTTCATTTTGGCCTTGACCTTGTATTTAGCCCAGGCTTGCCCCACACTTGCAGTTTTTCTCCAGCCACCAGAGTTCTGGAATTACAGGCAGCACTATCACACATGGTCTTGGGCATCCCCCTTTTGGAAACATGGTCACCCTAGGTTACCCAGGCTGGCCTCAAATTCACTGTTCTCGTACCTCAACCTCCTGAGTAGCTGGAATTACAGGCATGTGCTGCCACACCTGGCTTTAAAAAACTGTTTTAAATGTTTATTTTTGCAGGACTAGGTTCTGAACCCAGGGTCTCTGTGTGCTTGGCAAGCACTCCACTGCTTCACTGTGGCCTAGCCCTCCTTTTGGGTTTCTGATCAGGACGAGTGACTATACAGGGCTTGGGGGAAGTATATTCTTTTTTTTTTTTTTAAATATTTTATTCTTGTTGATGGTATTGCAATGAATTGCTTTCTTAATTTCTTTTTTGAACCATTCATCATTAATGTATAGAAATAAACAGGTTTTATGTGGTGTTTTTTGTTTTTGTTTTTTTAAGTCTCACTTTGTAATTCAAGCTGCCCTGGAACTCTCAGCGATCCTCCTGCCTCAGCCTCCCAAGTGCCAGGATTACAGGCATGCACCACCACGCCTGGTTTATGTGTTGATTTTTGTATCCTCCAATTTTGCTGGATCCTTTTGTGTGTACTGCTAAACTAGCCCGCAGCCCTCTGTTGCTCACTAATTTGTTCTTTAATGGGAGGATGCCTGCAGCCGCAGTCAAGCCTTGCTGGTCTGGTGGCTAGCAAAGCTAATACTAAGTTTACAACTATGGCAACAGCATTGAGCTTTTAATTTTTGTAGTGCATTGAACCCAGGGCCTTGTGCATGCTAGGCAAATGCTCTACCACTGGGCCATGTTCCCAGCCCTGTTATTTTTATCTGTGGTTTTCTTCATACACAATCATATAATCCGTTTTTCTTATTCTTGCTGAATTGTCAACAAGAACATCCAGTAATATGTTGAAAAACAGTGGTGAAGGTGGCATCCTTGCCTGTTCCTGAACTTAATGCTTTCAGTCCTTCAGCACTGAGTGTGATGTCTGCTGTGGGTTTCCATGCAGCCTATCTTGTCGAGGAAGTTCCCTTCTGGTGCCAACAGAGTCCTTATGTGTCGGTGTCCAAAAGGAGAAACAAGTATATTGATCTCCTTGTGCCTGGCAGACTCCAGGTTTGCAGATGCTGCCTGCACAACGCCCCATTTTAGGACAGGGCCCACACTGCACACTCTGGCCCAGCCACACAGGTCTGTCTGCAGCACAGCTGCTGAAGTGTAGGGTGGCACTGTAACCACATGCTGTCCCCCTCCCCGTTGATGGCAGTCCCCTTCCTCAGCTCTGCCCTGGGTGCGGGGAGGCAGTGCTGTGCTCACTTCTGGTGGGAGGTAGTCTGGGCAAAGACTGACTCCAAAGCTTCCTCACTGCCTTTTCCACGAGATCTCCAGACAGCACTTGGTGCTGAGAGCAGGGATCCAGCTTCAGTCCTGGGCAGCCACTGAGGGTGCCTGTGCGCCCCACACTCAGTGCTGTGCCCTCCTGTGTTCCAGGCTGCCCCTCTCTCCCATGGTGGCTGCTGCAGGGGCAGCTGAGGACCACACAGTTCACCTGGAGCTTGAGAAATCCTCAGTGCTTGAAGTGGGACACACAGAGATGAGAATAACTGTGGAGATGAGAAACATCATTGAATCTGGGTGCCTCATTACTGTTTCAGGGTCTCTGGGAAGAAAAGTGAAAGCAAAGAAGCCAAGAAGACTGAAGAACCAAAAATGCGGAAAAAACCTGGGCCTAAGCCTGGATGGAAAAAAAAGCTCCGCTGCGAGAGGTGAGGGGCCGCTGGGCGGGGTGGCCTTGCACTGGGGTGGCGCCTCCACGTGTGCTGTCTTGCAGGGAGGAGCTGCCCACCATCTATAAGTGTCCTTACCAGGGCTGCACGGCTGTGTACCGTGGGGCTGACGGCATGAAGGTGAGCAGCAGGCATTCGCAGCCCGTTGGTATGAGTGCGGGCAGGGGCCGGGCACTGGCGCTGCCCCAGAACTCACAGGATCCTAGGCTGATGGAGACTCAGCCATGGCCACAGCTGTCTCGGGGAGTCAGCCCTCCGTTCCAGAGATGCTCCCTGTGAGCCCGCAGTTTCCAGATGAAGCTTTAAGGAGCCGGTGGAGGCTGAAGTGTAGTAGTAGAGCACTGGCCTGTCACACACGAGGTCCTGGGTTAGGTCGCCAGGGCCTGGCGAGGAGTGGGGCCTGCCCTTCTCGGACAAATGCCCACCAGGCCCTAGGCGGATGGGACCTGGTCCAGACACAGCAGCATCTCCTGCCTGTCCCCTGCAGAAGCACATCAAGGAGCATCACGAGGAGGTTCGGGAAAGGCCCTGTCCCCACCCTGGCTGCAACAAGGTGTTCATGATTGACCGCTACCTGCAACGCCACGTGAAACTTATCCACACAGGTGCCTGCCCCAGGGAAACCCCAAGGCCTAGCCCGAGTGGGTGGCGGTGAACCCTGGCATGTCCAGCCTTGGGGAACACCCGTTCCACCACCCATACACCCTGCCCCAGGAGCAGGGTTGGATGGGCTGGACACTGTCAGGAGGCCTGAGGCTGTGTCTCGGCAGATAAGCTGGGGTGCTCCTAGGTCATGGGGAAGGGAGACGCATTGCACAGGTAGAACCCAGCTGCCATGGGGAGGGTGGGCAGACATCCTCCCAGGAGCAGTCTTTTCTGTGAGATCTGAAGTTTCAGATTGATAAAATTCCTGGTGCCCTTCTGAGTTTAAAAATAGCTGAGTTTGGTGGCACACACCTGTAATCCCAGCACTGAGGAGGCTGAGGCAGGATTCCTGTGAGTTCAAGGTCACCCTAAACTACACATTGAGACTTTGCCTCAAAAAAACCAAAGAAACAAAATATCTTTCATACTATAAAAACTGGTATGCTGGGCCAGGGATTTAGCTCAGTGGTTCTGCTGCCTGCCTCGCAAGCAGAAGGACCTGAGTTCTGTCCCTGGTACCAAAAAAACCCAAAACTGGTGTGTTGTAGAAATGATGAAAAATAAGCACAACCAGGTCTGTCAGTGCCTCTCGGTTGTCCTGCTGTCCACCCTGGAGGGTTTGCTCTTCCAGCTCTCCTGTGCACACCTTTGCCTGGGGCCTGTATCTGTACTCACAGTCCCACCCTGTGCCCCAGGCCCAACATGCTCCGTCCTTGCACACTTGTGCTCTGCCCATCCTTCCAGCTCAGCTGGAAGGCTGAGCTTTGTATAGGGCTTACTACTGTAGTCTTTCCCCATCAGGACTGATTCTATTACTGCATCACATACCTGGGGGTTTCACAGTGAAACCACCCATGGACATTTTCCTGTAACGGACACTTCAGGTATTTCCAAGGTTTTGCTCCCAGCACTGCTGCAGTGTCCTCATGTAGGGATTTCTCTAGGTCAGATCAGGCCAGTCACTCATGGTCACAGCCAGCTTTCTAAAGAGGTGACGTGGAAAGCCGCCTCAGGTGTCGTGGGTGCTGGCACCAAGGATATGGCTTTTGGTTCTGTTGAGGGCAAGGGGCTGCTTCCTGACATGGTGGAGATGTCACCCTCCCACCAGCAGGCTCCCCACCCCAGAGCAGCCAGGAAGTTGCTCTGAGGATCAGTAATATCTAAACCTTGTGATTTGGTTTCTGTCTTGGTTTTACCTTTAAATTGACACCACTGATAGAGACCAGCCATGTGACAATATTTTTAGGCAATGCAGAAGTCTTTATTAATGGAATACTTTACCCAGTCTTATCTATAATAAACCTGGGTATAGAGGCTCCTTGCTTGGGCCCAGGTCACAGACTGCTTCCTGATGCCCAGGGTTGGTGTGGCTGTAGGGCTCACTCCCGCTCTGTCCCCAGAGGTGCGCAACTATATCTGTGACGAGTGTGGGCAGACCTTCAAGCAGCGGAAGCACCTTCTTGTCCATCAGATGCGCCACTCAGGAGCCAAACCACTGCAGTAAGTGTGGGCAGGGCTTCTTCTGGGGCCGGGACACCAGGTTGCCCCTCACCACCTCTGCCCCACAGGTGTGAAGTCTGTGGCTTCCAGTGCAGGCAGCGGGCATCCCTCAAGTACCATATGACCAAGCACAAGGCAGAGACTGAGCTGGATTTCGCTTGCGATCAATGCGGCCGACGGTTCGAGAAGGCGCACAACCTCAATGTGCACATGTCCATGGTCCACCCTCTGACACAGACCCAAGACAAGGCCCTGCCCTTGGAGGTGGAGCCACCTCCTGGAGCCCGGAGCCCTTCTGGGACCACGGAGGGCCAGGCAGTGAAGCCAGAGCCCACCTGAGGACTGCAAATGGGACAGCAGGCAGGTCGAGCAGTGTGAACTCAGGTGGGATGTGGGGTTTCCCTGCTGCTTGCTCGGGCTGCACCCACTCCATGGTGCAGGTGAGTGTGGCATGTACTCCAAGTCGCCTTTCTGCTTTGGGACCAGCTGTTTCCTTCCCTACAACACTGAGCGACTTGGGGCCAGACAGATTATGAATAATTGATTCCTTTTCCCAATTAAAGCAATTAAGAAGATCTGTAATCCACTTTTAGTGCAGCATGAGCTCCTTTGATAGCAGGTGGGTATGCTGAGACAGGTCCCGTCAGAGGAGACAGGGCTCTCGGTACAGGTCTGCATCGGTCCCAGCGTGGCACCTGTTCAGCACGGCACTGGCCACCTCGGGGTCGCAGTCTGCATGGCCAGCCAGCAACTGTGAGAGGGAAGACTGCCACTCAGCCACAGCTGCTGGGACAGCGGGGAGACCCTGCCACACTCAGCACAGGGAGAGGCCGGGCAGCCATGGCTGTGCAGCTGTAACCCCACCACAGGGGAGGGTGCTCTGGTTACCTCCATCATGTCTGAGAAGCTCTCTTGTGGGCACTGAGGTATTAACTGCAGCAGAAACAGACGTGCTTCCGTTATCAGTTCTACAGGGCTGCCCTGGGGAGAAGACGGGTGGTTGTAGGCCCAGGCCAGCCGCTGCCTTCCTCGGCAGAAGCTGCCCCAGCCCAGGAACTCACCTGTGGCAGGGGCTGGCTCTGCAGCCGTAGGCTTGTGCTAGCTGATGGTGACACTGCGGTGGTCTCCCCTCCCACAAACAGCTGGACCAGCTGGAGGTACATGTCGACAGCAACGCGCAGAAAGCCCACATCCCTGACAGTGGCAGCCTTGTCAAAGTGGGGAAGGAGCCTAGGAGCAGGGACAGTGCGACAGCAAGGCCCCGAGCAGTTGGGACAGAGAAGATGCCCATTCACTGGTGGGACAAGGTGGACAAGCAGCTGGGGCAACACAGATGCCCACCCTCCAAGGGCATGACCACAGTCCCTCAGTGGGTAACTGGAAGGTTGTCACCTGTAGAAGGCAAAGGGCAGCAGCCTGGCAAGCTGATCCGGGGCCAGATGGAGGAGGAGGTGACCCAGCCCAGCATCTGCAACGTGGGGGCTCAGTGAGTTCTGCTCAGGACCAGAGGACGCTGAGGCCCGTGCGGTGGCAGTGTGGGGGTGTGCCTCCCATTAGCTGCCGGGGAGATGAAGGTGACATCCCGCAGGAAGGGAGAGGCCAGCTGGCACGCTGGACACCCCACAGCGTGCCTGTGGACCTGCCGTATGGTGAGCACAGCCCTGGCCCTCTTGTTGCTCTGGGGGTTCTCTTGGGTTCAACAAGCGGGCCCTGAATGTTCCCAGCTGAACCAGTTTATAAACTTAGCAAGATGAGCGCCAAACTCAGGCTTGTAAAGTGAGGCCCAGGGAGGGTTCTCGCCCTTTCTATGCTCCAGGGGACCTACCCCAAGGCCTCACATGTCCCCAGCAAGCTCTCCTCTGGGGCTTGTGCCTCCACCGGAAAGTTACTCCTAAAGAGAGTGACAGTCACTGCCCACACATCTCTTACGTCAGACTTCACATGGCTTCTCACCTGCTTCTGTCAGCTGGAAAAGGCCCAGCCAGGACAGCTTCCTCCTCTGCAGACAGGCAAGGACCTCAGCACACACCTCCGTGGCCTTCAGGGAGTCAGCTATGGCCTGTGACCCACAGAAGAAAAGTCCAGTATGAGGACTGAACCCAGATGCTGAGCTATGCCCTCAGCTCCCCCTGTCTTTTAAATATTTTTTGGAGATAAGCTCTTGCTAAGTTGTCTGGGCAGGTCTTGTTCCTACCTCAGCTTCCCAGACCTATGGAATTACAGGGGTACGCCACTATCAAAGCCTAAAAACTTGTGGTGACCTACAGGTGTCATGCTGGGCTCTGGATGGCGAGGCTCGGGTTAAAGGGGTGAGCAGGCCCCTCAGGTGTCCATACCCCGGTTACTGCACCAGGCTCTGAAGTAAGACCTCAGAAGGGAGCCACACGGCGGACACAGCCTCTGCGATACCCACCTGCAGCCCAGCAGCCTGACCTGCCTGATGGGGAGCAGGGTTTGCCTCAGCTGAGGCATTCAACTTACAGTTGAGGTCAGGTGTGATGACAGCAGGCTGAGCAAGGAGAAGAAAAAGAGGGGCACCAAGAGCTGCGGAGGAAACAGGCAGCGACTGCATGAGGACCTGCACCCAGTCCCAGTGAGCCCAGCTGATCCTTGGGAGCCAACACCCTGGGCTGTGTGCAGAGGGAGCCTTCCAGAAGGAAGACAAGCCCGGCCACTGGGGAAGAGAGCTCACTCGACTTGGAACAAATCACTGCCCCGTGAGGGGAGCGGGGGCTTGGGCGGCCCTGTGAGCCTTCCTGTCAGAGCCCTGAGCTCAGCCGCCTCACTAGGGCCTGGCTGCAGCCACTGAACTGCTGCTAACAGAAGCACACGCAGCAGCCCGAACGGAGCAGACTGATCGGCCCCAAAGTGTGTTCTGACAGACCTTTGGCTCTGGGTTGGCGTTAGCCACGCTCACATGGGACCCTGTGCTTGGCAGGCAGGCTACCCCAGCTTGCTTTGTGTTCACCAGTCCCACTCCTGTTCTCGGCCCTTTCCTCAGGAAGTCCTGGCCCCGCACAGAGGACTTGAGGGCTGTGCAGTCGGGCGCAGGCCGGTGCCCCTCCCTGGGGTGCAACAGCCCCATCCTCATGCCCACAGGTAGGTGGCAGATGTCCACATGTGCTGCCTCACAGCCTTGGTGTGCAGGACAAGGCCCTGTCCATGCACCACCAGCTGGTAGCTCAACAGACCAAAGAAAAGCATATTGTGAACTCAGTTTTACTTCCAAATGGACACTAAACCTCATGTCTGCTCTTGGAAAAGCAAAGCCCATTAGGAAAACCCTTGAGAAATGAACTGATTAAAGCAGGCTTGCTAGGGAAAGGATGCACAGGCACGCCTTGCCTCCTCTCTCTCGAAGTCCAGCTTCTTCAGCAGGCTCCTTGCATTGTCCTTCCCGACTCTCTGGACTGCGAAGTGCAGTGCGGCAGCAGAGACCCAGGCTGGGGTGGGGGCAGGAGAAGTCGAGTCCAGGGAGAGGAAGCTGGGACACAACATACTGCAGGGCCTTAGAGCCACATCCCAGGAACCGATTCTTCCCCTGCCTGCCACTAGCCTTGCACACCGGTGCTGCTAGCAGGAGGCTCCTTCCAGTAGAGGGCACAGAAGGGCCCCCTCAAGAGCCCTGGCTCTGCACGGGGACATGGCAGGCGTCATGACATCCTGCATCAAGGCAGCGCCTGTCCTGGCCATCTTGGCCCGTGCTCTTGGGGAGAACAGGGTCAGGCCTAGGACAGTGGACAAAGGGGGTGCAGCCCTAACACATGTGGTGCCCCCTTTTCCAGCAGGGTAAGAGCTGGGTGAAATCCTAATGAAATAGCTCTCAGGGGCTTAGGAAACTTTAATCTAATCTGTCTCCCACCTTCCCCTTCTGTTTGCTGAGGTTTCAGGCACCCCTGACTCTTGGGGGGCCCAGGGGCGTCAGGGATTGAAACCAGTCACCAAGGAAGGCGTTCTTGGTGGAGGCCAGAACACACTCCCAGGTGATCGCCACCCGGCCTGGGCCCTCATGTTAGACACGAGACCGGGATGAGCTGTGCTGGAGCTGGAGTAAGAGCTGCTGAAGCCAGTCTGCACGAGCACTGAGCTTGGCCCTCCCCTGTACGCAGGGCTGGGGCTGGAATCCCAGACATCTGTGCAACCAGCCCAGCCTCGAGGGGCAGCCTGGGCTCCTGAGCACCCTACTTCCAGCACTTACCTGTGGGCAAACTGCTCAGCCTCCCGCAGCCTCTGTAGCTCAAGGGGCAGCCCGCCCTGGCAGTACTTTTGCCACTGACTGCACAGCACTGGCTCCAGGCTTGACCACCACGACTTGTAGAAGAAAAAAGTCATTCGGAAACGGGGTAGGGCAGTTGTACTTGGACCCAGCTCCAGCTGCCATGACCAGGAAGGACTGTGTGCGAGGCCACCCATGGCCAACACAAAAGCCCTTGCAGCCAGCATCTCCCGAGGGCTCTACGTGGCTTATGTTCCACCGCTTTATAGAGTCAGTGTCTTATTGACCTCATTTGAAGCTCAAAACAGTCCCGTGGAGTATTCTTATTCCCCAGGATGGGAAGGAAGGGTCCTACCTGATGAAACAGCCTGCAGGGAACCTGCCTGGTCTCCATGAACACCCCATATCCTGGGTGAGCCCGCCCAGGCCCCACACACATACTTTGGAGAGCTGGTCTCATAAACAGCCTGGCACCTCCACAGTGAGTTCTATTAAGGAGCCACCCACTAGGTGAGAAACTGGCGTCCACTGAACCTGGCCACCTCCCGTCACACAAGGCTCCTGGACACTAGGCAGGAGCACAAGGAGTGGAGGCCTGTCCCCAGGTGTGGACAGACAGCACACTTGAGACACATGGCTGCTCCCAAGGGGAGCGAGACCAGTGCCATTCAGCCCTCGGTACATGACAGCAAGACCCATGCTGTGGCATCTGCAATGAGGACAGAGGGACTGAGAGATGACCACGAGTGGATGATGTGCCCTCACTGTAGCGCGCATGTCAGAGCTGCCCCATTTCTCCTGTACATCCTGATGAAAGACGCAAGGGAAACAGAGACCGGCCACCAGCCCACTCACACAGCATGTGCAGGTTGCCCAGGCCTACCAGTGCGGAGGTCACCATCAGAGGGCATCTGGCCTGGCACTTGGCCAGGGTAAGGTTGGCAGTCAGTGAGGGGTCCAGGCTGCGCACGCAGGCATTCAGGAGCCCCTGTGGCCGGGAACATGGTGGTACTCAGAGGCTGTATGAACTGGGTTTCAAACCCCAGGGTGGGAAGGCCCAGAGTGCCAGGGAGATGGTTACCCTAAAGAAGTGGGCAGTGATGTCGTGGGTCAGGGTGAGGGCACCACCATGGTTGCAGAAGTTTCTCTGTGAAGCAGATCAGCAAGGCTGTGATGAAGGGCCTGGCAGGGCAAGGGTGAGGGCAGCAGCAGTGTGCCTGAGGGCTCCAGAAGCTCTGCCAGAGGTTGGCAGCCACCAGGAACACTTGGCCTCCAGCCCCTAACCTGTGCTGCTGAGCCCACGGCCTCCCCACCTCTGCCCACACAGACAGGGCTACAGGCGGCCAAGGAAGACAGCTGTGATCTCATCAGCCACTGCTAACCGAGCACCATGCTTTGTGCTCTCACCTGAGCACTTACACTGCCCGTTCTGAGAGTTAAGAGAAAGACCTTTCTTTGAGAATGGAAAGACAGGGTTGAGTTTTCCAGGGTTTCACTGATCTCATTTCCTCTGCTTTCCTGCCGACCTCTCAAGTGCTGCCTGCACACCCGGAGTGCAGCCCGAGATCTGGCTCTAGTCATACTTGTGCTTTTTTTGAGGCGGGGGTGGGTACTGCAAATTGAATGCAGGGCCTTCACACTGAGCTCCAACCCTACCTCCTTTTTATTTTACATTTTGAGACAGTCTTGCTAAGTCACTCAAGCGGGGCTCAAGCGAGATCCTCCTGCCTCAGCCTCCAAGAGTGCTGGGATTACAGGCACACTCCACCATACCCTTCTATACTTGTAGATTTGGGGCGGGGTGGGGCAGGGGGGAGGTTGGTACCAGAGATTGAACTCAGGACCTTGTGCTTTCGAGGCAGGCGCAGTGTCACTGAGCTAAATCCCCGCCCCTTATACTTGTAGATTTTTGAAAACAGGAAAAAGTTTTCTAGGTGCAGAAACTGCTTCCCGGAGAGGGGAGTAAGCTGGTGACATGTGCATCCCTGACACCAAAGATAGGGATGGCGCCGCCTTTTGTTTTTGCCGGTTAGGGTCATGATGCTGGTTACACAGGTGGTATCTGCAATGAAAGGAAGCAGAGCTACTGGGTGGGCTGCCAGGTGGGTGGCAGGTGAAATACATCGGAAGTGGAAAGAAAGCGGTGGGGGGGGCAGCAAAATGCCCCAAGTGCAAAGCATTAAAACCCTAGGGTGAGTCCATGGAGGCCCAGCCCAGCCCAGCAGAGGACTCTGTGCACACTGGTTCAGTCCTCAGCTCTCTGGGCATCGTCCACCACGCTCTCCCCAGCCCGGGGCCACCTGCACAGCACCCACCAGCTCGGAGTTGACCAGGTGGAAGAAGTCCTCACAGCTGGGCCCCTCGGCCTGCAGGTTGCCAAGGAGAACAGAGGGAGGCAGGCGGAGGAGCAGCCTGGGAAGGAAAGGGCCAGACAGCAGTGAGGGCACAGCGCTCCCTGCACACTTTCCCTAGCTCCCCGTGACCCTCGATCCTGTCGGAGCCAGAGTCCTGGCCCGGGCCTTCTCTGAGTCACGTGTAGGCTGCCACAGGGACTCAAAGTGAGCTCCCCAAAGTGCCTGGTAACGAGCCAGGAGGCAGGCGGCACCACAGCCCAAGGAAGCCGCCCTGCGCCTGCTGATCCGGTCGTCTCACGTTCTATGAAGACGGCTTGGTGCACACCTTTGAGCAGTTTTCCTGACTCTGACCTGAGCTCTCTACAATACATCCTTCAACAGAGGGGCACCTCAGGACAAGTCAAAGAGCCTGAACCCAGAGCGCCTCTCCTGCCCGCAGGCCCGCTCCCTGTGGGAACCTCGAGACAAGCACCCAGGCTTGGCTGGGAGACAGGAAGGAACCCGAGGGAGACTTCTGGGGCGAGTCACGGGTCACGGGGTGGGCCTGTGACCCACCGTCTGCCCATGAGGAGCTCCCGCTGTCTCCAAAGGGCGGCAGCCACGCCTCTCCCACTGGCCAGGCCCTCAAGCCGTCTTCGGAAGACCCGGAAGACAAAGTGTTCCTGAGAGACAGGACAGCCGGCTTCCAGGTCAGCAGCCATCTCCTGGAAGAGTAAGGCCAGGCGTTCACGACCCTTCTGGTTCCAAGTGTGTCTTTTGTCCTCAAGAATGAAGGCAGAAAGTGCTCAGGGCTTAACGTTGGCCAGAGACCCCCAGAGGTGGGCTTGGGAGAGAGGTCGCCATGGGAACATGACGACTGTTTTGCTCAGAAATCATTTTAAATGATAAAAAACAAAAGGACAGGGCAAGGAACAAGGACACTGTTGCTCAGGTTCTGCTAGGCCGACAGTTCATGCCATTGTCACTTGGCTCCCCTGTGTATACAGGGGTGTCTGTGTGTGTGTGCAGGGACATCAGAGATGAATCAGCACACAGGCTCTGGACCCTGCTGCTCTGTGCGCACAGCCTCAGGCTTGGGCCTGCAGGCATCAGCACAACACAGCCACCTTCTGGGTGGCCGGCCATCCAGCGTCTGGGTGGGCATTCGGCGTCAAGCTTGTGCGCCCCTTTACCCTGGAACATTCCCACAAACTGTTTTTCATGACACTGACATTCTTCAAGAAAATGGGACTTTTAAATGCCAAAGCTTCCTCAATCTGAAAATAATAGTGAACCCTGAACCCTATCTAGCTCTTGTGCCTTACTCTTGTAAGTCCATACTAACAAATACTTCTCCAAGAACGGGCCTGACTTCCACAGCCTGGGCTGGGACCCACCTCCTCACAAACACCACTGATGTTAGCCCTGGGGTGGGCTTCTCTGCATCGCCCTCCTTCACCTCAGTCCCTTCTCCCGTCCTCCTGCCTCAGCCTCCTGAGCAGCCGGGATTACACGTGTGAACTGCTATGTCTAGCTCCATTCCAGCTTCTACCCTGCTTCCTGATGTTCAACATCTGAGCAGATTCCTCTAGTCCTGTACCATAAGACCATCGGGTGGGACTGCAGGTGAGACTGAGCTCGTGCCTGGGGCTGCAGGTGTGCTGTGGGCAAGCTCTGAGCAGGGAATAAATCAGACAACACCGCTGAAGAGTGACACAAGGGACAGGGACAGGCAGGGACCTGGCACAGGATGGCATGTACACAGCAGGCACCCAATAAATGCGGACCAAAGGTGTGCACACAAGTCCTGTCCAGAACACACTTCGTACCCTCTGTAACCCTTGGGACCCAACACAAATCGCCGTCTCCCTGGCTCACTTTCCTTTGATGTCCAGGGACACTGGAGTGAGGACAAAGGTCAATTCGAGCAGGGAACCCTGGTGTCTTTTCTCTGCAGTGCGTTTTCATCTGTAAGCAGGTTTCCCTGGGACTCCACCCTCCATGAGACTCACCCTTGGCTCTCTCTCATTCCCCACCTTTCTAAGGTCTTTGAAGAACAGCAGTGTGGAGCCCACACATAGGCTAGGGTTACATTAAACCACACATGCCCCAAGGGCCTGGGCAGTGCACAGAGGAGACACGGAGGTTGGAGGGAGGCTGCACCCTGCACGCCCCTGACTCCCAAGGGACCCCAGCGCACTCCCAGAAGTGGGAAGTGGAGGTGCACAGTGGGCTGTCAGGGCACAGTGCCCCCTTCCCAAGCTTGTGACTGTGGAGTCTCCAGACTCTGTGCTCTTGGTCCCTGGACGGCCCCTCTCAGAGCCTGTTGTCCAGTGCAGCCCCGGGAGGTGAAAGCAGGTTACTGGGGGGTGGGGGGGTGTTGCCCAGTGGTGCTGCCACCTGCTTCACAAGCACAAGGTTCTGAGTTCAGTCCTCAGTACCGAAAAAAACAACAGGTTACTGGGGACTCACAGCAGTACTGCTGCACAGCTGGCATCCCATCATGACGCCTGTAGGGGCGCAGGCACCGTGATTTGCTGCTGCTCAGGACCTCAGCCTCGGAGTGGGACACAGGAGTCTCCACGCTGCTTAGCAGGACTGGGTACCATGATAGAAATGCGTCATGAACTCCACAGCGGACAGTTCCGTACAGTGGACACCCTGAGGCCTAGCGTCCTCGAACTCACCTGCAGCCTGCAGAGGAGATCCCCGTTGCCTTTGCGGCCACTGTAGGCCCAGCTGGGGCTCTCTGTGTGGCCACAGCTCCTTGGACTGAAAGGAAACAGAGGAGGCTGCTCAGTGCCGTCACCTTCCTGCCCCAGCAGCAGCCAGCAGGGGTGGCAAAACCCACAGTGCTCCAGCCTCCACCAGCTAAGCCTTTTGGTTTAGGATCTAAAAATTGACTACTATATTACAAAACCACATGACTGCTGGGCACGGTGGCACATGCCTGTAATCCCAGCACTCAGGAGGCTGAGGCAGGAGGATCGCTGCAAGTTCCAGGCCAGCCTGGGCTACATAGCGAGACCCTGTCTCAAAAGAACAACAAAAAACCCACCAAAAACCACATGATCACATCGATGAATGCAAAAGAAGCTCTAGAGAAAAATTTCATGCCCTATTGTGATAAACACACTCAATAAATGAGGAATGCAAAGTACCCACACAAAAAAACCATAGCCAGCGTCATATTCAACAATAAAAGACAGAGAGCTTTTCTCCACAGGGACAAGGACGAGGCCAAGAATCCTCTCCTGCGACCTCTGTTCAACACTGCACTGCAAGTCCAGGCTAGGGCAGTTCAATCCGAAAATAACAGGCACTGAGGCTCAGAAGGAAAAAGTTCTACCGTCTCTACTCACAGATGGCGCAAGCTTGTGTACACACCTAAAGAAGGCACACAAAACACCTATTAGAATCCAACAGCTCTTGGGCTGGGCATGGTGGGACACACGTGTAAACCTGGTACTGAGAGGCTCAGGCAGGAAGATCGCACGTTTCAGAGCAAGGATCACAAGTTAGCAAGAACTACAAAATTAAAAAAAGGGCTAGGAATGTGGCTCCTGCACAAGGGGGTTTAATCCTCAGCACTGCCACAAAAATTAAATATATTTTAAAAAATAATAAATAAAGAGCTGATAAATGTTTCACAAACCAAAGGCAAAAGTTTTTAGTATTTCGATATGAATGATATAAAAACTCAGGCAATAATTCCATTTGCAACAACGGTGGATGCCCCTTGCTTGTCGCCCTTGTGGCAGCTGTGCGGCTTGCGTGTGCCCTCTCTGCACCCTCTCTGTACCTCTGCCTCGGCCTTCTGTGGTTGCTCATGAATAAAAAAACAAACAAAAACACAAAAAGGGTGCAGAACTGGCATACAAATGGACAGAGAAGTCAATGGATAGATTTGACAGTTCGGAAACAAGTCCTCACATGAAGGCTCGACTTTTTTTTTTTTGGTACTTGGGTCCTTGGGCTTGCGCAGCAGGCAGCGAAACCTCTGAGCTAAATCCCTGGCCCTCAACTTTTTGTTTTAACAGTACTATGAATAGAACCCAAGACCTTTTTTAAAAATTATTATTTTGATACAGGTCTTGCTTAGTCACTAAAATGTAATTCTCCTGCCTCAGCCTCTCAGAATGCTGGGACTACAGGCATGTGCCACCACACGTATCTGTGGTGACCTGATTTTTGATGAGCATGCCAAGGCCATTCAGTGAGGAAAAAATCATCTTTCTTTTTGGCAGTACCAGGGATCAAACTCAGGACCTTCCATTTGTAAGGCAGGTGCTAAATCCCTGGCCCAGGAAAGAAAAATGGTTCTAAGACAAATGGACAGCCACATGCCAAAAAAAATGAAGTTAGATCCCTATCTTATAATATACACAGAATAACACAAAATGAGCAAAATTTTAAATACGTGCTAAAACTAAAAACAGATGAATTGGACTTCACCAAGATTGAAAATTTTGTGTATCGGGTGACATTATCAAGACAGTGAAAAAACAAATTGCAGGGCGGGAGGACATATTCGCCAGCCACGTACTGCTGAGAGCTTACACCTTTGACAAAGCTCCTACCACTCCGAGACAGCCCAGTTTTAAAGCGGGAGAAGGGGGCTGAGGGGACAGATCAGTGGTGGGTGATGGCTGAGCACGTGTGACGTTCTACAAAAGACAGAATGGAACAATGGGCAAAAGATGTGATTAGACATTTCTCCAAAGATGACATGAATGGTACACAGCATGTGAGACGATGTTCAACGTCAGTGATCCTCTGGGAAGTGTGCATCAAGACCACAAGGAACGAGCACAGCAGTCCACACGGACTAGGCCAGCTCCCATCAAGCAGCCAGAACACAGCACCAGCCGGGCAGTGATGGTGGGGAGATCGCTGTCCTCCCACTGCAGGGAGGAGCGGAGAGCAGTGCAGCAGTTCTGGAAAACAGCCTGCTGGTTCCGCAAAACAAGTTACACATGGCCCAAGAGTTCCATTCCTATGCATATCCCCAGTAAGGAAAGCACAGGCCCACACAAAAACCTATGCACAAATGTTCACAGCAACACTATTCAAAACGGCCAACAACTGGAAACAACACACATCCATCAATGGACAGGTGCCCTTCAAAGGCGCATTCAGCCATAGAAGGAGGAAGTACTGACCCATGCTACAGCTCAAAAACATTCTGCTTAGGGAAAGAACCCAGATACAAAGGGCCACAAGTGATACGGTTCTACTTACACAATGTGTCCAGAACGGGCAGTGCTACAACCAGGAAGCTGTCGCAAGGCTGGAGGCCAGCACTGCTCACGCACTGCTGGGCTGTCCCTCCCGAGCTGCTCTCGGGAGCCCAGGGGGACACAGGGAGGGGCCCAAAGCCACCAGCAGGAAGCACTTCTAACACTGCTGGCCATACAGAAACGTAAGTGAAAGGCGGTGACACACTGAGCTCAGACGCGCTACGACTTCATGGTGTCTACACAGACCTTTGAGGGGACGAGCAGCTGTGCGTGCTGTGGATGGTGTAACAAAAGGGTTTGGTTTTTACGGGCAGAGCAATGCGACCTGTCACCCCAGCCCTGGACAATGCAATCCCCACTCTCCATGCTGGCGTCACCAAGCGGCAACCCTAGAGCACAGCACCGGAGGGGCCACCTCGGGCCGCCGCTCCACCTTTCCCACCACCCTGTGCCCACGTGTGTGTGGTGCCTGCCGGCCACTTTCTCTTCTTCACATTTGCGCACCCCGAACCCCAGGCCCAAAGCAGACAGTGCTGTGTGGACAGAGCTGCACACCTCAGCCCTGGCCGGGGCTTGCCCTGTGTGCACATGTGCCTGCACCGAGAGCAACACAGCACGTTCTCAGGACGGTCACAGAATAGGTTCTGGCACTGCCCGGCCAACCTGTGGTAGAAGTCCATCAGTGCGTCGATGAGGACCATGCATGCCACCTCCAGGTCCCCACCGCAGCCCCCAGAAGCCAAGGGTGCAGGCAGGAAGTGCTTGTGGATCGCCCACTGGTGGAAGTCCTGCCTGCAACAGTAAACAAGGTGGGTTATGGGACACACTTCGTGCAGGGCTTCTCTGTGCTCCGGAGGCCCTGACATCTGTCTTCAGCCTGGAAACCCATGGTGCCTGGGCTCCTGTGTCCCCCCGAGCCTGCCTAACCCCAGAAACCCTTACCGCCTGGCCCTCGCCCCTGCGGCCCTGTGTTACTGCCACAGCACTCTCCCCTGCCTTAAACCCTCCGCCTCCACCCACCTCCCGGGGGTCAGCAAAGTCCACAGCTCCCAACACAAGCCCCGGGGCTGGGGGTGCCACGTCTGCCTTCTCTGTACAAAGGTGCCCTCCAGACAGGCGCTTCCTTCACTCGCCACCGCCCCCCCCCGCCCGCTTCTCGAATATTCTGGAAATGCCTGACACATAGTAGGAGTTCAAGAAATGTTTTCTGAATAAAAGAACAAGTAACTGAAATTGTGCTCAAAGGTTCCCGTTAGCCCGAACACTCTACTGAGGACATCATGAAACACACGTTAGGACAATGCAGAAAACCACACTACCGCTCCCCAAAGTGCTCACTTTTCTGTGTCTGACAGAGGATCGGCTCCAGGGGGGATGTCCAGTTCCAGCTGCAGCCAGTCTCTGTAAGTCAACTAGAAACAAGGAGTGATCTACCACACTGAAGACAAAACACAAGAGTCCTGAGTCCAGGGCTGGGGATGTATGTAGCTCAGTGGTGCCGCCGCCTGCCTCGAAAGCACAGGGTCCCATGTTCAATCCCTGGTACCAAAAGAAAAGTCCTGAGTCCAGCTTGTAAACTTTTCTCATTGTATCTTAACAACGAAGACCTGAGCCCATGTTGTAGTGAAGCTGCAGCTGCAGGAGTCTCACAGGACAAAAACCATCCTTACTTCTGTCAAGGCAATGTCCACCCTATGCTCTTTCCCTGCTGTGAAACCCAGACTCTTCCATCACACAGATGCCTGCACAGCAGGCTGCTTCCTTCATCCGCGATGGCTGGGGGCAGAATGTTGGCGATTTCAGTTTCTTGGAGAAGGGGTGCTCTGCTCAACCGTGGAATACTTTCTCCCAGTATAAAAAGGGCGCCTTTATGAAATGCATTTCCCACTACATGTGAGAGATTAGGAACCAGTAAGTCCTGGGGACTTCCGTACTGTTCACAAACAGTGGCGCAAAGCTAAGCAACGCTGCTCAAGAAGGTTCTTGTAAATACGCATTCCAGGGAGCTGGCTGTGGTGGCGCATGCCTGGCATCTCATCACCTGAGACGCTGAGGCAGGGAAATTGCTGCGAGTTCAAGGCCAGACTGGGCTACACAGAGTTCAAGGGCAGCCTGGACTACACAGTAAAATCCTGTCTCACCCCGCCCCCCCCAAAACCAAAAAGTGCATTGCCCGGTTTTCAGTTACCCTGTGGTATCTACAAACCCATTCCCTAGCAGGGGTTACACAGGAGCACCAGGAAACAAAGAATTTTTAGATCCCTTAAAAATAAATTTTTCTGTGATAATTAGCTACAAATAGCTTATTTCTTATTTGAAGTTCTTAGAACAGCTCCACAAATCAGGGTGGACTAATCTCACAACCTTACAGTACATGGAAAAAGCATGTCAGGGAAACCCCCTCCAGCACAGCCCTCGTGGGCCAGGCAGCAGGATGGCTGGGGAGTCACTCAAGTGTGGGACCAGGGCCATGGTCGTGAATCCCCCAAGCAGGACTGCCCTCCAAGGCGCTGGGGCACAGCAAGTGCTCGGCCATTCACGGCCTCCCTGCTACCCACGGTGGAGGCCTCACCTACCTCAGCTAACAGTCAACACTGAAAAAACATGCTACAGCAGGCTTGAGACTTCCCCTAACTGAACAAGAAAATGCCTAGGAAATGAATGAGAGATGTGGGCCTGTCGGGGCAGCACCAGGCAGGCCCCAGATCACAGGCTGGACACAGGCTGGGGGAGTGCAGAGGCTGCATCCCCACCACGAGGACTGGCAGACATTTAACATAGTTTTAGCCAGGTATAGCACTGCATGGCTGTGATACCAGCACTCGGGAGGCTGAGGCAGGAGAAATCACCATGAGTTCGAGGCCAGCCTGGGCTTCATACCAAATTCAAGGTGAATGGCCAAGTGCTCACTGAACTACATAACATGACCTTGTCTTAAAAAAAAAGAAAAAGAAAAAAAAAATTAAAATATTCACCCTTAAAACTTGTATGTAAAAAGTGACTTTTGGTAGGTCTTCTTACAGTTTCTTAGCGCTACATGGGGCCGGGGATTTAGCTCAGTGGTTCCCGCACTTGCCTCGCAACTGCAAGGTCCCGAGTTTGATCTCTGGTACCAAAAAAAAAAAAGAGCTACATGTAAACCCACAGTGATCCAGGAAGATCTGAGCCACCGAGACCAAGCCTCACAAAGCCAGGAGACGGTGTCATGAGGGAGACAGGGCCTACCCGGAACTCCGGCTCTTCTAGCAGCTCCTGGAAGCTGCTCTGTTGCCACAGAGCCAGTGCAGCGCTCTGCCAGTCTTCGGAAGGAAGGCACAAGGGTCTCCAGGGAGGGCCGGTCACATTCTCCACATGACAAGGCTCTCGGGCCTCTGAAACCAATCTGAACAAGGCGAACTGGAACTGAAACAGGTAGGGATGAGTCCTCGGTAAGGCTGGGAACAGTGGCACAGCCACTGCTCAGGTGGCCTGTCCCAAAACCCAGGATCCCGCCAGGTGCTCGACAATACCAGCACCCCGGCCGGCAGCACTGTGTGCAATCTGTGGGCACATCAGACGGGCCTGGGGCTGGTCAGTGTCCCCTGCTGCTCGCCAGCATGGGGTCTTCACTAGTGTGCCAAAAGGACGAGCCAAACGTCGTATCGTGAGAGTCCCTGCCTGTCCTGTCTTTCAAGGGAGATCGCCCTTGGCTACTCAAGAGCCCTGGCTCTCCCAGGGAGGCTACAGGGACCTGCAAGTCTCTGTCCTAACCTCACCCAGCTTTCTTTACTCCTGGCCCCCAGGACTAGGTCCCGCAAAGCGAACAGTGAAAATGTGGGTGCAGCCTGGATCCCCAGCACTGCCTCTCAAGGCTCAATTTATCCAGGCAGGGCCCAGCAGCCTGGACTTTCAGTGGCCTCTCAGCTTGTTCTAAGGTGAAGCCTGGAACTGGAAGTCACTTGTTCCCTACAGAGGTGATCATCAGGGTTCAGTGAAAGGAGCCTGGGGTGACTCTGTGGCAGAGCGCCTGCCCAGTATGCTTGAAGTCCCGGGTTCCACCCCTCAGCACTGAACAAAACTCTGGAAAACAGTCACTCTGGCTTGGAGCATAACTTTACTGTCACTTTTGAAGTTTAGGGTTCCTAATACTCATTAAATTTTTGCCCTTCTGATAAACATAACTAGCATTGCTAGACAAAGGGAATTAGAATGTTTCCTTATGGGGAAGGATCCTTTTTTATTTATTTTTTTGGTACCGGGGATCGAACTCGGGACCTTGCGCTTGCGAGGCAGGCGACAGAACCACTGGGCTAAATCCCTGGCCCATGAAGGATACTTTTTCACAAGTGTTTAATTGACCCGTCCCTCCAAGTATCAGTAGCGTAGACACTTGAAGCTATCAGCTCACCCAGTGCACGGGATGAGGACGGACAGCAGTGTCCAGCACAGGAAGCCACCTACAGCCAGCCTGATGGGCTGCGGCCGCAATGAGGACCCCTGCCTGGGCTGGGAATAGCTGTACCTGAGACCTGCGGAAAGGTGGGTATGTAGACCCACCTTTTTGATAAGGCCTGGAGATAAACAGCTGCGGAGGGCTCCGTGGGGCTGAGGGGAGAATCTGCACCAAGAGTAGGTGATCGCTGCTGTGCAGAACCTGTGGCAAAGAAGGAGGCTCTGACCAGAGCCAACCCCACCTCCCACCACATAGGACCAACAGGCAACAGGGCACAATACACAGAGTGGTCCACACCAAACAGATGAGCTGGCCATGGTGCTGCATACCTATATGTCAGCATCTGGGAGGCTGATGCAGGACTACAAGTTCAAGCCTAGCCTGGGCAACTTAGTGACTTAAAAAGACCTCGTCTCCAAGCTCAGTGTGAAGGCCCTAGGTTCAATCCCCTCTATCACAAAACAACCACCACCAGCAGGGATGAAGGGAAACTGAACCGTACAAAACTGTATTCAGTGCATTTTGTAACTGCATGGCCTGACGTTCAGTCCTGGGTTCAAAAATACTCTCATGCAGCTTCAGGCCAGCTCAGCTGTCTCCACAAGCGCGCTCCTCAGTGAAGGCAGACACCATGCCTGGCTTCTTCTGCTTACTTTTGGCACTGGGGACTGAACCCAGAACCTCGTGCATGCTATGCACAAGCTCTACCACTCTGCACCTTAGCCCGTCTTCTACAATTTTATCTGGTGAGCGTGTGTTGTTTGGTGGAGGGTGGGGCAAGGCCATGACTGAGGACTGAGCACCGGCTCACTTCAGGCAGAAGAGCACAGACTCCCCGGTGTGGCAGGACAAGAGGCCATCCAGGAACTCCGGGACAGGAAGGCTGCGGGTGGCTGCAGCAGGTCCTGGGTCCACCTCTGGGAGCGTAGCCCTGCATTCCCCTAGGTGGACAGCCAAGGCAGCCAAGCCCAGCACATGTGGGGCACTCAAGCTCGGGCCCTGAAAGGAAGACAGGAGGAGGCAGAGCTGTGATGGCGGCCCAGGCCCTGAGGGTCAGCCTGGGCCAGGGTGGGAGAGCATACCTGGTGATGCAGCAGCTGGCAAAGCCGGCCAAGGACTGCAGGCAGCAGTGCATGACCACACAGGGTCCTCACGAAGAGGGTAGCCCAGGGGCCCTGCCTGCAAGGAGAGCAGAGACCACAGTGGTGGGCTGCCAGCCGACATGGCCCCCCATAACCAACCTGAGTACAGGAGGCCTGTGAGGGCCAGGTGGTCCCCACGGCACATGGACAGGCAAGTCTTCCACGGCGTCCCTGTCTGGGAAAATGCTGCCCGGCCCCCCAGGACCACTTGGTGACTCTGCTGCGCTCTCACCTCTCCGGGGGCACAAAGCTGCAGGCTGCCATCAGGTCCTGACAGAAAGCCGTCAGCAGCAGATCCACTACCTGGAGGGACACAGACACCTGCAGCTGCAGCCCTGAGCACACAGCAGTTGTGCCGAGGTCCCAGGACGGCCGTCCTCAATCCTGGACCCACCAGGTTAGTGAGACCAGTAAATTTGTGATAAAGGATCAGAGGGCAAATGCTTTAAGCTTAGGGGTTGCAAGTGCCCTCTACAACATACACTTCTTTAAAATGGAAAGGAGCTCAGCATGGTGGTGCACACCTGTAATCCTAGCTACCTGGGAGGCTGAGGCAGGAAGATCACAAATTTAAGACCAGGCTGAGCAAGTGAGCGAGATCCAGTTTCAAAATAAAACTGTAAGAATGGGCTGGGGATGTAGCTCAGTGGTAGAGTGTTTGCCTAGCATGAGCAAGGCCCTGGGTTCAATTCTGACCCCAAAGCCCTCCAAAGTAAAAGAACTCCTCCTATGCCAACAGGCTCTGGTGGCCCGGCCAGCCCCAGGCCCTTGACAGCTGCCTCCTATTGCCCACACCCACCGCCTGGTGCTGCTGCGGGATGTCTGGGGCAAGGATGCTGAGCTGAATCTTCGTTTCCTCGGAACAGACATCATCCATCCTACGACCCAAGACGGCACCAAGCCTTTCAGCAACCACAGCCATCTGAGCAGACAAAACTGCAGAGAATACGAGATGGGTGGGAAGTGTGGGCATGACACCTGGTGGGTGGGGGCTTGTGGGAAGCCAGGCCATTCCGCCCGCCCCCAGCCCCTGCACACAGGGGCAACACACCAATGAACCCAACCCAGCAGTGGAAACTGTTCATCCACACTTTTGGTGGCAAGTGGCAAGACCCTGACACTCATGCTGCCCAGCATCAAGCACACAGCATGGGCAGCACAGGCCCGCCATGTCCAGTACTCCCTCCTCGACTGGCCGAGAGCTGACAGTGCCTTCGCCACCCTCTATCTGCGGCGAGGCTGGCGAAGCACAAGCCTCCCAGATGCCCTGCTCCAGACACTACGCAGCCACACAGCACTGCAGCACAGAAACCACCTCACTGCTGCTGGAAACAGGGCTGACCCGACTCTCCTCAGGCTTCGCTCCCTCAGTGGACTCTTCCTCAAGGCTCTGAACCTCACACTCTGAGCAGGAGCAGGGCACCACCACAGTACTGGCACCCTCGAAGCTGACGGAGAGATCACTTGAGCCCAGGACTCGGAGGCTGGAGGCCGGCCTGGCCAACACAGTAAGAGCCCTCAAACCCACCCTCAAGACAAGGGCCGGGAGCTGATGATGGCGAGTGTCTGGGAGACTGAGGCAGGGGTCGAAAGTTCAAGCCCAGCCTGGCAACACAGCAAGACCCTGCCTCAGAATGAAGAATAAAGGGCCAGGGATTTACCTCAGCAGCACAGCGCCTGCCTGGCAAGCTTGAGGTCCTGAGTTTGATCCCCCATACCAAATGAATGAATAATAAAAAGAAAAAGAAGGGCTGGGGAAGGCATCTCAGTACAAAGTCCCTGGGTTCAATTCCCATTACCACCAAAAAACAAAACAAAACAAAAAACCCAACCCATAACCACCACATCTGCCCGAGCACAACTCTGCAAGGCCACACTCCTACCACCATGCGCATGGCCTGGGCATAGCAAGCGAGCACCGCCCCCACACACCAGGCTGTGAGCTGAATGAAACTCATCCAGGAGAAACAAAAATCTGTCATGCTCAGTGCTATGGCTTGGTCCCCCAGACGGTGGCGCTGGGAGGTGGGACCCTCCAGAGGGAGGTTGGGAGCAAGGTGACATGGGGGGGGGGCATCGTCCTCAGAAGGACAAACTTGTCAGGCCTCCCAAGAGGGGTGTCCTAAAGAGCCAGCCTGACCCTCCTCAGTCCCTCTGGCTCCATCTCGAAACAAGATTCTGCTCCTCCACCATGCTGGGTGCAAGCAAGCCCATGGGGACTGCCGATCTTGGACTTCAAGCCTTTAAAAATGTGATACGGGGGGCCAGGGATGTAGCTCAGTGGTGCCACCGCCTGCTGCACAAGCACAAGGTCCCAAGTTCAATCCCCAGTACCAGAAAAAAAAGAAAGAAAAAGGAATCCACAAGGCCTAGAGTCGGTGATTCTGGTCAGGACCGCAAGTAACAGCACTCTGCGGCCACATATTCCTAGTGCACATGTGAGCGCTTCATGCTGCTTCACACAACAGTCCCGTGTGCTTGATCTCACACCTGCCATCAGGGTAAGAAAAGAACTGTGCCCCCACCAGCCACCCCTGGTTTCCTCCTCTGGGGATGTCCAACAGCAGAACATTCAGCTCTTGTAGAGGGGCACAACAGCTGCCCTTGGCCTGTCTCCCATCAGCCACAGTCAAGCACGCTGGACCACAGGGAAGACATGCCAGGGGTTCCCACTGCAGCTGTACACTCACCCAGGACACACATCCCACCAGACACTGGGTCCTCACCGTCGTACTGCATGGGGTTGGCCATCAAGGCTCTGAGCTGTCCTAGTGCAGCCTTGAGTGGCCCCAAGGCCTCTTCCGCATAGCTGGGCTTTGTCTCCATTCCTGGGTCTGCACCTGAGGGAGGGGACCACACAAAAAAAATGACATATTTATACACAAGTTTAAGAAAAAAATAGGCTGTGGTCACAACTTCCACAGCTGTGAAAAGCACATATGTGATGAAGAAAGACCAGCACAGCCCTGAAGGCTGAAGGGCAGAGTCAGGATCAGGGCCGGAGGATGGGTTATCTGAGCAGTGTCCAAGAGCCAACCCCCCCCCCCCACGAAGTCACGCTTATGTTCTGCAGGACACGGGTTCAGACCCCTCCACACAGCCCTTGTTCTAAAAAGGAAAGTGCACCAGGTATACGTGAAGAGCGGGACAAGTCCTGGGGTGGCAGAAAAGGCACAAGCACACAGACATCCTGCTGTGCCATGGCCTCACCCTAAACGAAGCTAGCAACCCCGGCTGTGAGTTCCGCCACACCCTGAGAGAAGACATTCCAGAGCCCCATGGTGGGCCAGGCCCCAGCCTGTGGCTATGGCCACACCACTTGCCCCCACAGCTCAGGGCATGCCATTCTTCGTCCATTCGTATCTCTGGTCTCCATGGCTGTGGAACATGGTCTAAGAGTAAGAAGGAGGCGCCTGGAGCCAGAACCAGGAAGAGGACTTCAGCTGGTCAGGACAGCCTCACATGGCCCGCTGGGCCTACAGGCAGCAGAGAACCTAAAACAGCAGCACCCACACAGCTGACAGGGTGGCACCAGCGGTTGCCAGTGAAGTGCCATCACCAGCAAACAGACCTGTTCCTGACAGCACTGCCACCGTGCCCCATGCAGGTGGCAGAGCCAGGGCTCTAGGAATGGGGCCACAGGAGCCAGCCCAGGCCTGAGTCCACATCTCCTGTGGCCAGAAAGACCCCCCACTTGCAGCCCTAACTAAATGATCAGAAAGCAGAGCCCACAACCCACGAGGACCTGCCTCCGATCCCCAGGGGCCACCAGGCACTGTAAATGTGACACAGTGGCCTCCAGAGTACAATACCCCCAGGAAAGGGCCAGTCAGCTGCTTTCAGGCCACCAAGCCTGAGGGATGATGTCTCATTTGGCCTCCCAGTGCAGTGACTGAGCCTGGCATCACTGTGGTGCTGGCCTCTGCTCCAGCAGCCCTGCCCGGAGCGCACACCATCCAGCCCCTGCAGCTACCGACACAGGCATCGACACAGGCACCGGTTTACAGATGCTCATCCTCACAAGTCTCAGCACACGGTGGCTGTGAGCCTTACTTCCCGACTTCTCCTCCTCAGCAGTGGCGCAGGCTTGGCAGTAGGTGGCATACACAGATGGGGGGATTTTGTCTGCCCTGGATCAGAAGACAATATCCAAGTCAATTCAATTCTCCAGTCCATACTTTCAAAGCTGTTTTAAAATAAAAATTATAAATTAAAGTTAAATAAATTATATAGCACTATACAGAGTACAGTACTGGTTTTAGAAGAAAGAAAAAACAAGTGAGGGCAAGGAAGGGGGTCTTAAAAAATGTACGTGAGGGCTGGGGATTTAGATCAGTGGTTCTGGCACCTGCCTCGAAAGTGCAAGGTTCTGAGTTCAATCCCCGGTACCAAAAGAAAAAAAAAAGAAAAAATGTACACGTACCGATTCTCCACAATGAACGCAATCATAATGTACTACAAACATGTACCAATAAAAAAGCATGATTTAAAATACACGTATGGATTTAAGTGATTGCCCCTATGTCACTATTAGCAGTAAATATGAGCAACCCTAAGAAAAACACCCACCCACAGCCTTAACACCGCAGACCCCGCGGCCTGCGTGTACTCCAGGCTGAGGTTCCTGCTCTGACCCAGATCCCTCATGTGGGGTTTTATGCTGGAGCACAGCTGTCCCCGTTCTTCTCTGCGTCCCACTGAACTCAGTCTGCCTCACAGCACCATCTTCTCGGGCATCTTTGCTACACTTATTTTTCTGAGACAGGGTCTTTGGCAGCCCTTTGTCACCATGTGAACAACACTGTCAGTGAATTTTAAACCTTAGATGAAGTAAGTTTCTAGAAATCTATAAAAAGTCTCAGGAAGGGTTAAAAATCTGACTAAAGGCCATCCAAGAAAATGAGTCAGTGGCCCAGTCTCTGATGCCACAAAAGCCACCAAGACTAGAGGTTCTGCAGCCACTTCTGCCACTACTCCAGCAACAGAACCCCTGTCACACACAACTGTCCCAGGGAAGAGGAGGCTGCCTAGTCCACCCAGAGGTGCGGAGGCCGCGCTGCCAAAGCAACATCGCACAAGAGTCCAGACACGGTGCAGAGCCCACCTTGACCATCGTGAAAACAAATCAGCAGCTCCTTGCGCAAAGAATCACACCAAACAGAAGCTATTCTGGAGGAATCTATCAGAGCAATCACCATGGCACGGCCTGTACAAATCCTCAGCAGAGCCGTGGAGGGGCCTCTCAGTGTGACAAAGGGCACGCACACAACCACAGCAGGCAGCTATGACTCCTGCAGTCCCACAGCAGGCTACAAGTCCGTGCAGAACAAAGGGAGGCATAAACACTGAGAAGGAACTAAAGAGTTTGTGGTAAACTCTGTGGCTTGAGAATGTCAGGTTTTATCCTTTTATTTTTCTTTCGGTACCAGGGATCAAACTGAGGACCTTGCGCTTGCCAGGCAGGCACGGTACCACTGAGCCACATCCCCGGGCCTTATCCTGTATTTCTGCTTGCAATGTATTTTTTTTGGTACCATGGATCGAGCTTGGGTCCTTGCACTTGCAAGGCAGGCGGTGGAACCACTGAGCTAAATCGCCAGTCCTGCAATGTATTTTTTAATCTTGTACAATGTCTAGTACTGCTTCTACAATAGAAGTTTACAGTGGGGCCTCAGGTGACAAACATTTTTGTTTGCCAACAATTTGGTTTGCAAACAGAAGCATTTGCCCAAATTTTGTTTCTATTTGCAAACTCTGCATTAGGTGACAAACACCACCGTGGCCATCTTTCCTACATAAACACAAATGTGGTCATCTTTTCCAAAATCAGTGACATACTAAGTTCGTAAACCAAGGTACCACTGAGTAACTCAAATTTTCCTTGTATGTTTTTAAATCTTTTCCTTTCCCAAGTGTGAATGTCATTTAAATATATTATGTGCAGCATTTTTTAAAAATCAGAAAGAAAGAGACAAACAGGTTGGGGATTTAGCTCAGTGGTTTCACCGCCTGAAGTGCAAGCACAAGGACCCGAGTTGGATCCCCGGTACCAAAAAAAAAAAAAGAAAGACAAACATTTGTTCTTGCAGACAATATGATTATCTATGAAGGAAATCCAGCCAACTAGCCAACTACTAAGACTAAGCTCAGCAGGGTTACTAGATCCCAGGTGACTTTAACCTCAGCAGTAACAACAACAAAAAGCCAGAGAATATGTTGTTCAAAGTGGCAACAAAAGCCAGGTACTTAGTGGAAATCTAACAAAAGATGCACAAAATCTTTATGGATAAAAAGAATCACAATGGAATAGACAACTTAGTATCAGAGTCCACTGTCCTCAAATTAATCTGTAAAACCAATGGAATTCACTGAAAATTCCAAAAACCTTCTCATGGAGACACAAGGTGTTCACCGAAGCACTGTTAAGGGGAATAAAACTGCAAAGCACCTGAGCATCCAACCACAGGAGAGGGGACAACTCATGAGGCACAGTCAGTTCATGCAGCCTGTGCAGCAAGCAGCATGCGACACGGTCGTTTCTGGGTACAAAGCCAGGCTCCTCAGAGCAGCAAAAGCCAGTGAACACGCACAAGGCGGACAGGGTGAGTGAAAACACTTCGATAATGATATGCACGGCACCGCTCACAACTGAAAAGCCAAAACCTGGGCCGGGGATGTAGCTCAGGGGTTCTAGTGCCTGCCTCACAAAGCACAAGGTCCCGAGTTCGATCCCCGGTACCAAAAAAGAAAAAGCACAAAACCTTGTCTGATGTCTGTACTTTGTGCCTACGCACCTAACATACAGATGTAAACAAACATACTAAAAGAATAAAGGAAAGGGCTGGGGATTTAGCTCAGTGGTTCCGCCGCCTGCCTCACAAGCTCAAGGACCCGAGGAGTTCGATCCCTGGTACCAGAAAAAAAAAAAAAAGAATAAAGGAAAGAATCATACACTAGTAGTTGGCCATGGCAGCGCACATCTGTGATCCCAGCACTCAGGAGGCTGAGGCAGGAGGATCACCAAGAGTTTGAGGCCAGTCTGGGCTACATAGTGAGTTCAAGGTCAGCCTGAACTACACAGTAAGACCCCATCTCAAAAAAAAAAAAGAATGAATTACACACTATCAGGATAAGGGTTTCTCTGGACAGGAAAAGGGAGTGAGGTCAGGGAGCCAGACTAAAGGGACTTTAACTCTGTAAGTAAGATTTTTAAATTTTATTTTGAGGCACAAAGTCTCATTAAGTTGCCCCGCTGAGTTCAAACTTGATCCTTCTGGCCCAGCCTCCCAAGTGGGAGGATTACAGCCACAAACCATCATGACCTGCTTCCATTGTTTATTATTATTGTTTGGAGACAGGATCCAGCCCAGGCTGGCCTCAAACTTGCAGCAATCCTCCTTCCTCAGCCTCCCCAGTGCTGAGATTACAGGTGTGCGCCACCACACCCTGCTCCCAGTTTTATTTTTTTAAAAAAACAAAGATAGCAAAATATAGGTAGAGGTTCACGGGTACTTTATAAACAGGCATTTTAAACTGTTATCTGTATCTTCTGTATATTTGAAGTATTTTATATCAGAAATAAAAATAAGGCTCCCAGAGAATGGCCTTACTGTCAGATGAAAAAGAATGCCTGTCCAGGCTCTCTCTCCTCCCCACCTCTTCCTAGACTTCACTGGAAGGCAGGATTTAGCTTCCTCCTACTTCAGGAAAGCCTTGCAGACACTGCTCCTTCCCGCTGCTGGAGGGTGAGGGGCAGCTGAGCTGGCCACGACCTTCTAGACAAGATGCTCACACGCGAGGCTCTCGAGGACTCTCATTTCCTTGCCTGACCTCCTTCTCCACGTTAATGTACTGGAACATTCACTCTAACTGCCAGACCAAATGTTCGCTCAAGACGCGTGGTGGCCGCCTCACACTGTTGGCCATTCTTCTTTCCCTTCTACTTGGCTCAAACTTACTCTATGGAGCCTGTTTCTTTCCCTACCTTCAATAAAACTTTCCTATCCCCCCAAAAAAGATCCCAAGTGATGTTTTTCAGAGTAAAACAAATTTTGTTAAAAAAGAATAACCAACTAACTTCTGAGCCAATATTTTACATATAAAACATGTTTAATATACAAATTTCTCTATAAAAACCAGCATCTTTACACCCACTGCAAATGGCAGCCTCCCAAAGCCCTGTGTACCTCCTCAGAGACTCGATGAACGCTGCCCGTGCATCAGGGACCTTGGGGAGCTGAAGGCAGGAGAGGATCAAGTAAGCCACACTCAAGGGCACCCTCCTTCCCAGACGCAGTGACACGCCACTCACCACACGAGGCGTCAGCAGAACAGGGAGGAAGTGGGACACGTAGTAGGGCCTCCTGAATATGCTGCGGCAGAGGGACGAACAGCACTATAATTAGGCAAGAGAAAGGCACCTCCTACTTGAGGTTCTGACAACCCAGGGGCAGCTCTACCTCTACACTCCGTGTTTGTTTTTGCAACACTGGGCCTTCACACTGAGCTACATCCCTGGCCCCTCACCTTTTCTTATTTTGAGACAGGGTCTCTCTTAGTTGCCCAGGCTGGACTTCACTTGCAATTCTCCTGCTGCAGCCTCCCACAGTGCTGGGATGACAAGCGTGCAGCACCACACTGAGCTATGGCTCTGAGGCTTGTTTTGGAGTCCTTTCCACTGTCCTGCACAGTCTTTCCCAGGGCAGTCTGTACCATAACAACCATGCAGTCTAGGGAACTGGGACCACATTCCACTTGCCCTGGGCTAGGCCACAGAACCTGGACTACTTGAAAGCCATGAGGACTGCTTTGGGGCCAATCCAGGCCTTCTCCTTGGAACTGGTCTCAAAATGCCAAGAGTTAAAATCAATCCACCCACATTGGCAGCAACCAGAATTCTTGATATCTGGGATCACACTGAATTCAATAAAGCCTTGCTGCTTAACCTCTAGGACTAGCTCTCCCCTACCCCTAAGAAGGCATTAACTGAAACAACTGCTGTACCTGCCCACGGGCCCATCCTCCTGCCCACGCAGTCCGGGGTCCCACCCGGAGCATGTTTCAGCAGCACACTTCCAGGCCTCACTCCACACCCACAGCCTCGCCTCTGACCTGACATCCACAGCCCAGCTGTCTCCCGCCAACAGACCGTGACCCCAACACACATGCAGCTCTGTGAACAGACCCAGTCACACTCAGAAGGGCCCACCAGCCTGGCACTGTCACAGCAGCCCGACCCTACCTGGCCTCCAGGACAGGGACCGGGACTTTCCCTGTGTGTTCAAACATCGAGACGGCCTTCTCCACATCCTGGGCCGCTTGGCTGCGGGGCTGGTTCCCACCCAGGGAAGAAGAGAGAGACCCGAAGATGTGAGGGAGACAGAACAAGCAGCTTAGGCTGGCACAGCCTGCGTGGCCTCACAGCCACGGGTCTAGACAGGTGATACCACGGGCAAGGGGACCTGGAACTCACGTGAACCCAACACAAGCAAAACGGAGATGAACTACACTGCCGCTTCCTGCTCTCAGTCACTCAGGCTAGGCCCTGCAAGGCTCCTGGGCACGGCCCCTTCCCCAAGAAGCCCCCACCCACTGGTCCCCTCTGTCTGGCTGCACCTCATCCCCTCTCTCTCTGCCAGTCAGACAGGAAGCAATAGGCTTAATTTCTGAGATTAAAAAAAATGGTTCCATGTTTATAGCGGCACAGTCTGTAACAGCTAAAGCTTGGAAACAGCCCAAGGGCCCGTCGACTGGAAACCGGATAAAGAAGATGGGGGTTTTTCTAAAATGGAGTACTACTCGGCCATGAAGAACGAGAAACTAGAGTCATTTATAGCTAAATGGGTGCCTGTAGAGGCCATACTCTTAAGTGAAATAAACAGGACACACATGTGTAAATACCAAATAGTTTCTCTAGTGTGAGAAACTGAAAGTGTAAATAAGGATTAAAATGATTAAAATGAATGATTGATAATTTGAAATAGGAAAAAAGGTCCAAAGGGGTAGGGGAGGTGGGAGGGGAAGGGGAAAGGAAAGAAGGGAAAGGAAAAATGATGAGAAAGAAAAAAAAAATGGAAGCAAAATCTATGTAAATAGGGAAGGGTTTAGGGGTGAAGGGTGCACAGGTAATGGGGAAAAAATAAGAACCAAGACACATCATGTACAGGCACAAGCACCCAAAGATAAACGTAAATGTACTGTTTACCTAAAATGTACCAATAAAAGAATTTTTTAAAAAATGGTGAAATGGCAACTTCTGAACAGCATTAAATGTTAAATGGAAAACTCCGTGAGAGTCTTTCACCCAACACTAACGGCATCTATAAATATTCTCTCACAACTTGAAACTGTAAAAGTCCTTGGACTGGGGATTTAGCTCAGTGGTTTCGCCACCTGCTGCACAAGCGCAAGGACCCAAGTTCAATCCCCAGTACCAAAAAAAAAAAAAAAAAAAGAGAAACAAGCGTGGTATGCACATTGAACCACTCCCCAAGATGACTGCAAACTGCGTGAACTGCAAACATGTACTAATAAAAATTTTAAAAGTCCTAAAAAGGGGCCGGGGATGTAGCTCAGCCATACAGTGCCTGCCAGGCAAGCATGAGGCCCTGAGATCGATTCCCAGTGCGAAAAAAACAAAAAGTCATCAAAAGTATAAAAGGTTGTTTGTACAGCGACACTCAGACCACATGGCCAACTGACACTGGTTCCCATGACCGCTGCTGCCACTTTTCTGCAATTCCTAGGAAAACTGGGCAGACCTCTCCTCCATCCCAGAAGACCCCGGCAGCTCCTCTGTGCTGCAGCCTCCCAGCCAGCACAGTCAGTGCCTGCAGACATCACAGGACAAATTGCCCCTGGGAGGACACTGCTGCCTGCATCAGGGGCCAATCAGGTGCAGCACCAGAGGACAAATGCTCAAGTCACAGCACAGAGCAGCAGACCAAGATCACGAGCAACCGAGGCCATGTTACCTCTGCAACGTCCCTGGCTAAGGACCCATCTCCATACAGTCCCATGTTCTCCAAGGAAACCTTCGAAAGAGAAGAAAGAAAATGCCAAGAAGGTGGTCGCTGGCCGCTGCCGGGCAGCTTGGGGAGGGCAATGACTTGCCTTCAGGTCAGCCAGCCGTGTCCTGGCCAGCGAGATGTAGTCAGTAAGGACGCAGCGGTACTTGCTCGGGACCAGTGGCGGGTAGAGAATGTGCACCTGGGACAGAGCATGGTGAGTCACCCCCAGAGACGGTGCAGGAGCAATGCTGAGCAGAGACAGACACCAGCAAAGCAGAGCCCACCACAAAAAGGCCAGAAGTCAAGAGAGAGCCCCATGCAAGAGGGTGCTGCTGGTGGGGGCCACCTGCGACCCACACCACAGCCACTGGCCACATCCTGGGAAAGACCAGGCCCACACAGCCTGAGGCCAGGCTCTGGGAGAGCGGTCTCTGAAGAGCGACCGGGCAGCCAGACTGCTCCCCCAGGATGCAGCACCCCGACGATGATGGCGGGGTTCGCAGGTCTAACATGAGCCAGCAACGCCCCCTAAAGGATGACTAACTTAACCAAAACACAAGAGAAGGGGACCCAGAACTCAGGACAGGCCGGGACCGCTCCAGCCTCCCTGAATGGTAGCATGGCCCTCACTCCCCCACAGGCCCCACCCACTCTTTCCGGGTGAGGCAAAGGCCTGGGAAGAGCGGTGCAGACCGGTAAATCCAGCGCTCAGAGACCTAGGCAGGAGGATCGTCGAGTTCCAGGCCAGAGTGAACTACATGAGCTACATGTCTCAAAAACCACAACATCGGATTGGCCAGGGATTCAGCTCAGTGCTTCCGCCGCCTGCCTCACAAGCGCAAGGGCCCAAGTTCGATCCCCGCTACCAAAAATCCCCCCACAAAATTCAAATAAACTAATAGAAAGTCCCATTTCTTTACTTCCACTCTTGGGTATTAGGACCACTGGCAGCCTAGGGGTACACCCTCCCAGATTCTTCTCCTTGCGTATATGAGATAAACAATTTTCTGAAACCAGGCTAGGGTCCCCGAACTGGCAAGCTGCTCCCAGGGTCTCCCAACCCACCGTGGCCATTCATCCTCTCCTCCTGTGGGCAGCACCTGAGATCTGTACCCTCCCTCCAACCCTTCCACACCAGCTTCCCGTAGCCACCTGGGAAAGGGCAGAGGCCGTGCAGGCCTGGAGGGTCTACAGGAGGCACAGACACAGCTCCTCACCTGCAGGTACCAGGGGGCCTCCCAGGGCACGAGGTCAGACAGGAACTTGAAGAGGAAGACCAGGGCCTTCTTGCTGCAGCTGTGGTAGCCACGCGAGCTCCCGAAGGAGGCCTGGGGAGGATGACTGCATAAAACCCACCACTCGGTGCCCACCCTGCAAGCTGCACCATCCATACACAGAAGCCTGCTACTGACAAAAGTGACAGGGGCCGGGGATTCAGCTCACTGGCATCGTGTCTGCCTCACCAGTGCAAGGTCCTGAGTTCAATCCCTGGTACAAAAAAAGTGACAGAGGCCACTGCTGAGCCTCCGCAGAGGAGATAGGGTGAAAGTTTATTCAGAGAGAGCCAGGCATGGTGCCGCACGCCTGTGATCCCAGCACCTGGGGGTAGAAGCAGGAGGACTGCTGTGTGTGTGAGGCCAGCCTGGTCTACACGGTGAGTTTAAGACCAGCCTGAACTGCAGAGCAAGAGCCTGTTTCAGAAAAAAGAAAAGAAAAAAAGAAAGTTTATTCAAAGAAAGTTAGAAATAGTTTGCTGTAGGGAATAGCAATGGTGGGACCCTCCTGTGGCCCCCAAGGGCACACTCATGGAAGCAAACACACGCATTCAGACAGCAAACACTAAGAGCCACCAGACTAACGGGAATTAGTGACACCATCCTATGGCTGAGTATAGTCAGGGAAAAAGCAGTCTCAGAGACACTAACTGTCTGCAGCAGACACCAGGAAAGCCGCTCCACACCCCTGGGTTAAAGATTCAGAAAAAAAAAACACACTGCAAGATCATCCCTACCCCACCCACTTCCCCCAGGAGGTTCTCCCACCAACAAAGGAGGGAGGAGACCCAGGCTCACACAGAACTGCCTCACCCCTGGGTGACACTCGCCCCATGAGACCTCAGCTTCAGCGACATGCTGACCCCAGGGTGGCTGACACTGAGGCCACCTCCTGGGACCTGCCATTCCCAGAAGCCTTCTGTGAGACGCCCATAGCGACCCATACCCTGTGCCGCATCAAGCCCATCATTGAGTCACTCTGGAAAAAGGCAGTTCTTATTACAAAAAATTATGTAGCTGCATAATGTGATGTGCTACAAACCACATCACTGACCAGAGGGCTCAAATTAGCAACTGTAGCCCCGATTAACATTTTATAAAATATAGATTAAGAACCAAATGCAGCGGTAGGGGAGGCTGAGTCAGGAAGATGGCTATGTCCTGGAGTTCAGCCAGCCTGGGCAACCCAAGAGACCCTGTCTCAGAACATGTATAGACAGACTAACAGACCTTCAAACTCTGAACACACATAGGATACATTTATCACAGTGCACCCAACTGTAGATGTAAATTGGTTGCACTTTATTTAAATTACAGCTTGAAGAAGTTGACTTTAAAAAGTAAATGGAGGTCCGGGGATTTAGCTCAGTGGTTCCGCCACCTGCCTTGCAAGCGCAAGGACCAGAGTTCGATCCCCGGTATCAAAACAGTAAATGGAAGAGCACAAGAAACCAGCACCATACTGTCATGAAGCATTTTAAAAATGGCTCTTCTCAGGAGGCCAGCCCTGGGCAAGTCAGTCAGACCCGAGACACTGACCCCACTCAGACCACTGCAGCAATCCACAGGGCAAAGGCCCTATGGCAGACACTGTGTGCGCACACACACCAGGCACAGAGGTCAGCAGGGCTGAGGGCCAAGTGTGGGTGCATCCTGGTGCTAGGGCAGTCAGCTCCCATCCATCCAGTGAGTGCTCAGGCCACGTGGGCAGGGGCAATAGGCCCAGGATGCTGAGAGGGGATGCAAAGCAAAGGATACATCCACCACCCACCCAAACCCCATGTCAGACAAGCTGGTCACAGTGCCTTCCAAGAACCAGTGCCTTCAAGGACATGAACTCTCTAGCAGTGCTGGCGGGAAACCCAAAACTTCACAAAGAGCCAGGCAGCTCTGCAAAGGCAAACTTGCACAAGACCATAAAAGGATAACAACGCACCTGACCTTCCAGGCAGATGCCTCAAGGATCCCGCCTCAGCCTGGACTGGCCGGACCCCCGAAGCTTCCCCTGGGGACATAGCTCTTGTGGGTCTGGGTGGTCCCAGGCCTGCACTTCTGAGCCCTTTCCAGGCAAATATGAGGTTTGAGGAGTACTGTGAAAGTATCGGAGTGAGAGTGGGTGCACTGCAGGCACTGACAGGGAGACTGAAGGGCTCTGAGGCCTAGGGGCTGTGCCTCAGATGCCCAGATTGTCCTGCAGAGTGGCAGGCACTGTCAGCTCCTGCCCAGTGGGTTCCTGACACCGAGGGATGGACCCATGAGAGGAGACCAGAGGGATTCAGAGCCTCCACAGCAGCTGGAAGTCTATTCAGGCCACCTCTGCAAAGCACCTGACGCTGCCTCCATGGGGAAACGTGACTTCCGCAGGCTGGCCTGCTCGGAGCGTCACAGTCTGGGAACCAACTTCCGGGCAACTGACCTTGAACCAGTCCGCATAGGGTGGGAATGCAGCAGGGCCCTCCAGTGCAGCCTGGCGCACAACCAGGAATGCAGTGACCATGCTGTCCAGATGGAAGCTCTCGAAGGCACCAGCCATCAAACGGGCCACCCAATCTGCGAGACATGACAAGCCCACAGGTGATGCGAGACTGGCTAGTGGCTGAGGGACCCATCCAGGATGTGCTGGGCAGAAGACCTGGTGTCCATCAGCGGGACAAGCATGGGCCACCTAGACACAGGGGCAGCACTCAGCACCAACCAGGCACAGGTCTGCAGGTCAGGAAGGGCTTTGCAGACGGGCTCACCCTCAAGTGCCAGGATTCTGCTGCTGCCAGTACGCAGAGCACATGTGCACACGCACAGCACACCTGGCTCTCCGCACGCACCTCTCACCAGCTGCTGTGCCTCGGGGAAGCAGGTGACCAGCACAGACACGCAGGACAGCACACGCTGCCAGTTGACTTCCTGCTCCTCCAAAACTTCCTGCACACAGCTGATGGCTTCCTCGGGGCTCAGCATCATGAAGAGCTGAAAGGAAAGCTCCGATCCTGCCACAGCTCAGCCAGCCACCGGAGACAGCAGAGGTCCCTGCCTCCCTCTAGCCACAGCCCTGCCTGCTGGAAAGCCTGAGGTGGCAAGGAGCAGTGACGACAGATGCACAGAACCTCTCCTCTCCACAGTGGTCGGCACTGGCTGGAGGAACCCTTGCCCCTGGTGCTCCGTCAGGTGACAAGTTCACTCTCCTGACCCTGGGCTATAGCCCAGGTGGGAACAACCATGTCTTGAGGAGACTCAAGCTCATGGCAGTGCGACAAGGATGGGAAGCACAGGGTCAGCCCACTCACCCGGCAGTAGAGAGAGATAAGCAGCGGATGTGTTCTCGAGAAGCTCCACCTGCTCTGCATCTGGACCGCGTCTGACACTGCAGGAGGAAAGACAGGCATGAGCTGCAAGTCCGCTTCTCGAAAGGCTACATGTCAAGCTTCAGTGAGGAAACAACTGCTTTAAGTTGTATTTTTAAACTCTCCACCCCTTCCCAGTTTGTTAACCAGTCACATCTCAGTGTCCATGGGTTCTGGTTCCAGGACCCCCAAGGACCCCCCTGCAGATGCTTGTGTTCCCCATACACAGGAAATGGTGATCTGCACGGAACCTACTCACATCTGCCCTGCACATGGCTACTGTAGCACCCCATCCAGGGTAAATGCTAAGTAGTTGTTGCACTTTTTAAAAATAACGACAGGAAAAAAATCTGCACACCTTTAATACAGATGCAATTTTATCCCGAGCAGTCCTACTCCGAAGTTGGGTGAATTCACAGATGTGAAAACTGTATTCTCTACTATACTGATTTTCTATGGCTTTGGCCCAGTTCCCTCCTGGAAATTCTGTGTCCCATTCATGAGGAAACTTTTCCAACAATCAGTTACATTTTGCTACTTCAAAACCCTAAACTGTCTGCAAACCAATCTGAGCCAGGGTGCTGCCTTAGGGGGCTGGCCTGGAGCAGAAGTCCCCACTCCCAGCCTTCTGCAGCTTCACAGCCACCCATTCCACAAAAGCCCGGTGGACAAGGTCAGGACAGCGAGTCAGTGCCCATGGAAGACAGGAAGGAGCCTAGTGTCTGTGCCAATGAAACACCCACAGGCAGACGACAAGTTGAAATCAAACACTTAAGAAAACTACAGAACAAGGGCCGGGGATTTAGCTCAATGGCATCGCGCCTGCCTGGCAAGCACAAGGTCCTGAGTTTGATCCCTAGTACCAAAACCAAAAACAAAACTACAGAACTGCTTAAGAATAGGTTTATAATGACATACAAAATAAAACTGAGGTATTCACAGTACAATTACATCATTTAAAAGCCCACTTAGGAAAAAGCTGTAAAAACTGTTTAGTGTTAAAGATAGCTCTGCTGGGGCTGGAGATGTAGCTCAGTGGCGCTGCACCTGCCTGGCAAGCACCAAGGTCCTGAGTTTGATCCCTGGTACCAAAACAAAAAAAAAGATAGCTCTGGCCTGGGGATTTAGCTTAGTGGTTCTACTGCCTGCCTCAAATGCACAAGGACCCGAGTTCAATCCCCGGTACCAAAAAAACAGATAGCTCTGTTTGGCGACAACACAGGTGACAATTCTCTGTCCTCTCTTCTTCAATCCTAAATTTTTTCAAAAGAAAATTACTTCCACTTCTTTTTTCGTGGTGCTGGGTATGGAGCCCTGGGCCTCACACATGCCAGGCAAGTGCTCTACCCCTGAGCCACACCCCAGGCCAGGAAATGACTTCCACAGGAAAGGACACTAGTGATAAAAGTCCTTCACCATCTGGAGGTGTCTGAAGAGGGTTAAACCGTACCACCCACTTCAGGGCCCAAGATCCCGTGGAGGTTAGAGCCATAAATCGGGGCCATTGGAACATCACCCAGGCACCAGGGGACACACTGGGCAGGCACCACACGGCTGGCCTACCTTTTAGCACAGGGCTGTGCGTGAGCGTCTGGACCAGTGTGTGACGGAAGAACTTCTTCAGAGGATCTGGCGCAATCACACAACACGAGTGCGCACTGAACACATCAAACCTGTAGCACAGGACCAGGGGGTCAGGGACGGGGAGCTGTCCCTCACCACGAATGGCACCTTGGCTCACTGGCACCACCATCTGCCAGTGAGGACATGAAGCTACAGGCTCAGGTGGAACCTAAGGACGGTCGTCTCGACAAGACACGCACAGTGGAGAGGCTAGGAGGCTACAGCAGGCAGCAGACTGGACACAGACTGGGGAGGTGGGCCAGATGGAGGCCAGGGTGACAGCGCCAAGTCCCAGCAAATTTAGCTGCTCCACATGCCTCAGTTCACCACATGACATGGGAGTCACTGACCCTCCCCACCAGGGCGTTGCTGCATCTGGAGCACAGCTGGGGCCATGCCTGGCATGCACAGCCGACACAGCAGCTACTGCTACTAGAGCCAGTGCCACTCCTTGGAGGGCTGGAAGGTGGACAGGGCAGGCACTCAAGGGACGCCATGGGACAGGGCAGAAGAACACGAGGAGCAAATGGGAGCCACAGTCTGGCTTCAAGGGTACTCGAGGGCTGCCAGCACAGGCAGCATCAGTGCACAGCTCATGGAAGCCACAGCTGTGCAAGACTCCTCAGTATAGCAGGGAACTGCGTCCCTGGCTCCCCAGCTGACAGTCAGTGCCTCACTGACAAACTAGCTGCCTGCAGGTCACCCGGCATCCGCAGGTTCATCTCTGTGCAGACACAGGTGCCTCAAGGGGCACAGACTCCAGGGCCAACTCCACAGGGCAGACCTTGGGTACACGGTCCCTCGGGGCCTTCCTGCCACCAGAGCGAGTCTGACCTTAAAAACACTGGCAACTAAAAACTCTGAAACAGTGGCAGTCATTACAGTTTCAGCAATCTGGTCACGCAGTATAGACCAGACTGTGCCCACAAAGCCCGCATCCCCGACGTGACCATCGTTGTAGGGCCTCAGGGTGGCATTAGTGCCCTCCTATGGAGCCGAGAGCAGCTCCCCCTCTCCACACACCTGGCGAGCGTTGCAGAAAGGGGGCCCCAGAGTCTAGAACCATGGGACAGGTCTGTGCTCTGCGCCACAGTGCACCAGCTTTGCTGTGGTAGCCTGAGCAGACTAACGCACACGCAGACTTTCCATAGAAGTACCAAGTGATAAGTGCATCCAGCAAGTACAGCTCAAGTGCTTGTGGCACACAGAACACCAGAAGCAAATAACTGAAAATAGAACAACTGAGAAGGCTGGAAATAGGGGGAATCTGCCTGGCTTCTCAAGACTTCCACCTCAAGGCCCCACCCATCCGGATGCCCCAGCACACACATGCACCAGTCTGTCTCTCAGAAGTGAGGCTGGGCTGGAGGGTGAATGACAACACAGCTCTAGGAAGCACGGAGCTGGGGGAAGAGCAGCCATTCGGGACACAGGTGGTCACCCAGGTGCAGGGAGGGGAGCTACCACAACCCTCCGGGCCTATCCTGAGCCAGAATGGGGCAGGCAGGAGGAAGCTGAGTGGAGCCCAAGGTCACCGGGAAGGGCAGGTGGGTGCCCAGGGCCAGTGCTGCCACCCTGGTCCTGACAAGCAGGGCTGCCCTCCCCAGACGTACCACCACCTCACTGCCTTGTAAGCCGGGGACTCCTCCTGAAGGCCAGCAGCCAGGGAGTCCAGCGCAACTGAGGAGAGAATGTGCGACAGGAAACACGTCAGCACAGTGACAGCCGTCACACACGTGCATTTGCTCACACGCACTCCCGGACGGGGTCACCTTCCACATATCAGGCTTCCACAGACCCGCAGGTGTCCAGATGCCACCAGTCCACGGTGACACCCCACACCCTCAGGCCCCAAGGTCTGGGGGGTAGAAGAGTTACCCACACACAGATCTGCCGAGCGCACGTCAGATGACAGTGCTCAGGAGGGCTGATGGCTGAGGGCAGGCACACAGACCACAGCCACACAGGGGCCTAGAAGCAGGCCCGAACAGGGACACACAGGGCCACCTACTTCACACAAGGCTTGAGCTGTGGAAACCGCTAGTAAGAAAACAAAGCCATTTACAGTTCGGGTCCTGAGAGTCAACTTACAGCTCAGCATTTTCTGCAGCACAGCCAGGGCAACCTGTCAGGACAAGGCACATGTGACAAGTTTTGTTTGTTTGGTACCAGGGATCGAACTTGGGACCTTGCATTTGCAAGGCAGGTGGCGGAACCACTGAGCTAATTCCCCGGCCCACATGTGGCAACTTTCAAGCAGTGACCCACACATGCCGCACAAGAGAACTGTTACATAAATTATAATGAGAACTGCTTTGCAGACAGGGCCACTTTTAAGATTTCTTCTTAGGTTAGAAATTACCCCTCAGTGAGCCCCTCTCAAGTTCCAGCTGTGACACAAGTACTCTCAGCAAGGCCTGGAGCCACAGCCCTATCCTCGGTACACACAGGGCACAAGAGTCTGCTACGGTGTCTTGGGTACTGTTACATTTAGGCCCCAAAGCCTCAGGCACTCAGAGGTTTGGCTTTGGGAGGTGATCAGGTCATGGGGGCGGGATACTCATCAGTGGACTAATCCGTGGGTGAGATTATAGATAAATGTGATGTTGGGAGGTCGAGCCTGCTTGGAGGAAATGGGTAGCTATGAGCGTGGCCTAGAAGGGTCTGTCTCCCTTTCTGCTCCCTCCTTGACTGCTTCCTGCTGCCATGCCACGAGCAGCTCTCCTCTGCCATGTACCTGCACTGTGCCATCTGCCTTGGAGCCAGCTGACTGGACTAAACATGAGCTAAAATAAACCTCTCCTTCTTTACTTTGTGGGTGTCAGGCATTGTGTTAGCAATGAGAAAGTGACCGAGATAGGTATTCTAGTGCCCGGTCAGATGGTCTTAGGTGCTGCAGCGCCCTGGCCGAGCAGCCTAGGTACACCCCAGCAAGCACAGGCCTGTGTGCTAAAGACCCTGCCCTGGAGACCTGTGGGGGCCAGAGACCTTGGATGAGAAAGCATTCCTGCCAGTGTCTTTCCTTTACATCGCCCAGACCTCCCGAGGGCGCCATGGGGGACCCCTCACCCCACCAAGGACTTCTCAACAGAGAGCTCAGACTATAATGTGGACATGGTGGCAGCCACTGGCCCTGGAACACCCACAAGGGATCAAAAGTGTAGACGGGGGTTGGTCTTTGGGCCATGGCCCTTTGTCCTAACGAGGTCAATTCTCCAAACTCCGCACCTCACTCTTCCTCCTACCTGAGGCATCTTCTCAGGCTCCATGGTTCTTCCCACATTGGAGTTTTCCTGAAATGCTCTCAAAACCAACAGTTGCACAAAATCTGAAAAGGCATAAACCCAAAATATTTACGGACACTATGGTCTCCAAACAGCTGTGAATCACACAGGTAATGCTTCAGAGGGCTGTGTGTGGACACAGCTTGGAAAGCTGACCAGCACTGGCGGAGCACCTGACTCAGGAAAGCCTACCCAGTCCCAGTACACAGTCACTCACCAAGCCACTGTCCTTCCTGCACCCTGTTTTAGAGGGAAAAGCTTATAGTAAATCAAGTTTATATTTAAGACTTTTAATACAGAGAAGTAGATTCCAAGAGACATCTCATGGATGTTCACTCTAGCCAATCCCGACTACAGGAGGGCCCAGGAGCCCTGCATTCCAAGGAGCAAGATGATACGTAATTCACACCTTTGTAAAGGCTGGAAACAAGAGCCTAAAGTTAGAGGCTTTCTGTTCCACCTTCACCTTCACCTTCACTTCTCTGGGACCAGAACCAGGAGCCACATGCGCTTGAGCATCAGGAAGAACGCCTCTTGCAAAGGAGAAACCCCCAAGCTGCTGGTGTCTCCTGGCCTTTATGTGTTGGGCTCCTTCCCAGGCATCACCAGCAATGCAAGGGTCTGTGGCTTGAGTGGAGAGGGGCTGGGGGCTTCTGTCATCGAGCTGACTGACTAAAATCCCCAGCTCCCAGGTCAATGTGAGCCCACTGGAGCCCTAGGTGAGCCAGTGTCATGCTGGGCCCACCTCGCAGTGTCTCAGTCCCCACCCAGCCAGGTGCCTGTTCCCCAGGACCCTGACTGTGGTGACCTTACCAGAAAGCATAGCCCTGGTCGTGTCGCCGGACTGGCAGGAGGCTTCCATCTGCTCACACAGCAGGCACAGGTTCCCAAAAAGCCACGCTGTCACAGCCTGAGCTTCAGGATGGCTGGGGATATACAGACACCTGATGGAGCCCATCCTCTCATCCATGTCTCCTGAGAGGCAGTTACTATTTCTCTGTTTTGAGACAGGATCTTGCTATGTAGCCTAGAGCAATCTCAAACTCATGGTTCTCTGCAGCACTGTGCTGGCTAGGGCAGTTTTCATGTTCACCTCTCTAGGAAGCAGGGCCAGTGAGCACCAGCTGGTAACAGCCTAGGATGGTGGTGGGAACCTACAGCACAGGCTGCAGCAGGCTATTTGTATCACTGAAAGCTCTACCAGGTTCGCCATCACTGGCCTAGGCCTCTCTGTCCAGGAAGTCCAAGTGGGTATGGATGCAGGACCCCCCTGGTTGCTACTGACACAAAAACAATAATCTTCATATAGGTCACTTATTTGGAATAACTCATAGTAGGTGGGCCAGTGACCACTTCTTTTCAAGGAAACTTTGTTCTTCACTTATTTTCTCTATTGTTTTCCATCTCACTGCTTTCTGCTTTCTTTCTTTTTTTTTTTTTTTTTTGTGGTACCAGGGATCAAACTCAGGACTTTGCATTATGAGACAGGCGGCAGAGCCACTGAGCTAAATCCCAGGCCCTGTTTTGATTCTTATTACTTTCTTCATGCTTAGTTTGCTCTCCTTTTCCTGGTCTCTAAGATCTCTAAGGTTTGGACCTAGGTTGATTTGAGAACACTTTTTTCCCCAAATAGAGGCTTTCACAACTATAAATTCCCCTTTAAACATTTCATCAGCCGCATCCTGTAAATTTTAGTACACTGTTCTTATCTTCATTCCTCTCAAGGTATGTTCTACTTTCCCTTCTAATCCTTTAACCCATTAGTTATTTAGAAATATGTTGTTTAAACCAGGTACAGAGGCAAACATCTCTAAACCTAGCCACTCAGGAAGCTGAAGCCGGATTCCAAACTCCAGGCTAGCCTGAGCACCCTACCAAGACCCTGCCTCAAAATTAACTGATTAATTAATAGGGATGGGGATGTAGCTCAGTGGCACAGTGCCCCAGGCTTGATCCCCAGTACAGAAGAAAGTAGGAGGGCTGAGGATTTAGCTCAGTGGTTCCGCTGCCTGCCTTGCAGGCTCAAGGACCAGAGTTCAATTCCCCAGTACCAAAAAAAAAAAAAAAAGAAGGAAGGAAGGAGGGCATAAAGGAAGAAAGAGGGGGAAGGCAGAGGAAAGTAGGAGGGAGGAAGGACAGATGTTGCTTAATTTCCAAATAGAATGGATTTTCCAGATTTCCTTCTGGTGCTGACTGTAATTAAATTCCTTCCTAGTTAGAGAACATACTTTGAATGATTTCAACCATTTCAAATTTCTTAAATTCATTTTGTGGCCTGATTCTTGTGCCCTCCCCTGTGGACTGTCCCCACGCGCAAGTGGCTATGAGCTCCCCAGCCGCAGTGGGTGTCCCCAAGCAGCTGGCACACTAGACCAGGGTGCAGGGCCAGAAGGCCCAGGTCAAGGCGCAGCCTCCCACTCCTGCCCACTACCTCTCCAGCAGCTCCCGCAGGCTGACCACGCTGTGCACATGCAGGCACCACACAGCTTCCAGCAGCAAAGAGCTCTGAGGGAAAGACAGCACCGTGAGTGCCCTGCGTGGGCGGCTTCCTGCCCGGCACACTGTCTGCCCTCACTCAGCGAGCCTCAGACCTCATCACACGGCCCTGTGCTGTGCAGCACAGCCTCTCTGGTCTCTTCTGACTCCTGCCCGCCAGACTCCGCAAGCTGTCCCAACCCTACCCACGCTGCACCCCATGTGCTCCAAGGGCAGGCGGACGAGCCATCTTGCTGTCTTTCCACAGCTTTCAGGATGAGGCTCAGACTCCCGTGGGTGCCAGGACCTCTGCCGGGCCTCTCCCACCTCGGGGAGGCCGCGGAGATGCCAGACAAGCAGCACCCGTGGATGCACTCAGGCTGCTCGCCGGCCTCCCTCCGCCACCTCTGGCTCTGGCCTTCCTTGCCTGCTCCCTCCTACTCTCGCTGTGCCCTCAGGGAGCCCTGAGGACCGTGCTGGCCCAGCAGTCACGCTGTTCTGTGCACCACAGACACCCACCTCTGCCGTGCACGCTTCCTCGCCCTTTCCCCAACTCGATGGCAGTGAGTAGAGACCGTAACAGAGCAGTGAGCTCTGTGACCCAGGAAGGGTAACACTGAAAAGACACTCGTGGGCAACCTCCTCAGCCTTAACTTTCCTTCTTCTAAATACTTGCTAATCATAGTTACTGCTGGACTATTTGGACTTTTCAAAAATCTATAAACCTACTGAATTCAAAATGCTCCAAGAAAGAGCTTATTGGTACAATTTTTTTGTTGTTTGTGTATGAGACAGAGTCTCATTGTGTAGTCTAGGTTGGCCTTGAACTCGAAGAGATCCTCGTGTCTCAGCCTCCCAAGTGCTGGGATTATAGGTGTGTACCACCATGCCTGGCAATACAATTTTTAAATTATATATGTACATACTTTTGCTTTTTGTTTTGGTTTTTGAGACAGGGTCTTGCTATGTAGTTCAGGCTGTCCTCAGAGATCCTCCTGCCTCAGCTTCTCAAATGTTACAATTACAGGCATATGCCACCATCTCCAAATTTTATATTATATTTTTATACCTTTCTGCCTTAGAAACCTTCAAACAATATATCCAAGAAAGAAGAGCATCATGTTTCTGAGATGTGTCTATTCTAATAAGCACTACTATAATGACAGGTAAATGCTAACAGGGAACCAAAGTACTTCCTTCCTCCCCACAACATATCTGATGGACGCCCCCCACCCTTTTGTTTAGGTCTCTAATGACTGAGGACTTTGGGTGAATTCCCAAGAAAGCCCAAGGATTCCCAAGTCAAAAGAACACCCCTGGAAAACATGACTAGCACTGCCACCTCAAATTACCTGTACTCTCCATAATTCTTGACAGAAGGAGAGACGGGAGAACATACTGTGTGTCAATAAATACTGAGCAACGTCTAACAAGGAAGATACCTTCTTCTGAAAAGAGAAAATATTTTTAAAAACAGGCCAATTAACTAAAACAATATTAAAGAAATGTCCCATTTTCCCAAAGAGCTCAATACCAATGCCATCTGTTCCCACCTAAGGGGCACTGGACCTTACCCTCTGCTCCGAGCTGAGCAGAACTGGATGGCTAGGCTCCGCACACACCTGCTCCATGCTGCAGGCCACCATCCTGGCTGCCAGGACAGCCACAGGAACCCCCAGCCTCAAGGCTCGATCCCGCAAGGCAGAGCCTTAAAGACAAAACCACAGCTTTCTCTGAAAACACAGGGAAACTGGAAACACAAGACTGGGTTTAAAATGCCTCTTTTAAGTTGTAAGCATTACAGAAAACTGCCTGTAAGAAGAAAGACTAGCTATAGCATCCCTATCATCCCAGCACCTGGAAGGCGGGGGGCAGGAGTTCAAGCATGTCATGGTCAAAGCAGCTTCTGATACAATCATTAGTAGCAAGTGAACCCAGAGCTGCGCACATGCACTTGTTACGTCTCATGTGACACCAGGCAAGCAGAATGAGCAGGTGCATCCTGACACGTATGTATTTAGGGAACATCATTCTCTCGAATGAACACAAGGAACCGAGGAGCCCAGTGGGCTCATTAATTAATTTTTCTTTTCCAGGGGACAGGGCTGGGGATTGAACCCAGGGCTCCAGGAATGCTAGATAAGCACTCTACTACTGAGCAACATTCCAGCCCCCTACTCTGTTTTATCAACTACGTCACACCTGAGCCTCCTCCCACTGACTACACTGATGCTGGAGTCAGAACTGGCCAGGGCTTTCCCAGCGTTCTGCTTTGCATCTGGGGACAGAGAGGCCACGGGTATGCTCAGTCCTCAGGGCTGTCAGGTAGAACCTGAATCACTGGCCCTTGGGCAGCCACAAGGCTCCTGAGCAACCAGCCTCTGGCCTGTAGCCCTTAAAGCAGAAATGCTTGACAGGGTAGAAACAGGCAATGCCCATAAGCAAGGCATTTTCTAATGTACTTGCTTCCAAAACTAACTTTCAAGAAAAAATATGAAAAAAATAAATGTATCATGACATCTACTATCTCCCCACAATGAATGTATGTATCACTGTGCCTGGAAATGTGTACTAAAAAATTTTTAAATGTGAATTAGAGGGCCAGGATTTAGCTCAGTGGTTCCACCACCTGCCTCACAAGCAGAAGGACCTGAGTTTGATCCCCGGTACCAAAAAAAAATGTGAATTAGAGCCGAGGATTTAGCTCAGTGCACCGTGCCTACCTCGCAAGCACAAGGTTCTGAGTTCGATCCCCAGCACCAAAAAAATAAAAACAAAAACAAAAAAAAAATGTGAATTACAAAAAAAAAAATTTCCCCATTCTCTGCAAGTCTCTGAAAACACATATTTAAGTGAAGCCATGTACAATAGTTACAGACACTTCAAATTACAGTACTAGAAATCAGTTGCTATGGTCCAGATATAATTCACAGGAGAAAGGTAGAAAAAAATGCTAATTTCTAAGCACATGTTTCCAATTTATCTCCATAAGAAAATATATTCCTTTTTCTTGACAAGCCTTTAATCTTATACCAGTATGGTAGCCATCTCCTTAGCTTGAAAATCAAACTAAAAAGTTAGTGAATTAAGAGACTATATTTCTATAATCAAAGTTAAGATATTTTTCTATAAGTTCTTATGCTTTGATCCAAAGAGCACACAAGAATGTATGGCTAAGCTTGGTTCCCCAGACTGATGGTGCATAATCTGGGAATTTCAAATGCAGTTACCATGAGGAAAGCAGTATCATTTACCAGTGGCATTCGGTGACCAGTTGTCAAGGCAGAGCTATTAGCTTAAGATTATTTTAATAGACTTTAAAATGAATTAGCTAATATCACTTTCTGAAACAACAGTCACTACATGCTAAAAATGTGAAGAACAAGAAAATGGCTCATTTCTGTTATTCCCCCATCTCACCTCAAACTGTGATGGGGTGACACCTAGACTCATTTCTGGTGTCCTGTCCACAGCACCACTGTCAGCACCACTCCTTGAATGAGGTGGGGCATTCTGGTTCCTCCCACCCTTGAGCCTCACATGAGTCAAATAGTGTTTAAACCCAGCAGCAGAACCCAAAACAAGTCACAAAATACTATGTGCAAGTGGTGACCACACACCTACAAGTAGAAAGCCATTATTTGGGGGAATTCAAATGTCTACTTATAAGCAGACCAGTCACATACTATGAAAAGTCCTGTATAACTCAATTAAGGAAATGAAGATGCAACTTACCTATAAAGGAACTAACATGATCACTGCAGGCCTCAGCACTGTTACTATCAATCAGTTTACTGAGGCATAATTTTTTACATGGTGGCTCTTCTACCTAGAAACCAGAACACGGAGAGTGCTGCTTTCAAAATTCAGGCTCTGTGCATATAATTCTTGTATAATCGGCATTGTCAAATTTTTTTTTTTGGTACTGGGGATCGAACTTGGGACCTTGCGCTCGTGAGGCAGGCAGTGGAACCACTGAGCTAAATCCCCAGCCCTTTCTCAAATATTTTTAAAGGTACAACTTACTAAAGCCTGTTGAACATTACTATTAAATTCATTGTTCAAGTGCGTTCATCTCCAAAGAGGTAAATGCTTCCAGCTTTTCTTTCCTCTCAGCCGGTCAGCTCCTTCCAGCTGTCTCCATCTGGTACACTACCTTCCCAAGTTCAAAAACCCCAAACCTGAATCTGTCTGCAAAGGCCAAGCCAACTTCCTCTTTTTTTTATTGGTACACGTGTGCAGTACATAATGTTTATATTCACCTTAGGGAGAAGGTACATGTACTTAACACATCTTAATTCTTTTTAATTCCCCTCCCCACCCCCTCTCTAGATTCTCTTTGCATTTGCAAAAGACCTATCTCCCTGTTTCCTAGTGTCTTTTATTTCTTTAAAGTATTCATGCTGTGGTTTTCTCACAGACGTTATGCGATATCTAAGTTACGTGTGTGTCGGCGTGGTCGCAAGGTGCATCCGTTTTCTCTTACCTCAAGCAGAAGATCCTCCAAGTTCTGGTGGCGTCTCAGGAGCTGCACGGCTGATTCCTTTAATTTCTGTTCATTTTCAGGGTTATGTTTTTGCCGCTTGACCCTTCCCGCTAAGAGAGACATCAGTTTCCAAACGTGACAGCACTGACACCTACACCCCGCCACAGCAGCCCCTCGCCCGGATGTGACCCCAGCCCCGGGGAGAACCTGGGACACCGCCATCGTCGGGGCGCCCGGGGCTCCAGGAGCAGCGCCGTTCCAAGCGCAGGCCGGCAGACGCCCGCTTACCCAACAGCTCCTCCCAGGGCCTCCGGCAGCCCCGCGCCCAGACACCGGGACCCCGCAGGCCCGCCATGCGGAGCTTCCGGCCACAGGTGAAGCCCTGGCCGCGGAGCCCGCGCTGCCTTCCCATTGGCTGCGCCCAGACGCGCACATCCATTGGCTGACGGTCACGTTGCCACACCCCCAAGTGGGCGCGAGCCTCACGTCTTGGCCACATTGGTAGTGGTTTTGGGTGGAAACGCGTGGCAGTCATCTTGGTTGTGGCAGGAGTTCAAGTACTGCCTGACAACCAGGGAAAAGTCTACCTGCATTTGGAGCTGGATTTACTGTGGTATCACGTGCGAAGAAACGGTGAAGTCGCTGATGCGTCCAGCTGATCCTGAAGAGACAACCGGACCAACCTAGTTGGGGGAGATGCTAAAAACTTCTGGCCTGCATTGCTGAAAACTCCCAGCCGCTGCTGTGCAGATCTGTCTCCGACTATGGGAAAGTGGACCAGAGGGGATTTCCGGCCTGAAAGGTTAGGGTTGGAGAGCATGCAGCTGGTAAGATCGCTCCCTGCTCAGCACCGGGCTGCTCAGAAAAGACAACCAGCCAGAGAATGCCTTCTGCCTCAGGTTCTCCGTTTGTAAGACCAGCCTGGCATGTTCAGGGGCTCCCTGGGACGGACAAGGGGTCTTGGTTGGAGGGTTGCCCGGAAGCCCAGAGCGGAGGTGACCCGCAGGGCCTGATCCAGAGCTGGAGGCACCGAGAGGCACTGAGGGTTAGGGTCGGAGTGACCTTAACCTTTCACCTGGAAGGCCCTTCCTCAAGGGAACTGGCTGGTCTGGGGAGCCTGTTTCTGTCGCACAGTGGCTGGTACCTGCCACACTGTACATCTGCACTTCCTAGAAGCATTGTTCTCCAAGAAATGAGGTGGGTGGGTTCAATCACCACAGCCACATTTGGAAGGTGCATTACTCCAGATTCCTTACAGGAGATAAGAGAGGTGGAGGCTGACAGGAGGTGAGGGTGGGACAGGCACTGGTGGGGAGCCCTGGTAGGAGCTGTTACTCATCCCAAGAGAATCAACCTCCGCTGGAACTCAACAGCACATCACAGTGCAAACACACCACACATGCCACATGTGCGCGCACACCACATACACAGATGCACAGTTAACACCCACGCACACTGTTCAGATCAATCACTTGTACGCATACCAGGCACCCACACATACCATACATATGCACAGACACTGCACACAGTATTTCAGTTAGATCCGACCACTGTGTTCCTCCTCCAGCAAAATCATTCATCAATGGCAGTATCAAAGAAGGGGACAGATGGGCTGGGGGATGTAGCTCAGTGGTGCTGCAGCTGCCTCCTCGAAAGCACAAGGTCCTGAGTTCGATCACCGGTACCGAAAAAAAAAAAGGAGACAGAATTGTCAGCAATACAGTTACATAAAATTGCTGGGTTCCCAGAATCCAGCAGCCTGAGAGGCATCTGTTCATAGACTGAGAGGAAGGCAAGGCGCACAAGACAGGCTTGTGTCAGTTGTTACCTTGCTCTGACTGAAGGAAGCTCCCTGAGAGGGAAGAGCGCCCCCAGCAAGAGAGGAAGCCAGGAGCCTGATCTGCAGGCTTTCAAAGGACTGCACACGTCCACCCTGCTGGCCCAAAGGTGGCACTGTCGTGCTGGTAAACAAAGGACTGCTTTGCACCTCAGAAGAGAAAATCTAGTGGCACACACCTGCAATCCCAGCTCTGAGAAGGGCCTCATGTCCAGGCCTCCTGAAGGAAGACAGATCAGGGTATACCTTCTTTTCAGCACAAGTCCACGCCACCAGCATGTGACCACCGGTTTCCTTGCCCACTACCTGTCTTCATCATTTTCAGAAGGAAAAGTGAAATCTTTTACACAAACGTGAAAAGGATTTTTCTCTCCATTGTAAAAGTAGTAACATTTATTTCTTGACGTAAAATTAAAAGCGCAGAAGAGTAAGCTGAGCATGGTAGCATACATTAATATTTGCTCTTTACTTTGGTCCTCATCATCTCTCTCTTTTTTTTTTTTTTTTGGCACCGGGGATCAAACTCGGGTCCTTGTGGTTATGAGGCAGGCGATGGAACCACTGAGCTAAATCCCCGGCCCTGATCAAGGAAATTCTTAAACAGAATGGCCTTTTCCCCCTTGGTGCATGAGGGTAAAGTTTATGATGATCCCAAGTTCCAGCTGGTGGCACAGCCGTGATCCGTGCTACCATGCCAACAGTTTTACCCGTAAGAGTGAGCTGAGGGCCGGGGTGTTGGGCCCCTCAGAGCAGGGGAGTTTCGAGTCAAGACTAGACTGAACTACATAGTGAGACATGTCTCAACAAAACAAAGCAATTTTTTTTATAAGAGGATAAATTTATTGCTGAATCCCACCAGGTTGTGGTCATTTGTTTCAGAAGCCCCAGGAAGCTCCCACATCCACTGTTGCTTCTGTGCCATCATTATACATGTTAGCACAGTGGAAAGGAGAACTACACTGTCCTGCTGTTCCGAAAATAACCTTCACATACTGCTCACCTGAGTACCTGTGGGTCCCAGTACAGACAGCACCCTACACAGAAGGAGAGATAGTCAGTATTTTAGCATCATGGGCCATGGTCTCCATTGCAGCTGCTCAGTTACACACAACAGCAGGAAAGCAGCCGTAAACCGTATGTCACAAATGTGGCTCTGTGCCAATAAAATTTTATTTGCAAAAACAGGGAGTATTCCAGACATGGCCTTGAGCCCCAGTTTTCCAGCCTCTGGTCTCCTGAGAAAGCTGGATTCCACCTTGGCCTTGATCTAGGAGCTCTACAAGTTCAAGATAAGGTCAACTTGTACCTCATGTTTTCCTTCTGTGAAAAACCTCATGTTTAAATCTCATGTTTATCTCCTGCATAGGATTCCTGCGAAAATGAAATCACAGCAATGGAGTTACTGTGAATATTTTATGAACACATGCGGTGCTCATTCAGCACACGTGGTCGGACTCCCCCTATTCAAGGCCTGGAGACGTGGCAGGGAGAGAAACACAAGACAGGAAAGGCTGGGGCCTGTGGGGCACACAGACCATCAGAGGGAACAGAGGGACATTGTAAGTAAATTGTGGCATGCTGGATGCCATGTGGTTAAGTGCCGCGAGAAAAAAGAATTGAAGTTACTAAGCTAAGGTGGGGAGGGGCAGCGAGCAGGGATCACTGGGGCGTTTTGTTTGGTTTTAAGACAGGGTATTGGTTTATAGTCCAGGTGGGCCTTAGATTGATGTCCTCCTGCCTCGGCCTTCTGAGTGCAAGGTTTGTAGGTGTGCAAGCCTAGCGTGTGGGACCCTTCTAAGCATCATGTGTCCAACACACCAGTCAATCCATTCACCCGTCTGATGTCTGCTGAGAGTTTGCATCATTTAGAGACTATTTTCTGTCAAACTAACTCAGTTCTCAAAAAATAAAAATTCAAAAAAAACAAACAAAAATATTAAAATTCAATTTAAAAGAAAACTTTACATACTAATGTAAGTGGAAATCCTGTATTCTTCTCACACATCATAAACCAATATGAAATAATTTAAAGAAATTTGTTAAGAATTTGTCTTTGGGGGCCGGGGATTTAGCTCAGTGGCACTACACCTGCCTCGAAAGTGCAAGGTTCTGAGTTTGATCCCCAGTACAAATAAAAAAGAATTGTCTTCGGGGGTTGGTGATTTAGTGCAGTGGAAGATCACTTGCCTAATAAGTGTGAGGCCCTAGGATCAGTCCTCAGTACCAAAAAATTAAAAAACAAAAAAGCAAAAAAAAATGTTTGTCTTTGTTTCATTTGCAATCATCTGTGCATTTCACTTATACTTAGGAAGATTGGAAAGCATTACTGCTACCCCAACAATGAGAAAAAAAGAGATGTTATCTTCCTGAAAAGCGAATAGCCTGACACCCATGGAAAGACAGTCTCTAAAAAGATGAGATCCACACACTGCCCCTCTATACATCGCAGGAAGGAGAGATACCAGGTGCTGTATGCACAGGAACAAGATAAAATTCTCTGACAAACTGCTGAAGGCCAAGTGTGGGTGAAAAGACAGAATCCCTGGGAGCCACAAACACAAGGAGAGCAGACACCCACTCTCAGGTTCTCATCCACACAGTTCCCTGGGAACTCCGGAGGGAGACTGGGGCTGGAAGAGGCATGTGAAGAAGCCGCCTACAGTGTCCCTGCTTGGGGAAGGGACAGGCCGCTGCACAGGAAGCCACAGAGCCCACTCAGACCCTTCTCTCCTGCGAAACAAAAGCCTGAAAACAGCCAGGGCAGCTAAGTGTGTTGTACTCAGGGAAAAGGTGGAAACCCACTGTGGCTGGGGAAAGGATCCAGGAGAAAACATCTACTCTGGAGCATGGGGAGAGCCTGCTCCAGTGCCAGACCCTTCAAGGACTCCTCCCACTAGGGAGGCAGGAAACTCTCCCAAAGAGGAGCCCCAAGGATGCAGGCAGGATCACTGAGAAAGCCCCATCCAGAGCCCAGGGCAGGAGAGTCTAAGACTGGAGATGGACTAAGACAAGAGAGAACGCCCTCTGCACTCTGCTTCCACTCCCAGGCTAACAAGTGACACCCCCAGCAACGACTGCTGGAGGTGAGACAAAGACACCCAGAAATCCACAGGCTAACCTGAATGCTGGGGGTGCAGTGGGTGCAAGGAGCACATTGCTGAGGCAGGACTGTCCCCATGTAATGAGGATCGTGCTAGAGGAAAGTGCAGGTGGTGTTCAGAGGCAGCCATGGCACCCTCAAGCCTAAACCCAGCCCCTTGGCTGACCACACAGACTACCCCAGTGACTTGGCAGAAGGCACATGTCCAGTTTAAGACAGGACAACACTGGCCAGGAATTCAGCTCAGTGGCACCGTGTCTGCCTCCCAAGCATAAGGTCCTGAGTTCTGTCCCCCATACCGCAAAAAAAAAAAAAAAAAAAAAAAAGACAGAACAACACCTACCTTGTACGCTACTGGCCAAATCCAACACTTGTCATTCAGTCAAAAAATATAAGACACAAAGTAAGAAGATAAAAAACAACCCACTCCTGGCCCGGGGATTTAGCTCAGTGGTTCCACCACCTGCCTCACAAGCACAAGGTCCCAAGTTCCATCCCTGGTCCCCAAAACAAAACAAAAACAACCCACTTTAAAAGAAAACAGCTCGGGCTGGGGATTTAGCTCAGTGGTTCCGGCGTCTGCCTCACAACCACAAAGTCCCAAGTTCAATCTCCAGTGCCAAAAAAAAGAGAGAGAGATAACAGCTAAGAATTTTCAAGAAATAAAAACATGATCTGTAAGATCTGAAGATTCAAAGCACAATCAATGGGACAGATGAAACCATATGATACATCCATATACAATATTCAAACTGCCAACATTGCTGGACGTGGTGGCACACACCTGTAATCCCAGCACTTGGGAGGCTGAGATAGGAGGATTGTGAGTTTGAGGCCAGCCTGGGCTACATAGTGAGTTCAAGATCAGCCTGAACTACATAGCAAGACCTGTCTCAAAAACAAAATAAAACAGGGCCAAGGATTTGGCTCAGTGGCGCTGCTGCCCGCCTGGAAAGTGCAAAGTCCTGAATTTGAACCCCGATACCCAAAACAACAAAACAAAACAAAACAATAACTGTCAACATCAAAGAGCAAAAAAAATCATGGCAGGGGCCAGGGATTTAGTTCACTGGTTTCACCGCCTGCTGCACAAGCGCAAGGACCCGAGTTCGATCCCCCCCAAAAAATATCATGGCAGTAATGGGAGAATAGGCACATTAAATACAAAGAAACAAAGATATGAATTATAGCAGACTTCTAACCTAAAGGCACGGGAGCAGGAGATGATGGAGGGCATATTTAAAGTAATGTGGGGGCAGGGATTTAGCTCAGTGGCGCCATGCCTGCCTTGCAAACACAACATCCTGAGTTTGATTCCTGGTACCACAATAAATAAATAATAAATAAAGCAATGGGTAAGGGGTGAAAAAATAATTAAAGTGTATTACGTCCATGTACCAACTCCCCACGATAAATGTAATCATTTACTAATAAAAAATGTAAGCCTTAAAAATTTTGAAAGGGGGTCAGGGATTTAGCTCAGTGGTTTCACCACCTGTTGCGCAAGTGCAAGGACCTGAGTTCGATCCTCAGTACCAAAAAAAATTTTATAAAGTGTTGGGAAAACCCATCAATTCAGAAAACCTAGCAAAGATATCTTTTTTTTTTTTTTTTGGTACTGGAGATCAAACTCAGGACCTTCCACTTGCAAGGCAGGTGGAGGAACCACTGAGCTAAATCCC